CCCCAAGAACAAAAGAACCATGGTCAGCCATGCCGACGAGCAGCCGAGGACATGTTGGAGATGATGATATATAAACAGAGAGAAGCGGCAGAGGTGGACTGGAAGTGAGGGAAGACGGCGAGGAGATCGGTTGGTTTTTTATTGGGTGTTTTCCTTTTTTTGCAGCGACGGCATGCCTTTTTTTCTTCTGCTCCGCAGCGATATCCTGCTAGAGTCAAGACGAGTTTCCCACCAAAAAAAAAAAAATTGGACTTGAAGGAAAGAAAAGTTTGTGTGAGAGCACGGGTATCATGCTGAGACGATGCGTGTCGCCCTCGGGACTCGCGGTCAATCGCGGCCGGATCGAGACCAAGGCTCGAGCCATGGGCCTTTTTTTTCGTAGAATCAAGGAAAATGTCGTGACGTGGCGTGTGCTCGCGGGGAGTCGATGGGCATGATATCATGACGGGCATTCGGAGCGAAGGGTATCATTTCCCTTGGGCTTTGGCCGGCCATCCCCTTCTTGTTCGGCGCTCATCATACGAGCGAAGAGCGCGTCCCTCCCCGCCGCCCATCACGGAAACGTATTGTTAAAGTTGTTGCAAGGCCATTCGACCTTGACGTCCTTGACGCCGTCTGGCATCAAGCGCAGCCACTCGGCCCACTTTTCCATGTCGAACGGTGCCGAGTCTGCGCCGAACTGGAGCGTCAGGTTCAGCCGGGGCGCCGTCGGGTCCGGCTCGATGCCGAAGAGCAGGCCCCTCCGCAAGGGAGCGAGCAGGATCGACGGCAGCCTCGAGTTCCCCGAGATCTGCATGTGGAGCGGCGACGGGAAGCTCTTGACGATGGGCTTCTCCGGGTACCGGTCCTGCACCATCTTTGGGTAGCTCGACAGCAGCTTCGCGTGCAGCTCGGCGGCCGTCAGGGGCGCCATGTGGTTCCGCTGGCTGATTCGCGTGTGGAGCTGTTCGGCGACGGCCCGCGTGAACGAGGCGTTCCCCATGGATCCGAAGTGCTCTTCCGAGGCCGACGCGGCAACCACCTCCAGCACCCCTTGCTGCCGGACCAACTTGGACGAGGGGTAATAGGCCGCATCCATGATGATTAACGTATCTGAGGACGTTTCCTCGAGGATTTGTTGGATACCGCTCCACCGTATCGTGGGACCTTTTAACCGATCCCGCGACCTAGGAGTGACAAGAGATAATCATCAGTCTAAAGCTCCCTCGCGGTTTTTTTGGTTGTTTTTTTTTGGGTGACGTTTTATGGCACACAACGAGAAACAGCCCGGGGCTATCCTTACCTGGCAAGAACCATCTCGCGGTCTCCATCGAGATAGCTCTGTCCCTTGTAAAAGACAAGCTTAAGGACGTCCCTATCGTCCCGGTTGTCCACAAAGTTGGTTACGGTCCGAGACAGCCACCTCCACGGACTCTTGCCACTCTCCGGCGACGAAGGTATCATCTTGGTCTCTGTGACGTATTGGTAGTCTTTTTGCAGCACTTCAGCCAGGTACTCGACCGAGGATACCAGCTCTCCGTCTTCCTCGTCGTCCTCCCAGTAGAGAAGCAGTGCCTGCACGGCCGTGTATCGGCTGCGGTAGGGGTTTGAGGCGATCTTGGAAGCCGCGGCCTGCAGTTCCGATTGGATGCTCTCGGCAGTCTGCTGCGGGCCACTATGCGCAGTCCGGGCCGCGTGAACTGCTTGCGAGGCCTGGCCTGCAAGCTTTTCCAAGCGGGGTCCTGAGGGAAGCGGTTTCCTGACCCGCGATTCGCTGCCGAGGGGAGCTCGGATCGGTGGCGGCGGTGGTAGCGGCTGCTGGTTCGGCGGAAGCGGAGTCGGGGTCGTCGTCGGCGGCTGCGCGCTGTCCACCTCCATATCATGGGGGTCGTGGGTCAACAGGGGCGTGTTCCCATTAGACAAAGGCTCCAGGTTCACCGGGCGCGGGCTTAGGGGGCGAGCCCCTAATGGGGCCAACTCATGCACCGGGCTGTGGGCGCGGTACTTCCGGAAAGCATCTTCCCATGTCATGTTGTGGTGATTCGGGTGGCACTAGGGGACCAGAAGTGAGCAATCGAGAGTCTCGTGTGTGAGCAGCGGCGCCGCGGCACGGTGATGCCGCTCGAGACAGTAGACCCCAAGGTCTACACAGAGAAGAGTCAAGAGGTAGAGAGAGAGAGACAGAGAGAGAGAACAGGAAAGCACTAACAGCAACTCTTCTCCTACGGCAGTCGTTGCACGCCCCCAATTTCCTGATTAGTGCCGCTTTCTCCCTCTGCTCTGCCGAGAGGGGACCGGTGCGTCGTCTGCTGGCCCGGCGGCCACCCGTCAAGTCGGCTCCATCCTTTACGGAGAAAACCTGCTGGCTCGAGAAGCTGGGGGACGCGTCCAGGCTGAAGGGGGAGCCGGGGGTTTCGTTTGAGGTTATGGTGGTCCCCGTAGTGTGAGTGGCGTTCGTGCTGGTGGATGAGGTGGTGTTTTTCCTCATGGGCGAGGCAGAATGGGGGGAGTGGGTGTGGCGCGAGCTAGGGTGGACGGCAAAGCCTGGGCTCGTGTGCCGCTGGTGCTGCCCCGATGCCTTTGATGGTTCATCCGTTTTGGGAGACGCGTCTGCCAGTGTCGACGCGGGATGCATCCTTCAAAGGCTGGGAGCTCTTAGGATCATCTACTCGGCATCATCTGCTGAAAAAGGGGAGTTCGGGCGAGCGTGAGAAGATAGAGAGAGGGGTGCTCCAGGGAAACACGCTCTCGCAGCAGGCGTGTCTTCTCGTAAGCACGTGGGCACTAAAGCAGGCGATAGAAGCGGTTCCGACTCAGCCCGAGTCGAAAAGCCACCACTGCCAGCCAAACTCCGCAAGAAAATATGCCTTGGCGAGAAGCGGAAAAGGCTGGAGAAGAATGTTGCCGGATATATTTGAAGAGAGGGGGGATAAACAAGAGCGCGAGGAGAGCCAGGTCACGGAGAAAGTTGCCGGTGCCGGGGACGCATGCGAGGAAATAGAGACAACAAATGGGGTATCTGGGGCAGCTGCCGCTTAAAGCGATCAAGGAATCGATGCGGGCACAGGCGAGAAAGACGAGGCAGAGAAACGATACAGCCGCTAAAGGAAGATAACAGGAGACGCCGAACGAAAACGACAAAAAAACAAAAGCAAGACGCGTGGGGGAGGTTGATGCTGGGGTGAGGTGGGGAGGCGGTCGTAAAGAAGGTTATTGTCCCGAGTCTCGAAGCCTGCGAATACAGTTGGTCGGGCTTGGGGAGGGAGCTCGGGCTGATGGGATAAGCTGCTGGGGGGGGTGGGGGTTATCCAATGGCAGCCAGTCGAATCGCGCGGCTGTATAGGAAAAGCCAGCCAATACACCTTGAGAGGAGGAGATTGCAGCCCACCAGTACTTGGGCGCAGTGCGTGCCGGTGCACCCAGTGGCGGGTTGGCAGGCGAGGAGGCGGATACGGGGATGTCGTCAAGGCCAGGTGGGTTGACGACGGGAGAGGTAGATCGGGTACCCTCCTTTTTGTTTTTCTTTGTGTTCTTTTCTGCTTCTCCAGTTTCCTCCACTCGCCGCTCTGCAAAATGCAGGCTGCTACCCAAACGGGAACCCGAGGCAAGCAGCCACTCAGAGCAGGCCAGCCCCGGACCGAGAGGAGCAATCAAATGCCAAACGGACCCCAGGCAGAAAGAAAAAAAACGAAAGCACCACTACGGGTTTCCGCCTTCCCTGCTGCTCGCGCAAGTAGCCGTCACGCACAAAAAAAAAAAAAGCACACACACGACGTTGACCTAGGCAAAGGGCCACATCCAGTCCGAACAAATGCTGAGGGCAACGAAGCGGAAACGGTGCGAAGCAGGAAAAGAGAGAGAGAGCTGGCGCAGCCCACTTTGAAGAATATCCGGCGAGGGACGGGTGAGAGGTAGGTGTGAAGTTAAAGAGGAGGTGAGGTGAAGATAGGGTGATGATGGTCGGGGCGGGGGGTGTAAAGAGGCGTGCAGGCGAGGAGGAGACAGGTATAGTGAAGTGGGTATGTAGATTGGTACCTCGTGAGAGGCAAGCCAACGGGAGACAGGCCAACGGATAGAGAGGTAGGTAGCAGGTTTGGCAAATGGGCAAAGCGGGAGGGGAGGGGACGAGTAGCAAGCGTGCTCCAGGCGGGTAGAGAGGTACCGCTTGCTGTCAATGATGACCGTATGCAGAGTCTGGACCGCGAATGTAACCGCGGCCCTTTTTTATTATTGCGCAAACGGTGCAGCGGACCGGACTGGAGCCCTCAGAGGCCAAGCCATATACCTCTCTACGCTCGAGGGAGGTCGGCAAGCCCACCCGCAGCTAAGTGCAGGTGGGGAGGCAAAGGCAGGTGAGCACCGAGGCAGAGTGTGTGAGTGGTACACAAGGCGAGCAGGCCCCCTTTTTCTCAACCTAGCCGGCCCCGGTGCTGACGACGCTGGGGCTGGGGCTGGGGCTGCTGGCTTCGCGATGACGGCGAGTGGAGGCAGACGAGGAACGAGCCGCGCCGGGAGAGGGAGAGTGAGACCGTGACCAAAGACCAAGGTCCGGGTGGGAATCCGCTCGCGCCCAGACGGAGACGGGAATGGGGTCATGTACGGGCGAGGTATCGTGAGGAGCGGGTAGGGGTGTGTGTGGCTGCACGTCGTGGGTGTGCTTTGCTGGCCTGGTCTTGGGTCGTTGTTTGGGCAGGGCAGAACAGGCGAGGTGTGCGAAGGATGGGTTGAGGTTGTTTTGGTCGAGCATGTGGTGGAGGTCGAGGCCAGTGGGGAGGGGGGAACAGAACTAAGGGGGAGGAAGCTAGTGGTAGAGGGAACTTGGAGGCATGGAAGTGGTGGTAGTAGTGGTAGTAGTGGCGGTAGTGGTGGTAAGTGGTGGTAGTGGCAGGCGCAGGCGCAGGCGCAAGGTGGTGAGGGGCCGCGGAGCTGAAGGCTGGCGTCCAGTCGAGCAGTTGGCTTTTGGCCGTTGGGCAGGCCGGCGGGAGTCAAGCCACTCGGCCCCGGCAAAGACAAGCTGACGGGAGGAAGGGATGGCGACTGCGGTGAAACTGAGACGGCGCTGCAGTGGTGATGGAAAATCAAAGTGCCCATATAGGAAAGCGGCCAGGACCAGGGCACCAGGGCTGCTGGCAGGGCCGGGGACCGGGTGGATGCCCGTGGTGAGAATTGGCTCCATGTCTCCCGCCGTGCCGATGGGAGGGAAGCTGGGAAGGGTACCACCGGGCCCCAGCCAGCACAGCAGCACAACAGCACAACAGCACTGCGGTTGCACAAGCAATTGGATAAAAACTAGACCTGGCTGGCGGCTTGGTAGCGCATCGGCTAGATAAAAGGGTCTTGTTAAGCAAAAGTATCCTACTACGCGAGCAGCCAAGGTACTTTAGGTACCTACCTAGGTACCCAAAATCTCCAGGCCAGCATGTTGGCTAGCATTCGAGAATACGCAACCCCCATCGACCCGCCCGCCCATCCGCCCGCCTATCCGACCTCATTGCGAACCTCGCTAGCTGCATCCTCTGGCCTATAGTGCCGTGCAGAATCACACACACATTTTCAAGCACTCAAGGTAGAGGTTGGTGGTATACATACACACCTCACCATTGCCCATGTCCACGCTCTGTGGCGTCGCTGGTCTGGACTACACAACAAGAAAAGCCCGCATCCCGCGTTCCCACCCTTTCAACGCTCGTTGGTCATCTCCACGGTGTAGTCCTGTCCGAGTTGTGTAAGTGGTGTGCGTGCCTACCCCATACAGGCTACATGCTACCCGCTACTGTACATCGCACAGCACGAGAGAGATGACGGATGGGGCCTTGGACGGACAATGGAAGCCAAATGCATCCACCTCGATCCAGTTGTCCACCTCTCTCTCTCTCTCTCCTCCATCCTCCATGCCACCGTGCACCATGTCACCCCGCCATCCATCTCGGCTTGCCAACCAGACGAGCAGCTGTCGTCTGCATTGCGCATGGATTGGTCTTCTGCGCTTCGTCGCCGGCCACTTGTCATTGATATTTGCCCACCACCAGCCTGCCCTGGGTCTCTTACGATATTTCGGGCCGTGATCTTTGGGCATCTGTGCTCCAACCTTGATTGCCGCGCAAGGTTCTTCCCTGCAGCTCAAGTCATCTCTGCCGCTGGGAGGCAGGGTGGCAGGGAGCCCAGGCCGAGACCAGCAAACAGAATCGATCTAAACCCGTCCGCTAACTCGTCTGGGGGCCCCATCCTCCATTCAGGCAAGAGCGCGCGCGCTGGGGAGCAGCTGCGGTTGCACAAACCCTCTGCCTCCCAGTGACCTCCCACCCCCGGCATCCACTATGAGGTTATAGCGCAAGTGCAGGGGCCAATTGCTGCTTAACCATTGGCGCGACTTTGTTTCCTGCACCCACCAATGTGCATAAACACAGGATCAAGCCAAGACTTTTCTGGACCGGGGGGGGGAGGAGAGGCAGAGGAAACAACGAAAATTTAGGCGAGGAAGAATGGAAGTGCCCGCTGAATGCCCAGGGAGACACCAGGTAGGAAGAAAATAGATAAACAAAACATGAAATAATACAAAGGGATAAAATAGGGAACAAAACAATCGCCAAGAACGCCTTACGCTCCTCCTCAAACGGGCATCGCTTGCCGTCATGTCCCCTGCTGGGACCCCTGACGCCCTTAGCCCCCGTTCCGTCACCTTTTTTATTTTCGGTGACAGCAAGGGAGAAGGCCCAGGCAGGGCGTGCCCATGGTGCCGTGTGCACCTTGTGCGCCGTGTCTGGCGATAATTCCTACGACCGAGGAGCGGCAAAAGCAGGCTGTATGGCGCGCTGCGGGCTGAGAATCCACGGCGTCCCAGGCACGCGGGCGCCTCTTTATCTTGCACCGCATCCCGGGCTCACCACAGCATCATGTCCGGGCCCCAAGGATGCACGCAACTGCACCGAGAGAACCCCCCATCCGTGCCCGAGGGAGCACGCGCTGCGCTAACGAGGCAGGCATCCATAGTGCCTCGGCGTCCTCTCCGAGATGCCTGCCCGCCCGCGCGTTAGGTGCTTGCTTGTTTCCCTTGGTTTTATTTTTATTTTTATTTATTTTTGCTTTCTTGCTTGCCTGCCCAGATCCAAGTCAGCCGTTCCCTGGGTACATGAGGCCCGGCCCAGTCAAATAGCTCGATTGCCGCGTTTGCTGCACCCCGGGCCATGCGTGTGTTGTTGTTTTTGTTTTGCTGCTGCTGCTGCTGCTGCTGCTGCCGCCGCCGCCGCCATTGCTCTGTTTTCGAGCTATCTGCCGCCAGCCTCACCGAAATGCACGACCCGATAGGCCAACGGGGTCATCAGACAAGCTGACAGGCGCCAGGCCTTGCCGGAAAGAGGCAGAAAATTCCCGTGTCGCCGTTAGATGCATTGCCGTCAAGCAGCACATTCCCAGTGATGCTACAAAGGGAATGTATACGCGGGATTTGAAGGTGAAAACCAAGGGCAAGCAAGCACCGTATCTTCTCGAAAAATTGAGAACTCGCTTTGCAGGGGAGCGCCTGTGTTGAACCCAACTTTTTCCCTATACAGTTAATACAGGCGGGTCGTTTCTGATCCCACAAGCAGGGCTGACGTTGATTTTTTTTGCATTCGCACTGCAAACGACCCCTCTGCTCTACTGGTGGGCGCAGTGTTTGAAAAATAAATCACACGGCCAAATTGCCTTGTTCAGCATGCCTAACTCCATTTCTTGACCAGGCCCCCCGGCAAAGCGGGTTCTCAATTTCTAGGGAAGATAGGTAGGTTTCGAGAAAATTAAAGTAGAAAAAAAGAAAAACGGAAAAAAAAGAAAGAAGAAGGAACGGTCTGGGCCGCCTCACGGCAAGCATCCCTAGGCTACTACCATCTGCGAGGGAAAGAAAAAGGAAAACCCACCCGTAACAGGTGGGTAACATGGGGGTTGAAACTGGAGATCGCAGGGGTCGTGGTGACTTGGGGGTATGTCACGAAACTTCAAGAATTTCTCGTCCTTTAAAAGCTTTTCTCGATTTCTCTCCTTTTTTTCACCAACTTCAATAATGGCAGTAACTTTATGCCAGCACGTGACCCCCCTTTCGCCGCCCCTGTGATCTCCGAGGTGGGTTTTTCCTTTTTCTTTCCCTCGCAGATGGTATTAGGGCCGCCATCGTTCGTTGTTAACTGGACCGGGCCCCTCCGACTCGCCCGCTCCAGCCGAGTCGAGCTCAGCAGGCGGGCCAGTCCAGGGTGCCGGAACATGTCCCGGGGGTAGCCCTGGTCGGGGGTTGCTTTGCACATCCCCTGTGTTTCCTTCTCTCCCCTCCTCGCCTCGATAGAAACCTCCGTACAATGCACGTGATATCACAGCGGGCCACCCATGAACCCCCACAGCCTTTCCCTTCTTCTTTTGCCGGAATTTGCCCGTGTTCGGGATCATGGTTATTTTGCTACCCGCTTTCCGCGTTTGTTTGCCAACAAGGGTAAGAATAGACAGCGGATGGCGTCAATAATAATGGCAGTAATATGGCATGTCATTACCTAGCGTGATCAAGTGCACTTTGTGACAAGGAAATGAACAAGACGCTCGAATACGAGACGAGAAAGAAAACCACAAGATCAAAATGCATGCACAAGAAAAACACAAGAAATGGGATGTCCAGAATGTGATCGAGTTCCCCAACCTTGCAGGGTGCCACGCGTTACCTAATAGAGATAAAGTCGATCTCTGCTACGACCTTCCCGCCTGCTGATCCTGGCCTTGACTAAGGTGACGCCGAATCCGGGCAACCATAGCGGCCGCGCCGCTTTCGGTAGGTGGTTAGGTGTACGGAATCCATGCCCGTCATGTTCGCGACTTCCTAGATCGGTGACCACAAGTCGGCCAGCTCTTGCCGTCGTGCGAATTAGACTCGAGCCTAGCCAAGCTGCGCTGGCCCTCCTTTGCCGCCCGCACTTTTCTTTTTGCCCGTGTGTCATCTTCAAACCCACCAAGGGGGAGGAAAAATCTTCACTCATGCATCTGCCTGTCTGCCTGCCCACCTGCCTGCCCACCTGCCTGCCCGGACACCTCCTCGGTCAACCCGCCTAGCCGCCAGCCTCCAACACCAGTCTCCCTTCATCCTAGCCCACGGCTCCCCGCAGCGTGGGGAGGGCGTCCGACACGGCGCCATGGGTGACAGCTTGCCGCCCGAGCCAGAATGACCCCCGTTGCAGCGCGGCACAAACGACTCGTTGTGACAAGAAAACCTTGTCGGCCGGCCAGCCAGCTTGAGCGATGCTGCTGCATGCTCGACCCACCACTGTCTTCTGCGTGCTGCTACTGCTGCCGCTGCCGCCGCCGCTGTTCCTTCCTTCGAAGGAATGGAAACCGAACGGGTTGCTCCATGCCCCCCATCTCGTCTGCCGGCTGATTGATTGACGCTGGCCGCGCGGGCCCGTCCAACGCACCGCACCACCCTCTCCCATCTCCCACCCGCCTTCAGGGGCCCAATTGATGGGTCCCGCCGCTCGTCCGCCCCTCCCACGTTGCTGTACCCTAGAAGCGCCGCATGCCCATTCGACACGACACGCTGGTCCGCCTGCCGGCCCACAGCGGCGTGGCTTGCCGTTCATCACGTCGAAAGACGCTCCTTCTCCCCTCCTCGCTTCTCAGTTCTCCGTAATTCTTTTCGCCTTCCCCGTCCCTGCTCCTACCTGCCCAAACACACGACGCGAGCGCGAGTCCAAGAAGCCATTGTGCAGCCGAGCCCTAAAGAGGGGCGAGGGAAGGACGAAGCATAATGAGAGAAGGGGAGACTGAGAGTGAGAGAGAGGAAAAAAAAAAAGAGGCAGCTGTGCCAAGGGTGAGAGACGGCGACGAGATGATAAAAAGCAAAGAAAGGAAAATCAGCACCCCGCCTACCGGCCTATCCCGATTCGTCAAGCCGCCAGCGCGTGTAAAAGATCACCCGCCTTGGCTCGGCCAGCAGGTTGGTCTGCCTCGCCTGGGTTACGTGCGTTGATTACATTACAACACAGACTTGGTTGTGCAAGCTCTGCTGCCCGTCCTTGGGGACTTTTGATATGGATAAGCTGGGCGGCCCGCATCGATCCAAATCTGCCAACTGTGTATCTTTGCATGTGCCTCTGCTCCACACAGCCCTCGCCTGCCTCCCTCGTGCGCGCGCGAAACTAGGTGGGCTCTGGCAGGGCAGGCACATGCTAGACGCGCAAGGTCGCGGCGACGTGGACTCCCTGACCCAGCGCGCGCATGCGCCAGACCAGAGAGAGTCCCCGGTCGCAAACCTTGTGGTGAGTGGTTCTTTGTATCACTCTCCTTACCCCTCTGGGCCCCCGGGGGGGCCAAGGTCGACGGCCAGTGGTCGAGAAAGGCCGCTCTGGCCAGCAAATTGCTTGGCCGCATAGTCACCCAGAGATCCCAGACTACTCTTCTCCACGGCACTTGCGAAACTGCGAATCGGCACGTTGGGGCATATTTTTGTCATTGGGTGGCGGAAACCGTTCGGTGCCATGACCCTGTCTCTGCCGTCTGCAAGTGCAAATATGCGGCGGCCACAGCCAGTGGGGAGGGCCCATGACAGGAAGGAGGAAGAGAATGGGGGACAGAGAAGAGACGATGGGACCGAGGGAAGCCGTCGTCGGGACGCGCACGCGCCGAGACCAAGCCGCTGCTTCTTCGGCACAACCAACAATTTAGCCCATACTTCGTTGGAACCGACGGTCCCCCAGCCCGGCCATGGCAACACAAAATATGCTACTGCGGACTGCACATCTCGCATCGAGAAGTGGAGTCTGTAGATATGGTGGATCAGAGGAGACGACCAGGCAGGCTCTCTGCGGAGCTCACGAGACTCGTAACGTGGGCCGCAATCGTCGTGCGACTCGTCAAAGAACCTGACTAACCACCTCGCTGGATTCGCTCAGGCCGGGTCCGCCAGCTCCTGACCCTCCTGTCTGGGGACGGGCATGCGATGGCAGACACGCAGGTTGGCTTTCGCATGTCCCGCTCCATCAACCTCCCTTGCCCGTGTGGTAAGACGAAGATGGAGGGCGCCGACTGCAAACAGCGGGCATTCTCACCGAGCACCCCGCCACCGGTGCCGCTCTCTGCCTTTCCGGGCGTCTCGAGACCAGACGTGGGAACCCGGTCTGTCGGGTACCTGCTTCCTTTTCCTCCTCCTCTCCGGGGGCGGCGAGTATTGATATCGCAGTATGTGTGTCTTGTGCGTCTGCCCGTCTATCGCTCACGTTTATCTTTGGGAAATTTTCCGATAGCCTCCGTTGCGGCTGGCGCTGCCGGTAGAGCCTCGATCGGGAGGAAACCCTGCCAATCTCGAGTACTGAGGGGGTGCATGTTTCTCTCCGCCCTGTCGGTCCTTCCTCACTCCCCTCCACATGTCTCATCTATCGCTTGTCTTCAGTCTACCCCCGTTTATCATGTCTTGGGGCCTGAACTCCTCCCTCGACGGCTCCAGCGAGCGTGCTCGCCAAGAAAGTCATACCAACTATTTCGGGCAAGTTGCTCTCGGTAATACGTGATACGCGCATTAGAGAAGACGGCGCGCGCTTGGAACTAAGGGGACTGGGAGCGCTGAGAGACGGCCGAGAAGGGGTATTTGCCTATTTGGCTCGTTGAATCCCAGTACCTGATACCTGGTGGGGGTCGCGTCAACCTCGAGCCTGCACCAACAACCAGGGCATGTGAAGGCAGCCTCTGGCTTCCTTCACATGCAGGCGCGGTTAGGTTGGATGCTTAAAAGGTAAGCTTCTCCGCGTTGCACAGACGTCTTGTTCATAAAGGCCGTGGAGGGCTAGGCTAGCAGCTCGCCTAGGGTGGCGCTGGCCCGAACGCGACCCTTTTGCTTGGTCCAGAGATTTGTTCCGTCACTTATTACCGTTGCCACCCCGGTCAGGTCGGATATCGATTGCCTTTGCAAGGCCTTCCCCAAGCCAGCAAAGGGAGCACTCGCCGACACTAACGAAAGGATGGAGGGAGACGAAGGCCGGAACAAGGCCGCGGCGCGGCGCAACACCCCTGCCTCGCGCGGTTTGCTACCCCTGTTCCCCTAGTTCCGATGTCACCCGCGCTAAAAAAGAAGGGGGCCCTCTGTTGGTGGGTGGTCATTGTGCTGGTTCTGCTGGCGCCCTCCTCCACACACGCCCTGCATAGCACGCATGCATCATCACACGGGAGGCAGCACATTGCACCAGTCGCTGTTTTGCTCGCTGTGTCTGGCCGTTGGGGAAAGACGACTGTCGGCGTCTCGTCATCTTCTCATCAGCCACCACCACCACTACCACAATTTGTCTAGGTAGGTACCTACCTCCCTATCCACCTGGGTAGGTAGGTAGGCACCTACACTAGAACTCCAAAGCCCAGCCAGCCACCGGAAACGCCCCCCCATGTTGATGGCGCATCCCACACACGAAATTGGCGCCTGGAGACGAGGGTGATTGCGTTCTGGCTCTTGTTTGTTTGGCGCCCAGGGATCACACAGGCCAAGCTGCCGAGTGCCACGCAGCAAGTCCCCCGACCGCACCGCTCAGCCTAGTTGGAAAGGGCAGGTGAATCGCGGATGCGCAACGGGAAATGGCTGGGCCGATCCAACACTCGTCACTCGCCCCCCTACCTACCACGCTCTTAGCACAACCGACCGGGCTGTTCCTATCCCGGCAGGCCTGGGAGGGGCCCACCTGCATCACGACGCTGATACCACGGGCTGCTGCCGCCGCTGCTACAGGGCCTGGAGCCCCAGTCTCGTCTATTTCGTCGTCTTGGGAGGGCACCGACGATATGCGCCGTACCACAAATCTCTCCATGTCCATCTCCTGCCCACCCCCATGTCTCGGCGGCATGCCCTTGGGCGTACGTCGAGTACGAAGTCCCACCAGGCGACTCGCCCACAGCAAATAATATACCATGGGAAAAGAGTGAGGCCGCGAGACGGAGGCACAAGGTGGGCGAAGGGCTGAGGGTGGCTGGCCCAGCTCATGGAGCGGCGTAATAGCAGTTGGGTTCCTTCCTCTCTCCCCCTGGCTCGTCCACTCACACGAAACCTCGTTGCCACGGACGGCTTGTTCCTGCTTTCTTATTTCGGATCGTGCACCACCACTATAACTTATTGCCGACACCTTGTCCTTCACAACAGCAGCAGCAGCAGTAGCAGCAGCAGCAGGAAGTGGTGGTATTGGTATGCATAACCAGCACTACCACGCCACTACACCACCACCACTACCACCACCACCACCACAACGGCGGAGTGGGTGGTGGAGGTGAGGTAGCCCGGCCCAGACGCCGCCGCCGCCACCAGGTCAGGCTATGCGGCCCTGCCCGACGGCCATGTTTTTTTTTCAAAAAGTCCCGTTTATTCTCTTTGTAATGCCTTACTGTCTCTCTTCTGTCTGGTCCTTTTTTTTTCTATTCTCCTTGTCTCGTGAACATGGCATCATTTTCTACTTTGTTGTCTGCCACCGTCGTATCGTATCTGCACTCTGCCCTTTTGGTTGCAGGTGACGGAAAAAGCTGCCCAATCTCGAGGGGCGCCCGCCTCGTCTTGACTTGGGTGGCAGGCCAAGGCTACCTAGCGTGAGGTATTTCCCTTTCTTTTCTTTTTTTTCTTTGTCTCTACTTGTTTCCTTCACTCCACCCTTTATCGACTACCTCTTTTATTTGTTTGGTTGCGTCGGGTCAACATGCATCGTGGATCATGGACGGCTCCTGCCCCCCTTTTGAGGAGCCAGTCCACGTCCACAGAACGCGCATACACACACACACACCCTCTCTCACTTGCTCACTCATGCCGAGGTGGGCAGCCAGCCAGCCTTGCAGACAGCTGTCAAAACATGGACGGGTGCAGGCCGAGACAACGGTTGGCCCATGCGAGCTGCGCGTGGCGGCCGCCACTGAGGGGAAAGGCAGGGAAAAGGAAGAGGAAGAAAAAAGAAAAAAAAGGAGGCAAAAAGGCCGATCCTACCACATTTTCCACATCACGCATCACACACGCACACCCCCTCCTCTTTTTTCCCCTTCCCTTGGGAGGGTGTGTGTGTATGTGTTGATGTGTTGCTCGCTGGCTACGCTGGCTCGCTCGCTTGCTTGGCTTCGCTTTGCTTTGCTTGCTGGCTAGGTGGCTCGCTGGCGGCTTTTGCACGGTGGACAACAACGGGGGCCGGACCCGGCATGGCCTGGCATGGCACGGTATGGCTGGCTGGCATGGCATGACATGGCTGGCTTGGTCTGCGTAATTTTGTTCTCGCCGACTTGCCTTTCCTGGGCATAGGTCGACGGATACCTGCATATCGCCGGCGAGGGGGGGAGTGTGAAAAGTGTCTCGAGAACAGCCAGCCAGCCGGCCAGCCAGCCACACTGCAAGGGATCCGCCGGGGTTTGCCATACATCCCTTTGAACTCTCTTTTTTTTTCTGTTTCGTCTACCTTTTCCCGTCGAGAACGGAAATTCGAGGCTCCCTAGGTAAGTAGCGCCGGCTGGCCCATCGATATGCTCCCTGCAGGGGATGGGGGACGAGCAGTGACCTAGCCAAGGCAATTTCCACAAATAAAAAAAGAAAGACAAACGAAAAAGCTTGTCTTGGGATGTCGGACATTTCTTTTTCCGACCCGAGAGAATTGACAAATGATGCGCCCAGTACCTACTAGGTACCACAGAACAACGCCCGCTCCTATATGATGCATATCCGTAGAGTGACTTTTTGGAACCTGGTGCCTCTCCCCCCCCCCCTCCTCTTCCCGCCTCCCGCTTCGCGGCCCGACCGCTGTGCGATGGATGGATGAGGGGAGGGGGGACGTTTGAACTCCGAACGCCTGCCGTTGCCCGCCGTGTCAATGTCCGCCTCTCTGTCTGGCCCAGAAAAGGGGAGAAAGAGATGATGTGCTGGGTGATGGTTGGGTACTTTGCTGGGAGCCCAACAAAATATCAGAAAATGGAGGATGAAAAAAAAACCCCCAAAAACAAAAACAAGAAACTCAAAAAAGTACATGGAAATCAGATAAAAAAAAATGCTAGACCAATCACATGCCACTCCCCCCATCTCCCCAGTCAAGCCCACCCCCCCAATCCCCCTAGCCTAACCCTCCCGGACCCTGACGCCCAGGTCCATGGCCCAGCCGCGGTCCGCGTCGCCCGCGAAGCGGCCCCGGATGCCGTCGGCCTCGAGGCGGGCGGCCATGGCGCGGCCCTCGTCGAGGTGGCAGCCGATGACGCCGCCCTCGCGCTCGAGCAGGGCGCGCCTGTCGTCGGCGGGCACGGCGAGCAGCGCCGCGAGCCCGCCGCCGCCCGAGGCCTTGAGCACGGGCGTGCCCGAGCCGGACGTCTGCAGGGCCACGCACGCGAGGAAGGCGGCCGAGAGCAGCACCTGAGCCGCCAGCACCGCCAGCCACCCCCACCGCACCGACACAAAGGTCTCGGGGCCGCTGCCGGCCTCGGTCGCCGTCGCCGCCGTCGCCGCGCCGAAAGAGCGGATGCTGTACGAAAAAAAACACAAACACAATAGGGGTTAGTCAAGCTTGGTTCCCTCTCAAGGGGGGTGGGATCAGGAGAGGGATGTGGGACGGGGGTTAGAAAGGGAAAAAAAATCCAGGTTCTGTGCTCATATACGTACGTGTTGGTCAGGCTCATAGCAACGTTGCCTGTGATATTCGCGACCGCCTGCCGCATAGCCTCGTCGGCCGACCTGCCCTTCTCGAGAACCTGCCCCCGCCCCCGCGCCGCGCCAAACATGGCGGACCCGAAGGCGTCGCTCGTGCCCGTGTAGCCGACGACGGCGGCGCCGGCAGGGCCCATGCCTGCCGAGTAAGCGCCCGCAAAGGCCGAGGTCATGTAGCCCGACAGCGGGCGCACCGCCTCCGGGTCGACGCTGTAGTTGCGGCCCGCCTGCGCGGCAAACACGACCAAGGATTTCGGCTGGCCTCGCGGCGCCGGGGGCAGTAGCAGGTCGATCGTCGTCGACTTGCGCACCGTCTTGCCCGCCGCCGTCGCCTCGTACGTGCCGACGCAGAAGTGGAGGAGGACCTCGACGGCCCGGAAAGACACGGGGTCCTCATGGCGCTTGTCGTCGTCGTCGTCATCGTCGTCGTCGCCGTCTCTGTTGTTGCTAGGAGTCACCTTGGGGGACGGTTGCCGCGTGCTGTTGGTGTAGATGACGAAGAAGTTGGATATCGCCGCTGCCGCCAGGTCGGACTGGTTCGCAAAGGAAAGTGAGCCGGCCAACGGCTGCGGGCTGCTGCCTGCGCGCGCCGAAGCCGGCGTCGACATGTTCAGGTTGTACGTATCGGCCTGCAAGTATAGCAAAAACTCAGCATCAGCATTTTCACTCTGGTTTACGGTCAATAGAGTGAGCCAGTACTCACAGATCCCACCAAATACACGCCGTTGGGGAGGCTTGCATTGCGGACTAGGGTCGCGCTCGGCAGGTTGAGGTTGACGTCCAGCTCGCTTGCCCTGACGGGGTCAGACACACTGAGACGGCTTGTGACGTCCTCGGTCCGCGAGCAGACGGAAAGCGAGCTGAAGGTCTGGGACTGACACCCCTTGGGGCCACAGATGGGCGGGAGCGGCGTCACGTCCAAGTCGACGGGGCTGTAGATGCCGAGCTGTATGCTCTGCTTCTGCCGAATGTCCAGGTCCGCTTCCAGCAAACGCCCCTGTTAGCAACACAAGCATTCACAGCGCTATAGATCAAAACTTTTCGACATACCGGTAGAGCCAGTAACGGCAGCAGTATCCGTGAAAGGATAGCTCACGCCCTGCGCTTCGCTGGCCTGGCTGGCAACAGTGGTCAAGCGAGTTGGATATTCTGTATTTGATCATGGTTCGCTCATTAGCATCTTTATGTCGACCTGGGCGTAGCTCAGAGTCTACTCACCGATTATCATTTGGGTTAGTGGCGAAGTCACCACGCTCGTAAGCATGATGATGGTAGCGAGGAGGCTGAGGCATCTTTATACCACGCATCGCAAGGTGTTAGCAACAGGAAAAGCCCAAACAAGAAAAGAGAAGCATGAGCGAGACAAGACTTACCGGCCCTTGGTGACAAAAGCTAGGCGCACGGCCCCAAACGGCCCCCTCCGCGCGTCCTCGAAGGCCTGGAAGTCGGCCAGCGACCGGTCCCGGCGCGCGAACCAGTTCCACTTGAGCTGGCCGAGGCCCTCGAGGACGGGGAAGAGCAGGGCGGCGTGGCAGACGGAGGCGAGGAAGGCGACGAGGGCGTTGAGCGTGACGGGCAGCGGCCAGGCCGCGAGCGCGCGGCCGTCGTAGCGGCTCAGCAGCACCCCGATGATGCCCAGGCACGCGACGGCCACGAGGCACCACAGCACCTCGGGCAGCCAGCTGGCCCGGTAACCGCTCCAGACGCTGCGCGCCGACGCCGCCCCGGACCGGCTCTGCGCCGACAGCCGCCGTCCCCCCGCCGCTTCTGGTGTCGCTGCCGCGCCCAGGCCGCGCCCCAGCTCCGCCTCCTCCTCCTTGAGGGTGGACGTGTCCGCCGTCGGCCCGAAGACGCTGCCCTCCTCGTACTGCTGCATAAAGGGCGTCCCGCCGCTCCCGCCCACGACCGACGCGCGGCAGTGCACCGGCGGCGGGTGCTGCTGTAGGGGATGAAGTGCTGCCGCCTGGGGCGGCGTCGTTCGCCTCTGCGATGGCGACAGCGGCCCCTGCACGGAGCCGCGGTCGGAGGAAAAAGCGGCCGACTGGTGGGATAGGGGGCGATGATGAGAGAACCTCGGTTGCTGCTGGGGAGATGGGAGGTAGGGCGAGAAGGCCTGCTGCGAGGTCCGTCGCGGCGGCGTCGGCTGCTGCTGTTGTTGTGCCGAGAAGCGCGCCTGCGGCGGCATGGCTGCTAGCGGGGTGTAGAACTCGGGCGATGGCGGCCGCTGCGACAAAGGGGTCTCGTGGACCGGCGACGTATCCTCGCGCTGAAAAGGGAGCTGCAGGGTCTGACTTTGCCTCTGCGTAGTGTTTCGCGAATCCGGCTCCCCGACGGCGGCTGCATGCTGCTCCAAAGGCCAGTCCCTCTTCAACGAGGCTCTGCGCTCGTCGGATGAGATGCCCTGCGCTGCCCCAGCGAAATAACCATGCGACGAAGCCGGGGACTGGACGACACCGGCCACGGGCGCAGCCTCGCCTGGCGAGCCCCGGGATAACCGCGACTCTTGGGGAAGCGGCGGCAGGGGAGCGTCCCTTCGGCTACCGCTCGAATCAACGGTGCGCGGCATGGTCCTCTGAGAGACCCTGTATGCCAACGAGTTCGCCCTGCTAGCGTCCCTAGACGAAAAGTTCTCCGAGTCGCTGATGGGAGAGACGGGGTGAGAGGGCGGGACCTGGTTGGCCCCGTGCAACTGCGAGAAGGCATAGTCCCTCTGGACGTGTGGCGACGCCGGCCAGGGTGGTGGCGGGGACGGATGGGACGGACTTGCGGATGGCAAACCAGACTCTCCGCAAGTTGAGCTGGGCGCAGAGACCTCATCCGTGGCCACCTTTGCTGGTGCCAACCCGTTCCCGGAACCACTCAGGGCTATTGAAGGCCCAGCTCCGGCTCCTCTGTCGGTCCCTGCTATCGCCGGCGTCCCTGGCCCTTCTGATGTCTTCTCTCTAGGCCATGGCTCGGTCCCGGAGCCCAGTCCCAGGCCTAGAGCCGGCGTATTTACCGTCTCGGTCGGAGCTGCCGTCGAAGAATGCCTCGGCGATGGGAGAGGTCTCCTAGGTATAGAGTTCTGTGGTTTTTGTGGCGGCTGCTGCTGCTGCTGCTTCCCTGATGCCTCCTCTGCTGGTGGCCCCGACCTAGGAGAGAAGCTGGCGGGAGAGAAGCTGGCGGGCGTGAAGCCCGGATGGAAGAAGTCCTCTCCCGGGAACTCCGGGTTAGGAGAGTTCATGTCTTACGTCTAAAGGGGGACGGCGACATTCTAGAGCGGCCTTTCGTTCACGATTTCGAGTTGCACGTGGTAAGCACGACATGCATATGCGAGTCGAGTTTGTGGAGGCCAAAAAAAGATGTAGAAATGTCAAGTTGGTATTTTCTTGGGGCGACAGCGAACCCCCAAGGCGGACGCGAAGATGCGGGTGTTGTGCGTCTGAGTGTATAAGATACGGGCCTAGCAGAGCGAGGGGGGAAGCAGGAAGGGGCCCTGAACGGTTCAGATGTGGCTGGTCCAAGCGGAAGGCGAAGCTGTGATGAGGAGAGACCCTGCTGTGTGACGAGGTCTCGGATACAACAGAAACGAAACAAACAAACAAAACAGAGGGGACGTAGTTGGGGGACAAAACATCCAGCAGGAAGCAAGGAGCGCACACGAAGGGCGAAGTATCTTGCTTAAGGAGCAAGACGGGGAAAAGGCGCAAAGTAAGCCGTCAGCCCCAGCGAGCACGGCGGGATGGGGCGAGATGGATCCGCCGGTCCCCCTCTCGGCGGCGGAGGAGGGCATGGAGGGCCCCGGGAAGAAAGAACAAGTAGGGGTGGCATGGTGGATATAACCGCTAGACCGCCTGCACAGGCAAGGACTGTAAACAGTTGCCGATTTGCGCTGGGCCCGGGGTGGGTGTGGAGGCAACAAATCAATGTAGGTAAGATGCAGAGGTGGTGCAAGCGCGTGTGTTGGAGGTAGCATCACAGGCGGGCGAGCCACATGGGGAAAGGATGTGTGCTGATCGAGGGGGGGAGAAGGGTCTGGGCCGGGACGCTTGTCGCGGCATACGAGAGGGGCTTGCTATGAACTCCAAGAGGTCAAGCTGGGAGATAGGTAGTGAGAGGGAGAGAGAGACAGTGAGTGTAGTAATACAGCCGGGGCCTGTCAACGACTGGCTCGCGTCGTGGTAGAGGTGTGGCATCTTTGGAGCTCTTCCAGGCTCTGGTGGTTGACCCCAGTCGGATGCGAGAGCAAGGATGTCAAAACAGAAACAGAGAGGTGCCTGTTGGTGAAACGGATGGAAAAGAGGGAGTGGAAGGAATCGATTGGATCAATCGAGCCTGGAGCCAGGAAAAAGAAATCCCTGCTCAGCCACCTCTCTCTCCCACCGTGCCTAGACTTACAGGCCCACACCAGCCATCGACAGCCACCGCACGGCCTGGAAGTCATCACTGGCAGCCACCATCAATCAATCACAAATTTGCTCGCATCACACATCAGCGCCCGCGGCTTGAAACATGGCCTCACACGAGCTGCAGTCGAGGTCACATCCGCCCAGGGAGTTGAAACAAAGACTCGGGCAATCGACAAGTCCAGGCGACGGCGGCGTGCCAAAAGAGAAGCTGGTCCGGCGTCGATGCTAGCCACCCAGCCTCCTCGTTACTGTGGCTCTATGATGTGCTGTTGTTGGCAGCAACAAGAGCATGGAGAGTCAGCAGGGCGGCCCAGTAAGCACCACGCATGCGCACCCACCACCCAAGACCCTAACGTCCTTTCATTCTTCCTCTGCGTCCATCCATCCGCGCAAGCCTCATTGGATCCGTCACTCGCTTTTTTTCTGCTGTGCCGCTTCCTCCCGTCTCCGAGCTCATACGGCACACCACTACCTACCGGATCTATGCGGCGCGGCTCCGCGATCCGGTCGACGACCTGCCCAGTTATGCCCTGGGATCCGGGTTTGGTCGGTGACTGTATTGATTGGTGTCTTTGTCTATCTACCTGGGCAGTCAGGTGGGCCGCTAGACATATACGTTGATTCCATCATCTTGTCGTATTGCTCGTCTGCACTTTGCTCTTCGCTATCAGAGACACCCAGTCTTGGGCCCTCCTTTCCAAACAGACCCCCTTCCGGGGTACTGCACAGGCTGTATAGGCACCGCAATGTGTATTTATATTCCAGGCGCTGCGCGTTCGTTCGTCTTTTATACGGGCAAACGTGCACTCCTTCGTATCGCTTGTGGTCCGTCGCGCTATGCTACCGAAACCGCAATGTGCGCCCGCATGGCCGTGACCGCATCGCCGTCGTGCTGCTTGAGCAGCTCGGTGGCCTTTGCTTTTGACAGCTCCAGCTCTTCGACCTGTTTCCGGGAGCCGAGGTCAGAAATTTGCCCACTATCGCCAAACAGCCAGCCGCCCCCAGAGTAAGGCTCCTTACCAAGAGAGCCACGTCGGCGGCGTCGACCTTGACCTTCTTGACTTCCTTCTTCTCCTCGGTGGCGCCGCCGGCGAGGCGGCCCATGGCCTTGTTGACGGCGTCGCGGTCGACGGCCGAGGCCGAGGCGTCGTCGTCGCCGCCCGTCGCGTCCAGCGACGCCATGGCCGCCGCCGCCTTGCGGTCCTCGGCCGACTTGGCCACCGTCTCCTCCTGCACCTCGTCGTCGACGTCGGGCTTCTTATCGTCGGACATGGTGGCTGCTGATTGTTGGGGGCGACTGGGTGGGGGGTAAGGAATGTGTGTCTCGGCCATGAACGACGGCTTTCTTGGTGGGGTTCAGCGCGCTCAATTGATACAACACCTAACTCGGGTCAAAGCTGTAGCGGGGCCATCCCTTCGTCGCACACGCACACACGGTTTAGATTTGATCAGATTGACACTGGGCCGCTGACGACAGGGGCGTTTACAGCGGGGCTGGGCGCTGTATTTTTCGGTCCCGGCGAGTGGACGGAACCAACAAAGGCCGCCGAGCGCTGTAAGGGACGCACTTTTGTGTCCATTCTGGGCAGTTTTGTCCCAACGCCGCCGGGTTCTCTTTTCGATTGCCGTTCTGGGAAAGCAGGAAAAGGTGAGCGGGTGACTCAACCTCCATCTCGTCGAGACGAAATCGGCTCGCCCTTGCATAAACGGCGGGACTAGGGCCAGCATTGAATTAAGGATCTGATTGAAGAGTATTGAGCTCTGTCATTCTGGTGGTGCACAAAAAGGGGGGTTGACCTGACGTTTCCTTCACATTCGAGTCCTCGTCATCTTCCCTGTCGTCGATCTTTGTCCCCCGTCCGTGTTAGTTAGTTGGCTCTACTCTTCAACATCCAACACCACAACCAAACACCAAACACCACACATCCCCAACATGGCCCAGCCAAACGGCACCCCGGCCTCAGAGCCCTGGACCCCCGCGTCCTGGAGGACCAAGCCGGCCAAGCAGTGCCCCGAGTACCCGGACCAGGCGGCCCTGGCGCGGGCGACGGGCGAGCTGGAGCGGCTGCCGCCCATCGTGCACCCGCGCGAGGTGGAGCGGCTCAAGGCCCTGCTGGCCGAGGTGGCGCGCGGCGACGCCTTCCTGCTGCAGGGCGGCGACTGCGCCGAGCTCTTCGACTACTGCGAGCAGGGGGCCATCGAGTCAAAGGTCAAGCTGCTCCTGCAGATGTCGCTCGTGCTCGTCTGGGGCGCCGACAAGAAGGTGGTGCGCATCGGCCGCATGGCCGGCCAGTACGCCAAGCCGCGCTCCAGCCCGACCGAGCTCGCCGCGGACCCGGCCACGGGCGAGCCCGTCAGCGTGCCCAGCTTCCGCGGCGACATCCTCAACGGCTTCCCCCTGGCCGAGCGCGAGCTGGACCCGGCCCGCCTCGTGCGCGCCTACCACCACTCGGCCGCGACGCTCAATTACGTCCGCGCCGCCCTGGCCTCGGGGCTTGCCGACCTGCACCGCCCGCTCGACTGGGGGCTCGGCCACGTGCGCGACGACGCCCTGCGCGCAAAGTACCAGGAGGCCGTCCGGTTCCTGACCGAGATGCTGCGCTTCATGCACACCATCGGCGCCGACAAGAGCGACAAGCTGGGGACCGTCGAGCTCTTCACCAGCCACGAGGGCCTGCTGCTCGAGTACGAACAGGCCCTGACCCGCCTGCTCGAGAACCCGGCCGCCCCTCCATCGGCGGCGCCTCCCGCCGTCGCCCCGGGTGGCAGCAGGACCACCACTACCACCACTACCACCACCGCCGGCCGCAAGGAGTACTACGACACGTCGGCCCACTTCCTCTGGATCGGCGACCGCACCCGGCAGCTCGACCACGCGCACGTCGAGTTCTTCCGCGGCGTCGCCAACCCCATCGGCGTCAAGGTCGGCCCCACCACGCCCGCCTCGGACCTCCTCGGCCTCCTGCGCGCCCTCAACCCGTCCCGCGAGGCCGGCAAGCTGACCCTCATCACGCGCTACGGCGCCTCGCGCGTCGCCGAGCTGCTCCCGGCCCACATCCGCGCCGTCGAGGACAGCGAGTACAGCGGGCTCGTGGTCTGGCAGTGCGACCCCATGCACGGCAACACCCGCTCCGTCGGCGAGTTCAAGACGCGCGAGTTCAGGGACATCTTCGACGAGCTGTCGGCCTGCCTGCGCGTCCACGCCGAGCAGGGGTCGCGCCTGGGGGGCGTGCACCTTGAGCTCACGGGCGACGCCGTCACCGAGTGCCTGGGCGGCGCCGCAGAGCTCGAGGCCTCGGACCTGCCCACAAACTACACCAGCTTCTGCGACCCGCGCCTCAACGAGAAGCAGGCCCTCGAGCTCGCCTTCCTCGTCGCTGACCACTACCGCCAGCGCCAGGGGAGGATCCCGCCACCGCTGCCGCCGACAGCTGCGGCATAGGCTTGCTGCGGCTGTATTTTTCCCATTTCTTCCCGTCTCGTACCAAAAGTCTGACTGATTTCGACCAAAAAAAAAAAAGCCCACAACTGTGGCAACCCAAAAGAGCCTATGCGGCTTTGTCAATGGCGTCTTCTTGTTATAAAGCGTGGGATCTTCTCGCGCTAGGTCTTTGGGGCCGCAAAAAGGCAACCCTATATCTGGCTGGATAGAACCAAATATTTCCCGGTATATATCAAATTATATACCAGGTGCAATTTCATACCAACAACATGCCACTACAAGATTTTGGGACGTGATTGACATGCTAAATTCCACTCTCCACCTTCTTCCCCTCCACTCGTTCAAACGTTTCCCAGAAGATCCAGGGCTGGATTTGCTTGGGTCATGTTCCTTTCTGCATCATCTAAAAGTACGTCACTCGACTTTGAGGCCGTTAATAAACCCCAGGCTGGGCGAGGTGGGCAGTCACCCTAGATCATCAAACAGGACCAGGAAGGTCCCCTTAAGTCCCGTCTAGTCCTTCGTGTTCCCCAGCACCCTCCCATTCCTCCCCTCCCCTCTCGCTCCCTCACAGCCTCGGCTCAGAACCCCTACACCCAACCTGTCCGCCGCCGCCGCCGCCGCCGCCACAGCCCCGTCACCAGGCCGTGATGGTCTGGGCGCCCTCGAGCGCATCGCCGGGCTCGAGGGTCTGCCAGCCCCTGACGGCGCCGGCCTCGACACACAGCATCTTGTGGTAGCCGTCCTTGGGCGCAAAGTCGCCGATGGACTCGGCCTTTGCGTCCCAGGGGTTCCACACCACCACGTCGTCCAGGTTGTCGCGCACCACCTCGAACACCTTGCGCCCGCCCTCGGACACGGCCACGGGCGCCCGGGGCCCGCCCGCCGGCGTGTAGATGCGGTCCGTCTCGCCCGTGATGGAGAGCCCGCCCTCGGCCTGCTTGCTGACCGCGTTGGCCGCCACCTTGTCGACGAACTCGGCGCCGTCCAGGCCCGAGATGGAGACGCTCTTGATGTCCTTTTTTGGGGGGTTCCGTGTCAGCAATATGGTCACATAGATACGGCCAGCCAGCGACCGGGGTTGTCTCCAAATTCGTCACCCCTGCCGAACCATGCCACTGCAGCCCTGCTCCGGTTTTTTTTTTTGCCTTTTTATCTTTTTCCCGTATTTTTGCCTCTATTCGGTCCCAAACTCACATTGATCCGCAGGTAAGTGTGCAGCAGCACCTGGATCTCGATAGGCTTGTCCCCGGCGTTGGTGGCGGTGAGGCTGGTGGTGAGCGAGTCGCGCTCGAGCGTGACGCTGTAGAGCAGGTTGAAGGGGTGGGGCCAGAGCGCGCGCGTGGCCGCGGCCAGGTTGGAGCTCGTGAGGCCAAAGTCGAGCTTGACCGAGTGGTCGCCCGTAGCCGCGCCCAACGACGACGAGGCGCCGCCGCCGCCGGCGCGCTGCGATTCCGACGTTGACTTGCCTAGGAACTCCCAGTGCGACGTGCGGGCGAAGCCATGCTGCGGGAGCTTGGACGTCTCGGCGTGGTCGGGGGCGGTGCCAAAGACCTATGGGTGAATGGAGGTTAGCGTTTTCCTTTTCTTTTCTTTTTTATCCTTGGCGACGGCCTAGCAAGGGCAACAAGAGAGGGGAGGGAAGGGGAAAATAAAATAAAAAGGGCAGCGTACCGGGAAGACGAGAGGAATGCCGCCGCGGACGGCCTTGGTGCCGTCAAGGCTGGCGGCCTCGCTCAGCCATAGCTTCTCCTGGCCATTCCTCTTCCAGCTGAGCACGGTGGCGCCGTAGAGGAGGACCTCGACGCTCTCGCCCGTGGGCAGCACGGCCGACACGCGCTGCTTGTCGTCCGAGATGGTGACCTGGGCCTGCGGGGCGAGCCCGGGCGTGCTGGCCAGAGCCGACGGCTTGTTAGGGCGGTCGACCATGGTTGTGGTGGCGGTTTCTTGTGTTGTTGACTTTGCCTTTTTTTGTGTGGTTGGTAGTGGTTGTGCTGCTGCTGTTTCGTCCCTTTTTCCGAAGAGGCAGGAGCTGAACGAGAGCTACAGGGAAGAACGGAGCTTGTTCAGCGGGTGAATGTAACGCAGGCCGTTTGTTGGCGGCGGCGGTGGATCTTTTTGGAGGTGCCCACAATGCGCATATGCAGCAGAAGTCCAAGTCCCAAGTCGGTCGAGTCCAGCAGTGGTGAGATGGGGACAGGTACGGCACAGCTCTTGTTGGTTGTGCGCTGGAACTTATCACCTACATACGATTCACTGCAAGGATACGTATGGAACCCTTATTCTAGGCCTTGCCGTCCAAAACGGGACGGGATTTGATTGTCCAGCAAAAAGCTCAGCAAACAGCAGCAACAGCAAACCCGCAAACACGAACAGACGGTTCGCGAGGCCTTCCTTGATGAGATTAGACAGGACGAGCGAGCGTATGGGCAAATGCGACAAGCCAGACGGGCGGCCATGCGTCAATGGGAAATCACCGTGTCACAAAATAGCGATAGTGCACCTCAGCGCCAGGAGCAGCACCTAAAGAGGCATTGACGTCGTGGCGGGGTAAAACGGCGCCTCCGTATTGCACAGGCTGGCGCTCCTCATCCCTCCAACGACCCCGCCCCGCGCCCCCGTCTGGGCTGTTTGTTAGTTCGGCCTCACCCCCGCTCTCCACAGCCCCCCCCTGCCAGCACACACACCTCGAGCTGCGCTAACGATGCCTGCATCCGGCCTCCTGAAACCCTCTTGCACATCAATCGCTTAGCCTGAATGGTCGCCTGGTGCTGTAAGGGTGGGGTCCAGACCCGCCTTGACCGGAAACTACTTGACCTCGGGAGCGACGTTGGACTCACCGCAACGAGATGTCGAGACTGGACGACTGACCGACCCGTGTGGAAGGCTTCTTGCATTGCACACAATGGAAAAGCATGTAAACGAAGCGTGGCATCTCGCAAGGCACGCAGAAAAGTTTTTTGTTTTATACCTTGCCCAAAAGGTTGATATAAATGGCATGTCCCCCACAGTCCTTTAAACCACCATCCTTCATGTCTTGGTAATATTGGTAATGCTTCCCCCCACACACTATGATATAAACAACTCCGAACCTTCGGCCGCGCTAGCCAGGAGCTTCGTTCCAACCCGTCCAAGTCAAAACAAGAAATAGGAAAGTGAAAAGCGTGGACCCCAGCCCCTACTGATGTGCCGGTTTCCGGGTATGCGCCGAGTATGCCAGATCCAACAAAAAAAAAACTCATCGCGGAGAACGCAACATTGAAAAGAGAGAAAAAGAAATTATACACAGGCAGCCCCTAGTTATCCCGTCCCCTCTTCTCGGCTGCGTAGAGCTCGCGCTTGATATCCATGCACACGTCCTCGATTTCGTACACCTCGTCCCTCGGCAGGTTTGCCGTCCGCAGCGCCCCAAGACCTCCCCGAAGCATGTCCATGATCGTCTGGAAGGTGGACTTGGGCGCCGCCGGTTGTGGCATCGCCGTTGCCTGTTGGGCGGCTGTTTCGGTGGCCGCCTCGACCGCCGCCGGGTGTACCGGTCCGTCATCTTCGTCGTCGCCGCCCTCCTTCTCGGCTTCGTCTGTTGTTTTTGTGTCTTGACCCATAGGTTCCGTTTCCAGAGCCGGAGCGGCAGCTGCCTCGGCGACGACTGACCCGGCGCGCTCTTGACTGCGTTGCGATTCCGTCTCCTCCATCGCGATCTGCGACTGAAGCTGCTCCTCGGGATCTGTCTCTGTGCTCCGTGGGGAAAGAGACTCCAAGATTTCGGCTGGCTTGAGTTTGCCATCGTCGGGCTGCACGGGTTGTACTCCAGTCGCCTCCATGATATCGCTTGCTGGCGCGGGATCCTCTGCTTCGGCGGGCATTACATCAGCCCCGGGCTTCTCGGCTTCATCACCATGCTTTGGAGCCTCATCTGCTGCGAGAACTGAATAGAAAATTGTGTCAGTTGGCAATGCAACAGCAGAGACACAATACGGAGAGACTCTCATACCTTTTGCGTCCAGGTCGACCTGGCTGTCGAGTATCTCCTGGCTCTGAAGCTCCGCGGACAGCTGCTTCGCCTTCTTGGTATTGATCAAGATGTTTTCTTCTTCGTCATCAGCTCCCCTGGAGGTTCGCTTGCGCTTTCTCCTGCTGGCGGGGGTGGAGACGCGCGACTCGACGGTTGGCTCGGCTATGGGCGTCGAGGGGGCGCTCGATAGCGTCGAGCTTGACCAGGACCGTCGTGGCCGGCCCCGTCCCCTCTTGGATCTCCTCATCCCACCCTCGCTCGAGAGCCCACCCGTTTCCTGTCCGGCATCTGTGTTGGCGACATCGGCGGCATCTTGCTTCTGTTCCCGACCCTTGATTGGCGATGGAGTACCCTCAATGAAGTTTGTCGGAGGCCTGGACTGGCCATCCAGCTCCACGACGAGCCTCACCATACTGTCCTCCACCCCTTCACTGACCGCAAACGAGGTGTCATCCATAACTGTGTCTTCGACGACCTCCTCAGCCGGAGACGACTTCGTAGGGCTGGTCGGCCCGTCCGCAACGGCCTCGGCGTCTGACTTGGGCGTCTCCTGGACGGCCTTTATCCGCTGGCTGCGGCGAGGCGTTGACGGAATCTCAAGAATTGCCCTGTTGGCCATGATTGAGCCGACCTTGGGTTTCTCTGCCGCCCCGCTTTTCACCACAGGGCTTTCGTTGGCCGCAGAAGCTGAGGAAGCCGTGACCGGCTCATCAAAGACTAAGCTTCCACCCTCCTCGTCAACAGCCATGGCATCGTCATCCTGTTCGAGGGCAGAGGCCACTCGGCGTACAGGCTCGGGAGATCCGGTGATGGGCGAAGAGGAGAACTGCCAATCATCTAGCAGGCTAGGTTTGCGGGACCGAGTGTTTATTTCGGGCACGAGGGGGTACCGGCGAGCTTCAGGAGGCGATGAAGGCAGATCGGTAGCCTCGCCATAAGTGGGAGCCAGGGGCGTTGCCTGACCCCGACGAGGCGTGGGCGTCGAGCTTATGAAGTCTTGGAAGGAATCTCCCCGTTCAGGAGTGACGGCTTGGGGAGTGGATGGTGGGCTAGGAGACCTGGGATGAGCCTCTTTTAGAGGGGATGATTGCTTGACGTTGGTATCAAGGGCCGCCCGTCTAGGGCTGGAACGCCTCGGACGTCTCGGACTTGTCCGCCTTGGGCTGGATCGGATGCCCGGGAACAGTGTCGCAGCAGCCTTTTGCCGGTCTCGTACTTCCTGTTGCCTCTCGGTGAGCACTTGAGACTCGAGGCTGGCCCGGTCGGACGGCGACGAGCCGATCGCCTCAAACTGAACTTGAGAGTCGTCGTGGCGAAGCTTGGTGGCAGATCTGCCCTTGCGGTGGGCAGACGCTGAGACTGAGGGTTTGGTGACACCGCCGCTCGAGAGGCGTGGACTCTTTCTAGGAGTGCTTCGCTCCTTCACAGACGGGATCACGCCCTTTCCGCTTTTAGCCGGAGTGACGTTCGTCTTGACTGGAGATATGGACTTGGTTGATGCCGAGTTGAAGATGTCCATATCGTCCTGGGAGTCAATGAACGATGGCATCTGCGCGCCGCCAGCCGAGCTGTCAGAGACGTCGAGTCCAGGTAGGGTGATGTCGGCGAACGAATGGAGCGAGACGAGCACCATCTTCAGCTTCTCGGGGTAGGTAATGTCGGAAGCCTTCTCGAAGAGCTCGTTCCATCTGGTCGATACACTGTTGACAACATGGCGGTGCTTGCTCTCAAAGGCAGCACATAGCAAAGGCTCCATGCTCGTCAACGGGAGCATCTCCGCCGTCTCGACGTCGAAGACGACAGCACACACCCTATCCCAAAGTGATTTGGTCACTTCCGATACCTCGGCGAACTGGCGACTTTGCAGCCGAGTCCCTTCGTCCTGAATCCAGGGCACCAAGCCAAGCTGCAAGAGTCCGAGAGTTTGCAGTGCAAGCTGGCTGTTACACCTGCCCACAAAGGCCTCTACCTCCTTGAGCACTGCGATAGCGGATGCGTGGGCCACATTCTCGTCGCTGTACAAACGCTGGAGGACCGTATTGCAGGCCCGGTAGAGGTTGTCGAAGGGATCGCTCGAGGCGGATCTCGCTCCGGAGGCAGCAGTGCCCCACAACCGCCGACGGGCGGCCTCGATGGCCTGCCTATCTCGTGGATGGGTGGCAGCCGAGATGAGATCGCCAAAGGCAACGATGCAGTTGGTTGGCAGTGAACCGTCTTCGGGTAGCGTGTCAATAAGGGACTTGGCCAGAGGCTCAATGACCGTGATTGCCAGGCCGGCATCACCAGCCACGTTCCGCACGCGGCTGGCGAGTGAGCTCAACAGAGACTGCCAGTGATGCCAACCCAGATTTGGGGTGGATCTCAGCCCGCGTTCGAGGACCTTGACGACATCGCGATACTCCTGGCCAAGAAGCACGTCGCTACCCGAACTACCGACCACGTCGCTGCTGTGCTGAGATGGCTCCAGGCCCGCGGAAGCAAGCTCAGCAATGAGGATCCATGGGCCGCCTGGACACAGCGCATCGGCGGGGATCATCTGCATCATCTCCTGACACATCTGCTTGCGGCCCTTGGCATCCCGTTCGCTAATCAGAGGGGTAAAGATGGACTTGAAAAACTCGCCAAGTTCCTCGTTGTCAGGGACCCCAGGCGGGAGGGTTGACAGGATGGAGAACAGGTGGTACATGGTCGGTCGTGCCGTAAGGGAATGTTTGCCCGAGCGGTTCGAAGGGGTCGTTATTGGCACCAACGTGCTATCGTTGTTCATCGCAAGTACCTTCTCGGTGAAAGGGAGGCGGCCCAGCTTGTCAATGACAACCAAGATCAGTTCCCGAGTGCTCGCGAGGAACTGGACCGAGCCGCCGTTTTCCGTCTCCTTCATCACTTCGACACCCTCAGCCCACACGCGTGTCAGGAACCCGAGCGTGTGGGCCAGGAAAGTCGCAGTTTCTTGCGAAACCTTGATTTCTTTCGACGCCGCCGACGCGATCGACGAGATCAAGTTGTGCCATAGCTTGTGAGTCCCACTCCTGGTGTTGCTCAGTTCGTGGTAGCTTTGCTTCATTATCGGCTCAACAACCCCGAACACCCTGACGGGGTTCCGACGCAGCCACTTTGCCTCTATCGCTGGCAGTTCAGCCGGTGTTATTGGCATGCATTCGTCCGCGATCCTGTCTTCGCGCCAGACCCGTTGAGTCGAGCAGTCGAAGAGGCCAGTAAGAATAGCCGCGCTTTGGGCACATCTCTGCTTGTCGGGGACAGACTGGCCATCAGTGAGTTGCTGCATCACCGACTTGACGCTGGTGTCCCAGTAGACATCGAGATTGCTCAGATTTACACCAAACTTGAAGGTGTAGTAGAACAGCACGCAGGTCGTTTCGCCGATAACCCTGCGCAGCTCCTCGACAGCCTCCTTGTCCTTTCCGTTGCCGAACCGCCTGAGCTGGTTGGCCTGCAAAGGCTGAGTAAGCGACCGAAGAGTCTTGGGGGGGATGGAGCGAGTCCCAACACTCAATGTGTACACCAAACGGGACCACGCCCGATTTGCCTCCAACTTGGTGTTGATGTCGGGGTGGTTAAAGCACGTCTGTATGATGAGGAGCCAGTCGTTGAAGTGCTTCCATTCGTCGGCGTTGGGCAACAGAAGCATAGTCACGCTCCAAATCTGGGGGACGAAGCGCGAGATCTGTTTGTCCTTGAGCATATTCCTGAGGTTATCGGCGTAGTACTCGATGAACACTTTGCCCTCCTCGGATGGCGAAGGCAGCTGGGCAAGCTCGAGCATCTTGCGGGACAGCAGCTTCTCTCTGCCTATTGTGAAGGCGGCCTCCTTGCCTAATGAGATTGCACTGTTTCTGATCTCCTTGACGGTGCTGAGCATGGCCTCGAAAAGGTCGAACAGCCAGTCCGAGTGCTGGGCCATGTGGTGCTTGGATTGCTTGATCAGCTTTCGGTAGACTTGGATGATGTGCATAAAGGTGCTCTTCTTATCCCTGATGGGTTCGGGGATGTTGCGGATTGCGCTGACAATCTTGGCTACGCGGTCAGAGGTCATAACCTTGGGCGGGAAGGTCTGGATGCCAATGACTTGTAGCACATTCCTTGCCATCTCCTTTGACAGAGAGGCGTCCCCGAGGGTCCTGATGCAATGGTCGACGATCTGCATGGCGGCATCGTTCGGGATGAAAGACGAAATGGCGGGGAAGTAGAGAAAGACGTGCAGCAGCTGATAGGCATGGTTCGTGAGCGACATGTCGGTGCCCTTGCTGGCGATGTCCCTCTGCACGAACTGAACCAAGAGGGGCATCTTGTCTTGCAACGCTATCCTGTCGGGCAGGTTCTTGGACGCTTTTAAGGCGCGGACCAGCATGGTGTAGGCATCGACCTTGTCGTCGCGGTCGCTGCCCGCCAGCTGCTTGACCGTCGACTCCAACATCTCGGGCAGGTTGAGGCCATCGGGGCTTAGGCGGTCTGTCGGGTCGAGGGGGTTCGAGCCGTACGGCACGCTGACTTTGAGGATGGACTTGACGGGGGGTGCGGTGCTCGAGGAGGGATGGCGGATGGAGACGGGAGTAGGCTGGCGCAGGGTCCCATCCTCGCCGACTGAGGATGGATGCTCCCGGTACTCGGCCTGGGCCGAGAACTCGACTCTCTTCCTACGAGAGCTCCCTACGGCGGGCGATGGATGGCTTGGTGGCGTGTGGAGGGTCCGTCTCGGATCAAGAAGATGGGGCTCGGCTGCCGGTTTCGCCTGGGGAAGGCTCGGATCCGGCTCGATGGTCGTTTTGTGAGGCGGTGTCGGCGGTCTCGCTTCGAGGTGGTCCAGGCGACTGCTATTGTTGCTGCTGCTGTCTTCCACCACTGCTGCGGGCATGATGGCACCAAGATCAGACCAAATTCACCTAGACCTCGACCTGTCTCCTCCCAGGCGCCAGCAAACTCATACGTCGGCTGCAAGGGGAGGGCGTCGGGGATGTCGGGCGGGTTGCCAATGCTGGAACAAACAAGGAAAATTAAAGGGGATTAAGCCAACAAGAAAAAAACAAAAAAGAGCGAAGCGATTATACAAAACTACAACTAGAAAAGCGCTGGCGATGAAGGCACGGGCATGAGAGACAGCAACGAGACGCCAGGGGGAAAAGTCGTCGCCGCCCTGGTCCGTCGTCTGTTCAACTGCGATGGGGCGAATTGACAAGGGCAATGGTTGGCCCCGAGACGGCTTTAAGTGAAAAGTCGCGGTTCCGCGCCTAAAGTGGAGCAGCGCGTGGTGTTCGTGTCCCGCCAGCCACGGGATGAAGAGCCCAACTGTAGGGATTCCCTGGGCCGGCCGTTCAGGGTCCGCGAATTGCAGCCCCGCAAGTTAAACGACACCGTCCCCAATTCAATCGTCATCCGTGCGTCTCGAGTAACCACCCCCACGAGACCAAAGACAGCAGATTGATGAGCAAACACTTGAGACCAAGATTTGGCCTGCCACGCGATCCACTATACCGGGTATCCAAATCTGCCCCAAAGGGCTGAATTCGTCAAGTCAGCGATCCAAGGACGGCCTGGCACAGAGCAGTCCATTTCTCTATCCAATATCTCCAAGTCTACCACAAACCATCATCATTCAAGTCTCCAAGGACCAGGGAGTGGAGAACAGTTTGTGCTGTCAAACCCCAGTGAATTGAACCGACGGGTCTGGGATCAAGACCGGCGCTCGCTTCCTTCCATCTTGCCGTCTCCATACTCTATATCACACGTGTGTGCTGCACAACCCGAAACCTACCTAGTGTAGCTACCTTCCGCTTGATAAAGCTACAGCCAGTGTTCTAAAAGCTAGAACGGCAGATTCACGGCTCGGGTCGGAAATGGCACAGGCACTCTTCACTGGCACCCTAACGGGCTCAGGTAGATCTCAAACCATCAATACTCACAAGAAAAAGAGAAAATACTGAATCCGAATGGGGAAACAGCCAAACGATCCGCCGTCCAGAGCCTATTGGACAAGTTGACTCTGGACTTAAAGGAGCAAAATCTCAGCCCCCAGGGTATGACGTCTGGCTATGACCCCTTATAGTTACATTAACTGATCAGGCCCAATCAGATCGAGACGCGGCTCTTGAGGAGCTCAAGATCTACGGCAGGGATCCCAGAGACGCGGACCCCATCTTCACGAAAGAGGGGATAGCAGCACTGTTGGCTCATGCCTTTGACAGCGCCTCAGACACAACCTCGCGCAATGCTCTCAGATGTCTAGCGAATGCCATGGTTCTCAGCCCTGCGTCGAAGAAGTTTCTGTTTGACCTGGGCTACGAGTCCAAGGCGTGCGCCAAGCTCAAGAACGACAGCTGGGACGATGAGTTCCTGATATCGAGGATTCTGCTGCTCGCGACTTATGTCCCTGGCATCGACCAGGCGGCACTCATCACCAAATACGACCTCGCAGATTCCATCGTCAAAAGGCTTGCGAGGCATGCCGAGATTCCATCATCCAAGGTCAAAGAGGACCCAATGGAGGACATGGCTCTAGCGGAGACCCTCAAGCTTCTCTTCAACCTTGGGCACTTCTGCCCCGAACAACGTGGCGAGCTTGCTCCGGCGATCCCTTCCGTCGTGAAAATGATATATTCTCGGCCACTACCAGCTGGGAAACCACTCGACCCTCCGTTTGGGCCATTGGTAAACGCTTTAGTTGACATGGACTTGCGTAACGACGATGCGAATTCTGCCCTCTTCCCCGGAGGCGCGCCCAGCAGACTCGTGGAGAGGATGATTCCGATCCTAGGCTCGTCACTGAGGAGTTACCGCGAGAATGAGATGGAGGCCACCATTGCCCCTCTGGTCGGCGTGCTAGGTCGCATATACGAGGTTGCGCCGGAGGCGGAGCAGCAGTTGATGCGGGAAAAGCTGCTCCCGGCCAAGGAGGACAGGGAGCAAGTGCTTGGAAGCAGCGGGAGTCTGCCCTCGAGGCTGCTCAATAACTCGACAAACCCGCTCGCGCCCGAGCTGGGGAAGAGCATCTCGCACCTGCTCTTCGACCTGTCCGGCAGAGATGCGATGAAGTTCATCGAGAACGTGGGCTACGGCTTCGCGTCCGGCTTCCTCTTCTCAAACAACATCGAAGTCCCAGATGGGGCGCTGGGGGCGGCAGGCAGCAGCTCTGGCACCGCGAGCGGTTCGGGAGGAAAGGACGTCAACCCGATCACGGGCCAGTTCTTGGACGCCGAGAACCTCCCGGAGATGCCGGCCATGACGCAGGAAGAGAAGGAGCGAGAGGCCGAGAGGCTGTTTGTTCTATTTGAGAGGTTCGTTTGGGCGCAGTCGGATACACGCCCCTGGACATGCTTGTTCTAACCCACAAACTTTTCACAGGCTCAAGAAAACTGGAATCGTCGACGTCCAGAACCCGGTCGAGAAGGCATTCCAGGAGGGTCGCTTCGAGGAGCTAGACGATGACTACGACGAGGACGAGGACAAGAAGCAGGGTAGCGATGGGGGCACAGGTAAGAAGCCATAGTCGGAGCATGATTGGGAGTAGCCAAGGAGGCTCTGTGGCTTGATCTGTCCGTGTTCCCCGCCAATGAAAACCCTAGCTCGGGCATTATGTTTTCAATCTGCACAAACAGATATTGCAGTATGTGAACAAGGTCGCGCTTCGACAATGTGCCTGGGAAATGCTCCCACCCCGCGCACAAAAAAGCTGGCACCTTATAGGTCCTGAGGATTAGAATTTGGTAATTTGAGACTTTCCTATTCCTGTTTTCTTCGTGTTTTATTCCATTTCTTATCCATGTTTTCATCCTTATTGGTATTCGAATTTCCATTGACGGCTGTTCCTACCGCATCAACAGTGAAATCCCTGGAGCCTGTACTGGCTTGGCTGCCTTCCTGTTGTTTAGGTGGGACTGTCATCCATCGGTTTTGTGGTGGGTGTGGCTCCCTACATGCAGTCCATAACGTGGAGCCCAGGCCACGGGCAGTATTGTTTAGAAATGGCGCGTAAATCAACCCCAATGTTTACGTCTTTGCGATTTCCGCATCGGCACGCCGGTTCCAGACTTGGTCGAAGTACCAGTGGAAGGGTGGGTGGATTCCAGGTTTCCATGCTCTCCCCGCATCAGCCAGGGATGTTCTGAGGCATGTACCACACTAATACCCCAGGTACATCAGGTAAGGTACCTTGGCAATCAAAAGCCACCTTTGGATATATACTTCTTGCATATGTAAAAATTCGCTCTAGGTATTGCGCTCTAGAGAATGGGGATTGCAAGCGACCGCATATGCCATGCTATGAAATTTCCCCGAACTAGCTGTTCCTTCGTGCGGCATTGGGGTACCTGGTACCTCCAACCTCGGGAGCTCAAAGCAAGCCCGCCCCTGTCACGTGTGGGTCAATCAGCATGGAGGCTCGCAAAGCACCGACCAACTATAAAGCCCATACGCCGCGCGGGTCGCGGTCGCGCTTGCACGCAAGAGCTAACGATTCGCAGCTCCACAGCTCCCTCTCATGCACCTCCAGCTAAGGTCACCTCAAACCGAACTCAACACTGCGCCGCTCCGAATTCTGCGCGCACATCCATCAGATCTCCAACGTGCGTGTTCGTTGTTTTTAGCAGACGACCTTGCCTTTTGATTGAGGTGAATTATGAACGCATTTTTCGATTCGCCGCGCACCGTGTTCTTTGGTCGCTCAGAAGTTCATCAGCAAGTCGAAGCTATGCCGCCACCGCTGCCTTTGTAAGTTTCGCCCAGCTACAACGCGTCGCAAAAAACCCCACGCGCGTCTTTTTCGCGGGTGTCCGGCTTGATTGCTTTGATAGCTGCGCAGCGCATCAAGTCTCGTCGTCTACCCACCTTGTTTCTGACACGTTTTGCAGTGAGGAGGAGGAGGAGGTCCCGCCAGTCTTTATCCAGAGCGACATTGGTCTTCAGAACGGAGTCGGAGCCGCCAACAACGCCGCCAGCGAGGATGAGGCCGAGCCAGTTGGCGGCGGCGCCCTCTCGCCCCTCGAGGACGACGAGGACGAGGACAATGATGAGGATGATGGCGATATCGTCAATGAGATTGGCCCGGCGCCTGTCGCCGACATGGACATAGACGGCGACGCGTCCCCGGCTTCCGCCCCAACCACAAACGGCAGGAAGCGCGGCCGACCGTCTCTCTCGGCCGCCGGCTCCCGCAATAGCACCCCCGCCAAGACGCCCTCCAGGTCGACTGGAGCCAAGACCCCCCGCAATTTCAAGAGGGCTATCGCGTCCAAGGTCACCCCGAGCACCACCGGCGCCAAGCGTGGACGTAAGCGCAAGGCGGACGATGGCGACGCATCTGGCGCCGCCCCTGCTGCAAAGAAGGCACGAGCCCCGCGCACCATTCGTGAGGAGAGGGAGCCAACACGCGCAGTTTCCAAGCGTGGCGCTGCGGTTGCCGCAAAGGAGACTTTTGCGACGGCGCTCAAGGTCAAGATTACGGTTAGTGCTCTTATTTCTTTCTGCATAGCGTGTTTGTCATGACATCGACGCGTCCAACATCATACTAACTCGCCGTTTTTATCAGCAGAAAGTCGAAGTTCCAGCGGCGACCGGCAAGCGTCGGGGCCGCAAGCCCGCCGCAGCAGCTGTCAAGGCGAACCAGGATTGGGAAGTGGAGGAGATCGTTGATGCCGGCGTTATCGGCCCCAATGGCAAGCCGAAGACGTATCTCGTCAAGTGGAAAGGCTACTCGGCAGACGACAACACCTGGGAGCCCCGCAAGAACCTCACTGGCTGCCCAGAACTCCTCAGGGCATTTGACGCCAAGACCCAGCCGGAGAAAGCATCTACAGCGAAGAAAACACCGGGCCGCAAGCCTAGTGTAAAGGCTGGCCGCAAGGCCGCAGCAGAGAAGCCAGCCCCTGCGGTAGGGCCGGCTGAGAAGAAGGAGCCCCGCAAGCCTCCTGTTGAGAGGAAGCTCGCCGTTCCGAAAAAGGCTGCGAAGAGCACAGGCACCGGCCGCCGGGGCAGGCCCCCTGCCAAGAAGTAATCTGGTCCGCCTCGTCTCCAGTCGTCTGACTTTTTCTCCCATCTTTGCTCTGATCTGATTTAGGTTACTCGGTCTCTTGTACAAACAACTATTTTGCTTTTGGGGGGCAGGCAACGAGGCAACGATGCTGCGCAGCGTTATGGTGCATGCACCGGCGACATAATGCTACGCCCGCGGGGTGCCCTAGTGTCGCTCGTGGGTGACACTCTTTATCTTGTGGCCACTTGGAGGAGGGCACAGGCACGCTGGGATGGGGATTCTGGGATGGGGGACTTGGGAATGAATTGTTTTCTTTATAGCATCGCTCTATCACGTAGCTTTGGGGTGGCGTTCTGATCCAGTCATTTCCGCTTTTCTACTCTCCTTCCTTCGTGTTCACCATGTGATTCGAAGGTCTGGGCCGGTAGCTGAGTTGTAACTAACGCACAAATGACCTGGTCGGTTTCCCGGGTTCTGCTTGATGCTGAAATGCATTGGGATGTGGCTTCCTATGGAATTGAGCAGACACTGGAGTCGGGAGCTGAGCACCTGAGCTGCAGGGGGAGACATGGATGACCGCCCCAGAGACAAAATCAATGGCATTACCTAAGCAAATCTCCAATCTCAAGACACATCCCCCAGACTTTTGGACCCAGGCTGTGCGCGCCCACACCAGAACGCAGCCAAGGACAGCGCCCCTTGAAAACCACCTGGCAGCAGCAGCAGCAGCAGCAGCGGCAGCTTCCTTTCCCACAAAACGGCAACCCACGACACGACAACCATGGACGCCCTCCGATCAGTCCTCCAGCCAGTGACGCACAACCTGCCGGCGCCGGTGCGCGACCTGGGCGTGTCCATCATCGGCGAGGCGTGCTACAAGACGCTGCTGCTGGACGTGGACCTGGCCGACGCCGACTGCGTCAAGCTGGCCGTGTCAAAGGGTCTGGGGATCGGCATCATCGCGGCGTCGTCGGTGGTCAAGGTGCCGCAGATCCTCAAGCTGGTGGGCTCAAGGTCGGCGTCGGGCGTCTCGTTCCTGTCGTACCTGCTCGAGACGACGGCCTACATCATCTCGCTGGCCTACAACTTCCGCAACGGCTTCCCCTTCAGCACCTACGGCGAGACGGCCCTGATCCTGGCCCAGAACGTGGTCATCTCGCTGCTGGTGCTCAACTACAGCGGCCGCGCCGGCGCCGGCGCCCTGCTCGTCGCCGCGCTCGCCGCGGGCGCCGGGTCGCTCTTCACCGAGGGCGTGCTCGACATGAAGACACTGAGCTACCTGCAGGCGGGCGCGGGCGTGCTGGGCGTCGCGAGCAAGGTGCCGCAGATCGCGGCCATCTGGCAGCAGGGCGGCACCGGGCAGCTGAGCGCCTTTGCCGTGAGTTCCTCCTGCACGGGGGGCGCCGTTCCCTCGACGTGTTCCTCTCTCATACGTCAAGTATTGTTGCTAACGCTCTCTCCTTTCTTTGCCTTGGCCACTTTTTTTCCCCCCCAGGTGTTCAACTACCTCGCCGGCTCGCTCTCGCGCATCTTCACAACCCTCCAGGAGGTCGACGACAAGCTGATCCTGTACGGGTTCGTGGCTGGGTTCGCGCTAAACGCGGTGCTGGCCGCGCAGATGGTGTACTACTGGAACCAGCCGGCGGCCGCGACCGGTCCCGCGAAGAAGGAGAAGCGCGCCAAGGGGAACTAGGCACAAGGAGGCGGGAACACAAGGAAGGGGACGCGGGAGGGGAGGAGAATAATAATAGACAGGCGGCGGCGGCAAACGTGAAAATCGAGAGAAAAACAAAGGCAAACACGGTTCGATGTTTCCTCGCATCTTTTCCTTCCTTGGCGGGCGGGATCCCGACACCGGACCTCCGTGGGGCCCAACATTCACACGGTGCTAGTCTAGATGGTATGCTGTGAATGCCAAGCAGGGGAAAAAAAGCAATTGCTTCTTTCCCCGTGCCACTCTAGCCCCTCTCCCCCTCCCCTCCGCATGAGACATGCACGCATGCACGCGCCCATGCCGGGCTGCGATCCCCCCGGTTCCGATGGTGGCTTTTTATGTGCGTTCTCGGCACTGACACATGCTGGACGAATGGCGTCCGCCCGGGATGCCACGGAAATCCCTATGCGGAAGCTCCGCGTGACGCACCTCGCGGTGTGCAGTGTCGGGACCATCATGGCCTGTTTCTGGTTTCCATGACCAACGCCGGCGAGCTCGATTCGCTGTCTTGCTGCGCAGTTGCCCAATGCGGTTGCGCGCGCCGGGTCAGGTCAGGTGGGCTGGCAGTTCAAGGGCTACGGGATGGTGATCTCTCGGAAGTCTTTTCTGGTATTCGTCTCCGCTTGGAGGGGAGGATGGGAGAGTTCTTTGGGTTAGGATAGGTACCTAGGTGTGTCTTCAGGGCCGTGGATGGCCTGGGCGTAGGCTCCATTGTCATACAGCCCTCGCAGGCTGGTCAATCTCAGAATTCCACCTACCATCGGCCTCCCCCCTCGAGTAGCCCGACTGGACGTCGGACATTCTCCCCCTTCCCGATCCAACTCTCCTTCCTAAAGCGACCCAATGTGGGGATGGCGGCCATCACACGACTTCGGTCTGGACACGGCCTATGGAGCAGCCCAGCCGGAAGCGCTGCCTAGCTTTGCTTAGTGTCTCTGCGGCCGAGGGCGGGGAGTGTGGCCGCTTCCCAAATACCTACCTACCTCCAAGGCACGGCGGTCAAGCATGGCTGGATACATGAGCACGCAGCCCAATGGATTGGATGCCATGGCTGCAGGGTCTCGGGAGTCTGGCTGTCTGGTTGGTGTGCTGGGCACCTATGGCTGGAGTAGCACACCGCTTCTGGGTATCGGCGGCGGAATGTGTTGAGGACGTTTTTATTATTATTACCTTCCGTTTTTCTCGTGTCTCCCTCCCTCACTTCCTCCATCGCTCCTTCCCTAGCTCCCGTCACTCTACCAGCGACGAACCCCTCTCCTTTCACCTTGCTTGTAGAAGCTTCCCCGCCGATTGCGACATCGCTCCCCGATCACGGGATCACCCTGCACTTGTCAGCACCAGCCAAGGACCTCCCTGCCTGGCGCTGCCATCATCGCCCTAGAGCTCATTGCACCCCTGAATTGCGTCATCTCCCCAGACGCTCGCCTTCTCTCCCCCACACACGAACCGAAGCTTTTATTAGCGGTTGCGTGCTCCTGGACCCGGGACGTCTCCTTCCACCGCCTCGTTTTCCCTCCCGCCCGCCCGCCGCTCCGTCTCACCTCACTACATCATCCTCCCCCCTCGACCTTATCAGCGGATGGGATTTCGCCGTACTTTTCAGGCTACTATCGTTCGAGAGGTCAATGTATCTTAACCAAACGCGGGCTTGGCTCTGACGGACGGGACTTGTGTCGAGACTCGGAAGAGACGGGACCTGACGTGTCAAGGCGGGCTACTTCATTGTTATCTCGGCTCTTCTCGCTAGCCTTATCTTCTTCTGACCAGCCGGCTGCCTTTTTCTTTTTTTTTTTTGCCGGCTCGATCTCTTCCCTCACCCTCTGGCTCGCTGTCTCCTCCTTCTCTTCATCTCCCCTGCTCTTCTCTTTCGTTTTGCGCACTTTGTGGTGTTTCTTTGATCTCGTTTGTTTTCCGTTAGTCGGATAAACAGAACCTACTTCTTGAATCACATTAGTCTGCCACAGCTGCAGACGTAAAACAAGCACACACAAAACCAAGCAGAACAGAAACCTAGAAGCCCCCCAGGTTCGGCTATACAAGATGGCCCCTGACCTCGACACGCTGCCGGCCTCGTCGGTCCGCGGCAATGCGCACCCCGGGACCGAGGGCGTGCCCGCGCCCGCGCCCGCTGGACCAGCCTCTGCTACTCCCAACGGCGGGGCGTCCAGGAAGCAGCCCAATATCCTCTACATCATGGCGGACCAGCTGGCGGCGCCGCAGCTCAAGATGTACAACCCAGAGTCGCAGATCCTAACCCCGAACCTGGACAAGCTGGCGTCCGAGTCGGTGCAGTTCGACTCGGCCTACTGCCCGTCGCCGCTGTGCGCGCCCTCACGCATGAGCATGATCACGGGCGTGCTGCCGCTCAAGATCGGGGCCTACGACAACGCGGCCCAGATCTCGAGCGACATACCGACCTACGCGCACTACCTTCGGCTCAAGGGCTACCAGACGGTCTTGGCGGGCAAGATGCACTTCATCGGCGACCAGCTGCACGGGTACGAGACGCGCCTGACCAGCGACATCTACCCGGGCGACTACGGCTGGGCCGTCAACTGGGACGAGCCCGACACCCGCCTGGAGTGGTACCACAACGCGAGCTCCATCCTGCAGGCCGGCACCTGCGTCCGTAGCAACCAGCTGGACTACGACGAGGAGGTCATGTACCGCTCGACCCAGTACCTGTATGACCATGTGCGCCAGGGGCCCGACGCCCGGCCCTTCTGCCTGACGGTGAGTGGAGACTAGGTATCGGCACGGCCGGCGGTGATGATGTTGTGTATTCCGGTCCTGCTGGCCCGTTGCGGCGATGCTCCTGGTTTGCATTATCAAATCCCCATGTGGCCAAGGTACAATGAGTGACATGGGGGGCCCGTTAGCCGCATGCACGTCAGCCCGTTTCGGGATGTGACCCCGCATCCTTGAGGTCATCCCTTTTTTTTTTTTTTTTGGAAATCCGCATGCTAACGAATGCCACCCGTATTCCCCTTCACGTTCCGTCCTTGGCGCTGCTCTCTGATAGGTCTCACTCACACACCCCCACGACCCCTACACTATCGAGGAGAAGTACTGGGATCTGTACGAGGGCGTGGACATTGCGCTGCCCAAGGTGAAGATCCCCAGAGAGGAGCAGGATGCGCACAGCAAGCGCCTCCTCAAGGTCTGCGACCTGTGGGATCAAGACTTCACCGACGAGCAGATCAAGCGCGCGCGCCGCGCCTACTACGGCGCCGTCAGCTACGTGGACGACTGCATCGGCAAGCTGCTCGATGTGCTGAAGCGCTGCCGGCTGGACGACAACACCATCGTCGTCTTCAGCGGCGACCACGGCGACATGCTGGGCGAGCGCGGGCTCTGGTACAAGATGTCGTACTTTGAGTCGTCGGTGCGCGTGCCGATGCTGATCCGCCACCCCAGCCCCGAGGTTAAGCCGGGCCGCGTGTCGCAAAACGTGTCGACGCTCGACATCATGCCCACCATGTGCGACCTCGTGGGCACCAAGCCGCTGCCCGGCCTGCCGCTCGACGGCAGCTCGCTGATGCCGCACCTGCTCGGCCGGTCGGCCGAGGGCCACGACGAGGCGCTGGCCGAGTACACGGGCGAGGGCACCATCAGCCCGCTCGTCATGATCCGGCGCGGGCCGTGGAAGTACGTCGCCTGCCCCGCCGACGGCAGGCCACAGCTGTTCAACCTGGCCGACGACCCGCTCGAGCTGGTGGACCTGGTCAAGGTGTTGGACAAGAAGGCGGCGCTGCTAGCGGGCGAGTCCGAGCCCGCCGAGCCCGCCGAGGCGGCACCCGAGGGGGTAGAGGCGGCTCGCGCGGCGCTCGACGCGTTTGAGAAGGAGGCAGCCGCCCGCTGGGACTACGACGCCATCACCGAGGAGGTGCTGCTCTCGCAGCGCAAGCGCAGGCTCGTGTGGGCGGCGCTCAAGAAGGGCCGCTTCACCAGCTGGGACCACGACCCCGTCGACGACGGCCGCGAGAAGTACATCCGCTCGCACATGGACCTCGACGACCTCGAGCGCATGGCGCGGTACCCGCCCGTCGACACGTACGGCCGCGAGACGGCCGGGGTCCTGGTCGACCAGGCCGGGTCGCATGGGCAGTGAGGCATTTCATTCAATCGTAGATTTTCTTTGGCTCGGATGAGGCGTTTTCAAATCGATTAATCTCTCTTTCTTCTCATCCTTGGGACCATCTTCTGGATCAGAGAATCTCCATCAAAGTCGCGCATTTTCAACATCGTAGGGCTAAATTGGTTGGGCTGAGGTTATTGGAGCGTGGCGTTTTTATATATATTTTTTTTCTTCAACGAAACGGCATCTTTGAAATTGGCGATGGAATTTGGTGGCAAAGGGAAGCAAACTGACGAAGGCTTAAAGCTGGTACATGAAATATGTGCATAGAGGAGAGTGAATGATACAAATGATTCTCTGTTATGCTGTCACGTTGTCAAACATTAAACCCCATATTTGTTCCCCGCAGTGGTTGGAAGAGGAAGCTCCTCCAGCTCCGACCGAAACAAATCCAAGATTCAAGGCCCAGATCGCAGCCAATTCCTCCAACTCTGCGCCCGCGGCCTCCTCCTTCGATCCGTTACCTGCGCAAAGCCGTCTTTCTCTGTGCGCGGCCGCGAGCGCCAGCCAAGCCAGTCACCATGGCGTCCCTCCACATGTCGCAGGAGGACCTCAAGTCGCTCGAGTCGGCGCGCCAGAAGCTCGCCACCCTGGTCGCGAGCATCGCGAGCATGCGGGACGGCATCCTCCAGAGCAACCCGCTCCCCGCGCCGTAAGCCTATTTTTTTCTTTCTTCTGTCTATTTTAGCATCCCCATCTCCCTTCTAACTCGCGACCTCCCGCCGCCCCTCCAGCACATCCCTCGAGACGTCGGCCTTTGTCCTCCAAAAGAACGTCGAGTCGTTCCTGCGCGTGGCGACGGACAACGACGAGCTGTTCCGGCGCGTCGTGGTGCACCCGTCGACCAACTTCCCGGGACGGCAGTACGAGGGCATCCTAGGCCAGCTGCTGCGCAAGAAGCTCGAGCCCGACGTCGAGACCAGCGTCGAGGACGCGCGCGCGGCGGCGGCGGCCGCGGGGCTGGGCCCGCACAGCTTCCTGGACTCGGACGGCAGCGGCGGCGGCGGTGGTGGGGGCAAGAGCGGCGGCGGTGGGGCCAACGGGAGGGGGGGCCGTGGCCTCTACGGGGACGACGAAGACGATGACGAGGACAGCGACGACGACGACGACGAAGACGATGACGACGAGGGCGGCTACCGCGGCCCCGAGGACGACGACGACATGGACGACGACGTGGACGCGGCGGCGCGGCGGACGCGCGAGCCGCTGGGGCTGGGCGACGTGTGGCTCGACGCGCGCGTGTGGGTCGGCCGCCGCATACAGGAGTTCGTGACGCGCGAGGACGGCATGGTGTACACGCCGCAGGAGCGCGCGGGCGGCGTCGACAAGGTCCGCACGGGCCTGCGCCGCGCGCTGCCCGACGTCGTCGACGGCGACGAGGATGACGATGAAGACGACGACGAGGACGAGGATGTGCCGCTGCAGAAGCAACAGCAACAGCAAAAGACGGCGGCGACGGCGGCGGCGGCGGCGGTGGCGCAGGGGGGGCCCGCGGTGGACCCGGAGGTGGTGATGTGGTTCATGGCGAGGGGGGATATGAACCTGCCACCCAACGTGGAGAGGCTATCGGATATCGTGCTCGACGGCGGGAAGCGGCAGAGGAGGCCGCCTCAGTGACCATTGTTTGGCCTTGGGTGCGACTCTGCCTCCAGGTTTCCCATTTTGCATATATGGTATTGTACAAGGTCTGTTGCATGAGGCTATCGACTAACGCTATCTTTGCTTCTCCCTTTGGCCCTGGCGAGTCACCGAAATGTGAAGTTGGTTCGGTAAACACACAAACTGCCACTTGATGGAAGCTGCCCATGCACAACACACTTCAGCGCTGCAAGTCCGTATCTGTCGAGCCAAGCCCCAAGCTGCCGACGGCCTTGTGATGATGGCCTTCCCGTCGCGTTTGCTGCTCGTCCTAGGGTATTTGGTCACCTAGCTCCCTCGCCGCACGCTTGGGCGACCTTGTGGCGCCGTGATAGGGGTTGCCGGCGCCCGTGGACGAGGTGTGGTGGTGGCGGCGCCGGCGGGGAGGAGGAGGGGCTGCTACCGCCGCCCTGGATCGGGAGTGGACTCGGGCTGTGCTGGCGCTGAGGCGGCTCGAGGTGGAGCTCGTGTCGGGAGCAGGCGCGTGTCCAGGGCCGACAAGGTGGCCTGGTGCGCGCGCCTGGAGGAGCTGCTGAACGGCCAGGCGTGGCGGCGGCACCGCGTCGTCGTCGTTGCGGTTGAGAAGGTCAAGGGGCTGAGGGCGAGGGCTAGGAGGGGGCATTTTATACCACCCGGCCTGGTGCCACCGTAAACTGGCTGTGGTCCCTGTGGTGCTGATTCGGTAGTTGTGGCTGACCGAGTTAATTTAGCCGGCTCAAGTGTAAGATGAAAGCATGATATATTCTTCATCGTGTCCCCACCCGACCGAGTCCAACTTCCATTTTAAGAAGCCGCCTCACAGACGCCCAAACCGTCCGTTCTGGCGATCGTGTTTCGTGCTTGTCACTTGTGGGGGTCCGCCGACACCTTCCTCCATTTCGATATAAACAAGGAATCAGCATTCGGCCGACAAGCGCCTTCCCGGCCGTGCGGGCTTCGTCTCGACTTCCCCTGGATGATCCTGTCAGGCTCCTGCCGACAGTGCGGCCAAACCCCTCGAGCTGGTCGGGAGATGGGACAACTTGGCACTTTGCCACTTCAGCCTGGGTCGTCTTCCATGCCAGCGTCTCGAGAGTTTCCAAACTTGCGCTGCCATGTTTGCAGCCGACACTTTGGGGCTTTCATTCTGTTCACGCTAAAAAGAAACTTTGGATCTCCAGTATTAGGTTTCAACGACTGCCTGCAAACAAAAACTGGAAACTAAGAGCGAGCTCTAGAGTTTAGACCCCGCTGTCCGTGGGAAAACTCAGTGAGAAGATGGGGTCCTCCGACAGAGCCTTGTCATGGCCGGCGAGGCTGCTCCGGACCCTCCCGCCGAGCTTCGTCGCCGACATGATGTGGCCGGACCAGAGGCCCGGCTGGCGGCTGCACGCGACATCGTACCTCGACGGCCTGCGCGGCATCGCCTCCTTCGTCGTCTTCTTTTGTCACTACACAGAGGAGAACCACAAGTACATGGTGCCGTCGTACGGCCTCAACCCGGACGGCCAGGCCTCATCGTTCCTGCAGCTGCCCTTTTTCCGCATCGCCTTCTCGGGCCGCCCCATGGTGCACGTCTTCTTCGTCATCTCGGGCTTCGTGCTGTCGCACAAGCCGCTGCGCGCCCTGCACGACGGCGGCCCGCGCGCCCTCGAGCGCTGCGCCGCCGCGCTGTCGTCGTCGGCCTTCCGCCGCCCCTTGCGCCTCTTCGGCCCCTGCGCCGCCGAGACTCTCATGATCGCCGCGTGCTGCCAGCTGGGATGGCTGTACGAGCCCCTGCCCGCGCTGTCGACACAGCTGTGGATCTGGAAGGACGTCATGTTCCACAGCGTCACCTGGCCGTGGGCCTGGGACGCGGACCTGCGGCCCGGCTACGACGTGCACCTGTGGACCATACCCATCGAGTTCGCGCACTCGATGCTGCTGTTCCTCGTCATCCTGCTGCTGGCCCGCGTCAAGCTCAAGGTGCGGCAGGCCAGTACCGCCGGCCTCATGGCCTACTGCCTCTGCTGCGGCAAGTGGGCCGCCTTTGAGTTCCTCGGCGGCATGTGGCTGGCCGAGATGCGCATCGTTCAGTCGCTCGGGAGGGCCTGCTGCGGTGGCGGCACCGACGAGCACCGCGGGATCGGCCAGAAGGAGCAGCTGCCGCAGCCGCACGCCCGCCGCGGCCGCCGCCTGCTGCGCTCCATCTTCTGGATCGGCGTCGTAGCCGCCTTCGTCTTCGTGGGCGGCTGGCCCAACTCCGGGGCGGACCGGACGCGCGGCATCCGCGCCCTGCTGGCGGCCACGCCGGACCCCTTCGCCCACGGCATGGACGACCTGGCGCCGCAAAAGTTCTGGTTCGCGCTCGCGGCGCTGAGCGCGGTCTGGGCCTGCGGCGAGCTCGCGTGGGCGCGCCGCCTGCTCGACTCGGGCCCAGCGCAGTACTGCGGCCGGCTGAGCTTCGCAATCTACATCGTGCACGGGCCCGTCCTCGCCATGCTCCAGCTCGCCGTCGTGGGCGAGCCCTTCTCGCCCGAGCGCGTCGTGCCGGCCGATGGCGACGGGCAACAGCAGCAGCAGCAGCAGCAGGTGGTGGTGCCCGCCGTGCCGGGCTGGGGCGTCAAGGGCATGTTTGGCGTCGACGGCCCGACGCAGCGGTTCTTGGCGTGGCTCGGCGGGCTGGTCATACTGCTGCCCGTCACGGTCTGGGTCGCCGACGTGTTCTGGAGGCTGGTGGACGTGCCCGTCATCGCGGCCGCGCGCTGGGTCGAGACGGTCTGCCTGGGCGACGGCCCGGACGAGGACGCTGGTCGGAAGGAGTGCCACTGCCAGCTAACCTCTATTGCTGCGTGCTAGGCGTTTTGCTTCAACGTCCTTTTTTACATTTGTCATGTTTCGACTGTCTTGCATGTTGCCGGATAGACCACAGCATTTTGTTTTCCACGGCGGTGGTGGTCGTTGCTTCTAGACGGGTCTGTTTGATATTTTATCGGCATTATAGACGGCGCTGGTCACACCCCCCATATCTGGAGTTAGCCGTTGATTTTGCTAGACATTTGGTATCCTCATCACCTCCTATTCCAAGTTTGTAGGGTTGGTTATTCAGGTGTCATGGTCTGGTTCTTATACAGGAGCTTCCTACCGCCAGTTTGAACATGGAATTATTACAGCAACGGCGCCATCCCCACGAGTTCAAGTAGAGTGAGCTTGTTCTAATAGCACAGGAAATTGGCAAAAAAAAATTGATAGCTCCCTCAACTTCCGTTTCTTTGGGACAACCTCGTTACCAAAATTCTTGAGGTGTGCTTACGATAGCTACCGTCTTCACCCGCTCAGGCACTCCATCTCCTACTGGGAATCGTTAGAACCGCGGCTGCTGTGCGTACCCATACCGATATATGTGTATGGACAGAATGCATGTGCAGTTGTGTGCTGGAAGTTGATCACAAAGTTAGGACGCGGGGCACCGCAGGAGCTATCTATCAGATGGTGACTCATCCTAGAACCAAGTAGCTCCTTGGTCAATCGGTCCTCTCACAGCTAACATCCCTAATTAGCTCTAGCTTTACAACTTGGTCTGCACAAGAGTGAGAGGTACGTCTCTGCACTCGAGCGTATTTCCCACACCTTGTCGAGGCGAGTCACCGCCCGCGTGCATCGCCCGCTGTCGTTGCCGATTGACTCTACGAGACTACAATCCTTTGGGCCGCCATCAAAGCCCCGCCGCCGACCAGAGTCCTCCGCCCCGACCTGCCGCCCCGCCCCCTTCGCCGGTATAATCCCGGCCCGGAGTCGCAATGGATGCATCTTGTCAGTGCGGCGCCGTGGCCTTCAAGACCCCGCTGCCGGAGCCCCTGGCGCTCTACATCTGCCACTGTACCTCGTGTCAGCGCCAAACGAGCGTCAGTACCTTCACTGGAGTGTTTCCTTTTTCTCCCTTTTCAGCTCTTTTATGATATATGCTGACAGAAACGTGTGGTATATCGACAAAAAAAAAAGTCGGCCTATAGCACCTCGGCCATCTTCCCCCGCTTCCCCTTTCCGGCCGCTGAGCTCCTGAGCTGCTATATGTATGTTTCGGCGTGTCATGGAATTTCAGCACCGACATCTGGGAGGCCATCGTTACTGATCTCTTTGGCCTCTGCAAAGTCGGCCAACCGGGACGGGGGATTCGCTATACTGGTATAAATGACACCTTTCCCTTGCATTCGACATGTGATTTTCCCGTCATGGTCACGAACTGAGTGGAAACAGCTACTTTTGCAAGGTTTGCGGCACACGGATGATTCACACAACGCCGGTGGGTTTCTCTCCTTCACTTTCTCGAGTCCAAAACTCTTCGCGGGCACTATGCTAACATGGCCAAACACGGGTCAGACCAAGAATGTGGTCTCGATAAAAGGCGGCTGTATCAGCGGCCTCGACTGGAAAAAGGCGGTCCACATATGTTCGTGGTACCTTGCAATACATCATCCTGCCCTAAACTTGTGTAAATCCCCTGACTCTTTCGTAACACGCCAGGGACTCGATCGGCCATGGTACCAATCCCCGAGGCAAGTCTGATTCTCAATTTCCATGTCCCACCCACAGTGCTCTAAACCACGGGCCTTCAATATTATCGAATCGACCACAAGCAGAAAGCTAACCTAGCCGTCACAGGGGAGCGAGTCTCACTCGGAGTGGTCCTCCAGCGAGACCCAGGAATCGCTGAGCCAGCCCGACACCCCGTCCCGGTCGCTTCAGGGCAACGGCTGGGAGCTGGATGAAGAGGCCGAACAAGCCGAGCGAGCCCGTCAGCTGCGCGACGCCTCGAGTGCGGATGCGACACCGGATAGTGCGTTGCACGAGATGGTGCACGTCTAGATGGAGCAAAAGAAGCTTCTAGAATATTTGGTGATATCAAGGCGGATCTCTGGTAGCCAAAAGGTGAGATGGAATGTGTTTGATACATCATTACAAAGATCTCGACTCCATCGCATCACGGTATTACTGCGCCTGTCCACGATCTCTAATATTGGCACGCTCCTCGTCCACCTGCGAGGACGACCGGGCCTCGTCCGAGTGCTTGGCCGGGTCGAAGACGTACATGGGCCACTCGAGCAGGACGGTGCGCTTGAGGAACGTCGGCACCCTCTCGTACAGCTGTGGCGGGAGTGGGATGAGGATGCTGGTGCGCTCGAGGTACCGGCTGTAGTTCCCCCAGACCTCGCCGCCCTTCTCGTGGCGCTTCTTGGCGCCGGGCCGCTCCTGGAGCGTCAGGCCCGACACGAAGAGGAGCAGGACCGTCAAGAAGATGGGGCCCAGGATGGTGGCGTAGAGCGCCGAGAAGGCGGGACCACTCACGGGGCCGTCGGCGGCCGGCGACACGGCGATGGTGAAGATGCCTTGGTGGGGCAGGAGTGTCAGCTTGCGCTTGGTGGGGTAGGTTTCAGGGGCTGCACCAGAAAAAAAAAAGGAGAAGGGCAAAAGTTGGCCTACCAAACTGGATGATGATCTCGCCAAAATAGTTGGGGTGCCTTGAAAAGTAAAAGAAGCCCTTGTCGCAGACGGCGGCGGCGTCCTTGTTGCGCGAGCGGAACAGGTACCGCTGGACGTCGCTGACGCTCTCCATGACGAAGCCGACGGCGAACAGGACCGTGCCGGCGACGTCCCTGGCGGTGGAGCCAAAGGGCGGCTGCTGCTGGCCGCCCCAGGCCCGGACGGCGGGCGAGTTGAGCACCGTGACGGGCAGCGACACGAGCCAGACCCAGAGCATCTGGAAGACCCAGAAGCCCAGGAAGGGGAAGAAGCGGTCGCGCTTGTCGTCGAAGCGGTCGTCCTTGCCCGTCTTGAGGATGCGGAAGAGCAGAAAGGCCGACAGGCGGAGGCCCCACGCGCCCAGGAAGACCGAGGCGGCCAGCTGGCGCGCGTCGGGCCCGCCGCTGAGCGCGAGGGTGAGGATGGCCAGCACCACGAAGTTGGTGCCGCCGGCGAAGTCTGCGCGGCTTGTCAGCGTGGTCGGCTCAGCGGGAGGTTGTTGCTTTTTCCTGGGTGTGCTTACCTGTGAGCTTGTCGAACTTGAAGGAAAAGGCGATGCAAAAAAAGAAGAGCTGGTACGCAACCGTCACCAAAAGGGTGATGGCCAAGTAGTAGTCATCGAGCACGCGGACGGGCGACGACATCCTGGCGCGATTCCCAAGGTCGTCAACTGGTAGGCGATTGGCACGAACAAGTTATTTTTCTCCCCAACTCCTGGTCGTTGACAGGCGATCAATCCCAGCCTCATGCACAAGGCTAGCTTCAACTTTGAGGATGCTGGTTTGGAGTTGCTGCCCGCAGCGCTGTCAAGAACCTAGCAGAAACACCGAAATCACCGAAATCGCCGACGACTTGGCGATCTGAATGGCTGCATAGTCGTCATTGGCATCGAACATGATCGGCGTCGCAACCCGCTAGCGTTCTGGGTAGCATGCATGGCAGTCGGATGTATTAGTAAGGAAGCAGACCCGCAAAAGCCACAATGCCTCGATCGCCTAGGCACGACACGGAAACCCATAAAAAGAGTAAAAGCCCATCATGCCAGCTTGACTAGTATCGGTATTCCAATTACGTCTCATGAAGGAAATCTTGGGTCCCCTATCGGGCTGAAGATGAAGATCACGGAACCTCCCCCCTGCGCGCTTAGATGGGCAATCCTGAACAGGAAGGGAAATCATTCCAGAAAAAGCGGCTCAATCAGTTGGAGACGGGGCAGCTGACTGGAGCACCCAACGGAACGGCAGCGTCCCGTGCGATGGCGAATTGGACTATCACTCAAGCCAATTCATCATCCCGACATGGCCTTTTCTTTCTGCGGCAGCAACACAGATGGATGCTGGCGGGTGGGTGGGGGCGCATCAGGGCGCATCAGGGCGCATCCCATACCACAGCATTCTCTGCTCAAATCCGCCGCAGGTCGCGGTAGTGGTGTAACCCACAGTGGACACAGTGGACTGCACCAATCAACATAATAGGCCAATTCTTCGCTGTCTACCAGCACAGCAGTACTAGTACAGTGCCTCTCCAGTGCAATGCGTTCGCGCGTCGCAAACGCCGCTGGGCGACAATATCGGACTAACATCATGCGCAATGTCCAGGCGTTCGAACTTCCGTCTGAAGCACACGCGCATTCTCGCGCACGTTCCGAGCGCATTGATCGGCTGGATCCCTGGGATTTCCGACGCACACCAAGAGTGATTTGCCTCCTTTTATCAGACCATTCTGTCCGCGACCTGCGGCTCGGCCATGTCCTTGTGCGCCTGCAGGTACCACCTGGGGCGGCCCTGTGGAGCCGTGGTCCAGAACAAGGAAGACACCCAGACCCTGCAAAGCACATGCAGCTAGCTCAGCTGGGACTTGCGCCCACCACAAAAAAGACGGCAGTTTCACAGGTCCTAAAGATTGAGTAGAATTGTTAATGCCGCGAGCTTTCCTATTCTTACTTTTGTGTATATTGCCGTTCCTATCATTATCTCCATCTTTATTCTTACTTTTCTTTCATTTTCCATACCTTTTCCTGTCCCTAACAGGAACTGCCATATTTTTGTGCTAGGCGTGGGGCTCAACTGGAAGCCGCCGCGGAGCCGCATGGCAGGAACCCCTTGTCTCGCCAATGCAGACCTCAAACCGCCTTTGTCAGGGGCCAGTCTCAAATTATCTGCTGTCGCCCTTTTTCCCTTTCAACCCGCCCGCTGGATTGGACGCCCAACTGCCGCCTGCCTATTCTCCCTTGGCTGGCCGCTATTTTGCTTTTTTGGCTCCCGCCATCCCTGCTGGCAGCGAGCGAGCGCCCTCGACCACCCACATCCCGCAGCACATCGATGAGGGCGTTTGCCGAAACGTCCGGGCACGCTGCTCCGTCGGTTGCAATTGTCCAGAGCCGACACCGTCGCGCTCGACAGATGGCCCCGGCCTCGCCGCCCAGTCGCCAGTGCTTGGCACGTCAGGGTCCGAGATGGCGCCAAGCTCTCAGTTCCCATTTCCCGTCAATTATCCTCGTTTCTGCATTGCCTTTTATTTTTTAAGCTTGTCGCCCCAGACCTCTAATTTAGGGAGTCATGATGCCGCTCCCATGGCTCTTCCTACCGGGCGTCTACGGAAACGAATTACGTACACCGCTGTTAGAGTCTAGCCTCTCGCCGGTGGAGGTGGCACCCGCGGTTGGTCTAGTTACCTAAGCAGTGACCTGGGTGCTCTGCCGGCTTGAAACCCGGCCCCGTACCCGATAGCGGGCCTCAGGAGCTTGAGGTGTGGTGTGTCGCGGTGTCGACGGTGCGGCAGTCTGCACCGGATGAAGCGCACAGAGCGCCGCGCGGACGGGCTCCTCGGGTGCCGACAGCCCTATTAAGTGTGCCGAAGGGAACTGTACCTACGGTGCAACCGTGGCAAAGACGCTGTTGTATCCATGTCCCACCCACTATTCCGTCCGAGCTGTGTTGGGATCTTTGCGTTTTCTTCCGTCTCTTCGCTTCCGCTCTTGCATTGCCTATTTGCTGTGATTTGACAGATCTGAGAAGCAGACCATCGGAGATCAAGTGGAAACAGGCAGGGCAAGGCAAAAGAGCAAAGGCCGAAAAAGGGGGCCAGCTCCCTGTCCCTGGCTCAAGACAGTTGAAACACCGTCGAGGTTGGCCACCACGTCGGCACATCCTGGACCTCGCTCGACCCATAACGTGGGCCGTCCCCCTAGCTGACCCCATCCGCCCGTTTCTTCTCTTCTCCACTTCGTTCTGTTCCAGTCGTCCACTTCATCCCGTCTTTCAGAGATCTCCTCCCGCGAGGTTGCCCATTCCTTTTTTCCCCATGTTAGCCCATCATTGACACCTTCGCTCATTCATTGACGTCGTTTTTGTGCTCTTGTTATTCTTCCCTTCTTTTATCTTGTTTTATCTCCATTTTCGTTTCCTTTTGTGTGTTCCGGCCGCACTTTTTCTATCAGACGAGTCTGGGACCTTGTCGTAGCCAGTCGCTCATTTTTACCTGGACGACCTCGGGAGCCGCCTTCCTCCCAACTTCAGACTTTGTCGTCACCGTCCTTTGCTTCTGGACAATCCTAATCATCGCGCGCGCCGGAGGAAAACAGTACCGTCACCGGACAACACCGACGAAACGATATCTTGGATTCTCACTCTCCTTAAAACCACTTATACGCACCGCCCCATCGGCTGCTCACTGGGTTGATCCCACTGGAGCGCCCTCTTCGACGATCAACCTCGACGGCTGGACTGTTGCCACACTCCTTTTGTGCATTTGTTGCAGACACTAGATGCAATAGACGATACCAAATCGGAGCGAGTTTGCTTTTGTGTTTAGTTTCAAGATGAGGCTGTCAAAGTTATTGTGGCTGGCTGGGTCGGCAACCCTTATCGAGGTGAGTTGAGGCCTTTCCATCCTCAAGCAAAACGTACGACTGACTTTTCCTTTAGGCCGCGGCGCTCGATCATAATGGAGGAGATGGAAAGCTGTCGAGGAGAGATTTCGTGGCATCGATACTTAGCATGCTGAACGACCCGAACGCGGTACGAAAGTTCACTGGCACGACGACCACGACTGTCGTTAAGACAGCACCACCAGGCGCCGAGGTCCCGATTGCAACGCCGCCGCCGCCGCCGACGAACAATGCTGGCGCAGCTCCCGCTCCCGCTCCCGTTGCCCCCGCCCCGGGCGTGATTCAGTCGATGGGCACCACACCGCCTGCTAGGAACTCGACAGGGGGTGCTGATGGAAAGGGCAAGGAGGGGAAGAAGAATAAGGAGGGGAAGAAAGACAAGGAGGGGAAGAAGGACAAGGGGGGGAAGAAGGGTAAGGGCGCAGAGAAACCGAATGCCTCGTCACCCGCGTCGGGTGCGGCTCCGGCAGGCGGCGCGGCCACTCCTGCCCCGCCGCCAGTCAACAATGCCGGTGGCGGAGCCGCGCCGAGTGGGCCTCGTGGTGGCGTCGGAGTCAGCATCATTCCGGTCCCTACTGCCCTACGAAAGACGACGCCAAACGGAGCGCCGGCCGCCTCGCCGGCTCCCGTCGCCGCCCCCGCCGCCCCGCCCGCTGCCTCGCAGGCTCCTGGTGCTGTCACCGGGGCCAACCCGCTGCCGCCCCCTTCTGGAATCTCGTCCTTGCCCGTCTCCACGCTCCCGCCGCCTCCCGTTGGAACTGCGCCAAGCGCTGAGGCTCCGCCAGCGGCCCCTTCTGCTCCGGCCGCTTCGACTCCTGTCGCTTCAGCTCCTGCCGCATCCACGCCCGTAGCTTCCGCTCCAGGTGCTTCTGCCCCGGCTTCTTCCGCACCGGTCGCCTCTCAACCGGCCGCTTCTTCCGCGCCGGCTAGCCCCATAGCCTCCGCAGTACCGGCACCATCAGCCCCGGCTGCAGCTCCTATCGCCTCGGAAATACCCGTGTCCTCGGCCCCCTCGGAACCCGTTGCCTCGTCCCTAGCCCCTCTCCCGCCTGCGGCTGAGACCTCGGAACCTGTCGCCTCGTCCCTAACCCCTCTCCCGCCTGCGGCTGAGACCTCGGTCCCCGCGCCCAGCTCGGCCCCTACTCCTATCGCAGCACCTCCCCAGCCTGGTAAGTCATGTCTAACTGAGTGTCGACTCGTTGTGCAAACTCTAACATTATTGCCGTATAGCTGCGACCCAAACCCCACCTGCTCCAGCGGCATCGCTGGCCCTGCCAGTGGCCGGAGCTCCTGCGCCGACCCCGGCACCCGACACCAACAACGCTGCCCAGCCCAACATCGTTATCCCCAGCAACTTGTCGCTCAACTCCAAACTCAACCTTGGGAACCTGGCCAACCCAGCAAACGCAGCCAAAGCGCAGGGCCTTGCGGGCTTCGGCCGTGCCTAACATCCCATTCGCAATTACTTTTGGAGATCAATGCGTCCTTTCCCTCTCTCAGAACGCCGCTGCAGATGTGCGCCGTCGCAGTTCAAAAGAAATGAAACAAATGCGCTGGCTACGACTTTTGATTCGGGGTATCTCATACTTTTTGGACGCGACGCACATCCTTGCTCCGAACCTTGGCCTACCTTGGTCGCCGGACAAGGATGAGGAAAACAGACAATTTGAACAAGCCCGAAAACACTTTCCTTGCTGCCTGTTTAATGTTTTCCCGTCATATACGAAGGGACAAGAATACCCACCCGCCTAGTGAAGACTGGCCTGGCGTCCTTTGGCTATTTCAATATTGTTTCCACATTCATACCCTTTTCTCTCTTTTTCACCGTAGCCTCGTTTCAACTTTCCTTTCGCTAATGTTTGCCCGCAGCATAAGTTAACTCGTTTTCCCGGAGGCTCCTGGTCGTCGTTTTTTTCTCAACGCGACGCCGTTTCTTGCTGTATCTGTCAGGTCCTGCTTTGGGGGGACAGGATAGGCAGGGCAATGAGTGGCGGTGCTGGAACGAGGATGATTGTTTCCCAAAATGTACATAGTGTTTCAGTTCTAAATCAAGAAATAACCAGAAAATCGGAAAGGGGAATGTTATCTCGAGCAAGTGTTATGACAGGGCTTCCCCGAGCCTTTGTAAGTATAGATTGGCACAGGCGCGTGTAAAGATGTGATTTGGAAGTGATGGGCGGCTCGGTGTTTGCTGTTGTAGCATTGCGGTCTGGTCTTGCTGTTCTATATGAACTTGTAGAGACACAACGCGCAAGGTCCCATGCTGGATCTAGTTCCAATGGGAAGCAGCCCTCACGGTCAGACATTTTACTCTCTCTCGCTCACTTGTCTGTTCGGTCATGGCCCCGCATCTGCCGTCTGCGCCTGCTGGGCGGCCAGGCGGCGCTGCTTCTTGGCCTGCCTCTTGCTGAGCTTCTGGCCGGCCTCGTCGGCCACGTCCCCAGCGCCGGCCTGCTCGCCGTTTTTTCTCTTGACGCCGCCCTGCTGCTGCTGCTGGTCGCCGTTGTGAGCTTTCCCGCTTGGTGCGCCCCCGTCTCCTGCGGCACTGGCGCCGGCTGTTTCGGGACTCGGGTCGTCGTCGACGGCCATGGCGTCGTCTTGACCTTTCCTCCTCTTGCCGCCGTCAGCGCTGCCCCCGCTGGTGACTTTTTGTTGTTGCTGTTGTTGCTTCTGCTTCTTGCGCCCCGTGACGACGGTCGTTTCGCCAACAGCCCCAGCGGCAGCAGCAGCAGCGGCCCCGCCACCAGCGGCCTGGACGATGTCGACGACGCCGCGAAAGGACGAGCGCTTGATGCCCTCGTTGACGACGACGCCCCTGGGGGCAGCGGACAGCGCCTCCAGCCCCTTGTCGGGGGCCAGGCCCCACACGGCCAGCAGATTGACAACGTCGGCGGGGGCGCGCAGCAGGGCCGGGCGGGAGGCGGGGCAGCCGCTGCTGACGACGAGGCCGCGGCCCTTGCTGGCGCGCACGAGGCCGACGAGGTTGGCAACGAAGAGGGCGCGGGCGCGGTTGTTGCTGTTGTTGTCGGCACCATCGCCGGAGGAGGATGAGGAGGAAGAGGACGAAGAAGGGACGATGGCCTGCGAGTAGCACACCTCGAAGCGCACGCCGCGGCGTACGGCGGCCATGACGGGCTTAGGGCGGAAGTGGTAGCCGAGGTTGGAGGCCAGGTCGAGCGAGATGACGGACGGCTCGGCGAGCGCGACGCAGGCGTGGGAGAAGGCGGCCTCGGTGGTGGGGCGGACGGCGAGCACGTCGTAGGCGGCCGCGACGGCGTCGAGGCGGTGGTTGTCGCGCGGGTCGGCCATGTGGACGGTGGCGCGGCGGAGGATGGTGGACGGCAGTCGGCGGCGGTTGTCGGTGGAGGAGGAGGAGGAAGAAAGGAGGGGGATCGGGTTCGTGATGGGCGACGGGATGGGCAGGCGGCTGATGGTGTGGTTGAGCGCCACAACGTCGTAGCCCAGCACGGCGGCCTGGCGCAGCGTGCAGTCCAGGGCGTCGGCGGGCGTGGACGGCGTCCATGCGATGTTGAGGTCGTAGATCATTGTGGAGGGAGGGGGGCTGACTTGTTGAGCACGCGGGGAGCGGCGTTGGACGGGAGCGGCGACTCCCCCCGCACGGCTACCTGGCGTTCATGTGTGTGTGCGCGCAGGGGGTGGTTGCGCGGGGCAGATGGTTGATGGCATTCACGTTGAAGGCTTGGTCGCGTCACGCTGGAGCTACTTTTTTTTTTTTCCTGTCAACGACAGCTGGAGCTAACACTCGCCTTGGCGGGGCCGAACCCGCAGCAACAAGCAGGTTCCAAAAATACACAAAGGTACTCCAGCGGGCCCCGCTTGACCCTGGCCTTGGCGTGCGCCAAATGCGTCAGAGCCAGGCCCTGTTGGGCAGCCTCCCGCTGTGGCTTTGCGGGGACGGTTGCGTGTCCCTCGCTCAGGTACCTGGATCCATGACGCCTGAGCGTGCGCCATTGGCAGCAGCATCGCCTCGTTTCGTTTCTACTTGTACTGCGACTCCCAAGAACTCCATTCGACGCCGTCTTTGCTTCTCCCGTCGCCACCTCAAAAAGCACTCTCGGGATGGACAGTCATCTCTAAACCTGCGCTTCATTCAATCCCTGTACCATAGCCCCCGGATCAATCAACCCAAACCGCGTCCCAGCTCTTTCCATCTCTCGCCTCGCCGCTTGAGCTCCCATCTTCGAATCGAATCCGAGTCACCACCACGAAAGCGCGAACGTAAACCCAAACCCCAGCGTCTGGCCACCGGGCCGCCGCCTACTACACACACACACACACAATACACACAATACACACGCGCGCGCCGCCCCAGCCGCAATGTTCTTCTTTTTCGTGTGCGGCGAGCACAAGTTCCGCAGCGAGGTGGACGGCTACCAGGGCCTGACGTGCCAGTGCCACAACTGCGGCAACTGGGCTGCCTCGGTCGTCAAGACGCACCCGTGGTTCACCCTGTGCTGGATTGTAAGCTACCTTACCTATTTCTCGACAAAATCCGTTGTTGCTGTTCTGGTTGCGGTCGGTCGACTTCCGCGGGCAAGAAATCGCAACAAAGAGACTAACAAACACCCCCCTCCCGTCTAGCCCATAATACCATTCACTATCAAGGGCTACGTCGACGTCAGCTGCCGCGTCTGCAACTTTGCCCAGCCGCTCACGCACCGCCCGGACGTCCAGCAGATGGCGGGCGGCGGCGGAGGAGAAGCGCCTCCGCAGTACCCGCTGCAGCAGGCTGGTCCGCCGCCGCCCCAGCAGCCGATGCGATATGGTTAGACTACACATTGTACGAATGCACAAACCGGCGGCTAGTGACGGCCCTGAAGAGATGGTTGCGCGTGGACGAATTACCGGACTCTTAAAAGTCCGAGGAGCATGTTTTTTTATACCCCTTAATTTTACCACAGCAGCTATCTGTGGCGGTGTTGGAGGCGTCTTATCCCTAAATCTCGTGGCGGGCGAGCCATTTTTTGTTTACCTCTGTTATGTTCAGTCGGTACCTTGTTGTTTACGCCTGTTTATTTTAACCGTTGCCTTGTTGTCGACCTGTGAGCTTGCCGTATATTCACATCATGTCGCACGCGTTCTCATACCCCTGTTGTGAATTTAACTTTTCGGTTTCATAAGCTATTTTTGTTGGTCCTACTCAGGTGCAAAAGTCATAAAATAGTAAATGGGCAAAAATAGTAAACCGAGCATTTGGTATTTCTTCGCGGAATAGCCCTCCCCCAGCCCAAAAGAAGCGCAGACGAGAATAAAAAAGTTTACAACCTGGTTAGTATGCCAGCGGGGTGGTGTTAATGGTAGTGATACAGGGGCGCAAAGTCAAGTGTAGACCCAGAATAAGACAAAAAAAAAAAAAGGACACAGCTAGACGCCCGCAAACGTCTTTCCGACGTGATCGGACCCGCACACGGCCACCTTCTCCGACGCCGTCAGCCCCTGGCCCCAGGCGCGGAGGTCCTCGAGCGAGATGTCGGCCTCGGCCATGGACTTCCAAATCTGGTCGCGGAGCTCGAGCCTGCTCTTTGGCATCGCCACCGCGGCAACGGCAGCTGCAGCAGCCTCGCCCCCGATCCCGTCCCCGTCCCCGCCACCGCCGCCCCTGCTCCGCTCCTTCTCGAGCATGCCGAACCGGAGCGTGACCTCGGACACGGTGACGAGGATGCTGATGACGATCAGGATGATGATGATCCACGTGATGGCGCTCATCTTGGCGTCGGCGACCGAGTCCGACAGGATCTCGGCCAGGTCGAGGAAGACGCGGCAGCGCTCGTTGAGCACTTTGATGCGCTGATCGATCTCAAGGTAGTCGCGGATGGCCACGTAGAGCGGGTGCAGCGTCGGCTCCGAGTCCCAGAAGAAGTTGGGCACGTCGAGGATATTTGAAGCTTTGAAGTAGCAGTCGACATGTTAGCAAACACCAGCTTCGTGCCCGGGAAGCCTCTAGTAGCACCACCAGTAGATACTTACACAAGTTGATGTCGACACGGCTCTTGAACAGCCGCCCCAGAATCTTGACAATCTCGGTCCTCGACATGGCCAGCTCGCCCGTCAGGGCCAGCTGCTTGGGCACGTGCTGCGCGTCCAGCATGGTTTCCGACATCTTCTCCTCGAAGAAGCAGAGCTTGGTGCTCTGCGCGATGGCGTGGCTGATGGTCAGTTTGACCATGTGGTCCGACCGCGGGAGCAGCGTGATCATGTCGTTGAACACGCGCGGCCGTTTGGCGTCGGAGCTGTACTCGAAGTGGAACTCCTCCGTCTCGAAGTCGGCCTGGTCCAGCGGCCGCGTCAGGAGCGAGACGCCCGCCTCTCCCTCGGCGAACGTCAGGTCCGCTAATATGTCCTTCTCCTGGCTCTCGGTAAAGTTCCAGAACACCACGACGCCGTACGAGAAGACGAACATCTCGGCAAAGTTCTTGGCCTCGGCCACCAGCCTGTCCACCGGGCTGGGCTCCGTGGCGTCTGAGTGGTGCGGGAAGTGTCCGTTCTCGTCGACACCGTGGCTGGCGCCGCCGTTTGCCCCTTCGCCGTCGCCTTCGGCGGACCGGGGGTGGTACTCGTCACAGTAGCCCATGTGCTCGTCTCGGCGCTCGCTCCGCTCGATTTCCAGGTCCAACACCGTCTTGCCCGTGCCTGGAGTTTTGAGCACCGGCCGACTGCGGACGCGGTAACCATCAATTCCGGGCAGCAGCGGCAGGTGAAATACCGTGTAGAGGCAGTCGTCGTACAGCTTAGCTTTGGCCCCGTGCTTGGATCGTAGGAACTCGGCCGTCGTCTTCATCTTGTACGCCTGCGCGGTGCAATATGCAGTCAGGCGCGACACGCGCTCGCCGCGCTGCACCTTGGGAAGGCGCTCGGCGATGCTCTTTCCGCGTATACCGCCTCGTTTGCGCAGCACGTCCAGCTCCTCGTCGCGCAGTGGCCCGGCCTCCTCGTCGGCCGCGAGCGCCGCGTTCGCCTGCAGCACCGAAGGCGGGAGTGCGGCCGTGTCGTCCACTGTATCCTCGTCATCGTCGTCGTCGTCCTTCTCCGTCTCGGGCAGGAGCACGAGCTTCTCGCTGATCTTGGTCGTCCTGGATGGTACATTCTGCAGGCCCGTTCTTATGCTGGCGAGGGTCGGCAGGCCGCCGTGGCTGCCTCTCCTTGCCGAGGGGCCTCCGGTTCCCGCTCTCATCATGAGTGGCGACGGCCCGGGCTGGCGACCGCCTGTTTGGAAGTTGGGTGGCACGCGCGGCTGCCCAGATGGAATCTCCGAGGCGTATTGTAGCACATTGTCGACTGAAACAAAGCGCATGGGCATTTTGGAGCTCGATGAGTGGCCGGGATTGGGGCTTCCCTGGCGGCCAGTGGCACTCCGGACGGGCGCGCGATCGCGCGAGTCGGTGACCTATCGAGCGGTTGGCGGTTCAGTCAGCTCTGCGTGCCTTAACATGGTATGCTCCTTGAGCGCTTGTCGCGAGTGATTCCAACCAGAGTAGTCCAATGTCACATGGAAATGGGGCCAGAAACAAGGAGGAACATGTAGGCGCGTGAAGGGGGAAATATTCTGGAACTCGCAAGCAAACAGTGTCGGCCGACATTGGGAGCATTACCAGGAGGGACGGGTTGCGTTTCGACATTTTGTCTGGTCTGCTTTCGGCCAGCCAACACTATAGCTGCCTGTTGCTGCCCCTGGCCTGGTGCTACGACGGAGGGAATCGAACGCGGGGTCTGGTATATCTATGATCTGTGAGGAAGATCGAGTGTCGTCGTGGTTGCTGAGCAATTCCCGCGAAGCAAAACGGAAAATAGGCTTTGGGTCACTGCACGTCCATTGGGCGGTCTCGTTACAGATATCGGAAGGGCGTCGAATCGGGCGTCCGGGATGTGCCGTGCCGCGGGGGAAGCACGAGCTTTGGGTCGAAATGACCGTAGGAGTAATCGCCGTCGTCGATTGCTAGCAGAGAGGGAGAGGGAGGGAGCGTTCGAAGAAGAGGATTCCGTGCCGGACCACCAGGATCAGCAGGAGGTACGCAGTATTGAATCGGGGCCGATTGATCCTGGCCGAGGGTTTGTCTAATAATTGTTGCTGCGTCGTTCGTTGACTGCAGAAATATAAAAAGGACAAAAACGAAAAAAAGAAGGCGGCGTGGATTGTTGCGAACGCGGAATGACGACGAGATTGGCGAACTTGTGCTGCACGCGCGCCGTTCTGGAATCGTGGTGGCTCCACGCCGCTGAAGCCTTTCCCCACACATGGCGCCCACCCTTGTCACTTTGTCCCACGCGTTGGATTTGAAGACTGTTGGTCACACAGCAGACGTCATCATTTCCACAGATGGCAGTCTTACACATAACAGAGGGTTTGTTTGGGCAGACAAGCTTGATAGAAACATGTGCAATAAATAGCAGTATATACGACGAAAAACAACAACAGACTTCTCCAGCTAAAAGAACGCTATGCTCTAAATACTAAGTGGCAAAAATATAGTATGCAAAATGACGCCAGATACCACAGCAGATATGTACAAGCTTCTTGCTGCAGAGCGGGGGGTACGGAGCCGGACAGTCACCGCCCGTCTGCAGTGACCCGAACCCTAAGCGGCATCCAGGTTCGAGAGTGGTACGTATCCCTCGTCTCTCCTCTTGCCACGGGCGCGGCCCGAGACCCGGTCGAAGAGGTCGCGGGCGAGGACCAGCAAGCCCCCTAAGGGACCCCAACCCCAGCCCTTCCTACGGAGCCCGCCGCGCTCGTCGTACAGGGCCTCGTCCATGTACGAGGGCCTGCTCCAGAACTTGAGCAGCAGGCTGCTGAGCACGACGCTGACGCTCGACAGCGCCATGGCCGCGCCCGCCGCCATGGGGTGCAGGTGGAGGCCGAGGGGGAGGAACACGCCCATGGCGAAGGGCAGACCGACCACGTTGTACATGCACGCCCAGGCCAGGTTCATCTTGATGCGGTTGAAGATGTAGCGCGCCAGGTGCAGCGACGCCGGGATGTTCATGAGGTCGTCGGGCCGCATCAGCACCACGTCGGCCGCCTCCATGGCCACGTCGGTGCCCGAGGACATGGCGATGCCCACGTCCGCCGTCGCCAGCGCCGGCGAGTCATTGATGCCGTCGCCCACCATGGCCACCACCTCGCCCTCGTCCTGCATCTGCTGCACGATGGTCTGCTTCATGTCCGGAGAAACGCCGGCATACACGTTTTCGGGCGCGATGCCCACCACGGCAGCCACCGCCACAGCTGTGCTCCTCTGGTCTCCTGTCACGATTGCCGTTTTGATGCCCATGCGGTGCAACACCGCAATCGCGGCCGCCGCGCCCTCCTTGATTGTGTCCGCGAGGCAGAGGTGGCCCGAGTACTTGCCATCGATGGCGATGAAGATGTTGGTAGTTCCGGCAGACGACGCGCGGGACGACTTTGAGCGTTTCGCAGCCTTGTCGTTGACAAGCTCTGATGCCTGGATAGCGTCCTCGGGGACAGCGACATTGTTCTCGGCCAGGAACTTGACATTGCCCACCAGGACCTTGAACCGATGCCGCTCACTGTCCGACGCCGGCTCGACCAGGGCGCTGATACCCCGGCCGACGGCCGCAGCGAAGTCGCCCACGCTGCCGTCGATCATACCCTCAGAGTCGAGACCGAGCTCAGTCTTGGCTGCTCCAAGGACGGCCTTGCCTACAGGATGCTCGCTTCCCATTTCCGCCAGGCCAACAATGGTCCACCACATGCGCCGGCGCCATTCGCTGTCCTGCCAGTGCGGCGCCACGATGGCCTCAGCCACGCGCATCTTGCCGTAGGTGATGGTGCCGGTCTTGTCCAGAACCACCTTGGTGATCTTGGTTGCAGTTTCAAGAGCAGCACCACCCTTTACCAGGATGCCCTGCTCGGCACCGACACCCGTCCCAACCATGACAGCAGTCGGGGTGGCGAGACCAAGCGCGCAAGGGCAGGCGAACACGATGACCGAGATACAGAGCTGGATGCAGACAAAGATCTTGCCTCCGCTCTTCTCCTCCAGGAAGATCTTGGGCGGGTTGGAGAGGACGTGAGACAGAACCATCCACGTCGCAAACGTGAGGAATCCGAGAACAAGGATGCAGGGAACAAAGTAGCCAGCAAGAGTGTCGGCGAGCCTCTGGATCGGCGCCCGCGTCGTCTGCGCATCCTGGACGAGCTTGACGATCTGGCTGAGCTGTGTGTCGCGGCCGGCCCGGGTGACGCGGAAGTCGACCCGGCCGTGCCCGTTGACGGTGCCGCCGATGAGCCAGCTGCCCTTCTTCTTCTGCACGGGCATCGCCTCGCCCGTGACCATGCTCTCGTCGACATAGGTCTCGCCCTGGACAATCATGCCGTCGGCCGGGATCTTATCGCCGGGCCGCAGAATGACAACGTCACCAACCTGGATCAGCTCTGTGGGAATGACCTTCTCCTCGGCCGCATTCCCCTCCTGGGCCGACTCCTTGGCCTCACTGGAGGCAGCACCATCGGACCAAGTCTCGGCAGCCTTCTCCGCTGCGATTGGGTCGGCGTAGATGGTGGCCATCGACGGAGCCAGGGACATCAGCCTCGACAGAGCCTTGGAGGTCTGACCCTTGGCGTTGTTCTCGAGGAAACGTCCCAGCGTAATGAAGGTGATCAACATAGTGCTGGTCTCGAAGATGGTGTGCGGGCGCGTATGTGGCTCAAACAGGAACGAGATGAGCATCGCCACACAGCTGAAGAAAAAGGCGGACGACGTGCCCAGTACCACAAGGACGTCCATGGTCGGGGATCCATGCTTGATGGACTTGTACGCGGAAACGTAGAACCGCTTGCCAATGCCGAACTGTACAGGCAACGTTAATACCAGGGACGCGATGTCGACGATGTAGAGGCCTGGCAGGATCCAAATATCGGCTACCGCCGGCAGCAGCATTGGGCAGACCATGTTGAGGAGGAAGACTGGAATTGCAAAGGAGAGGGAAACCCTGAAGGCTCTGCGCCACTCGTTGATCTCCCTGGTCTTGGCGAGGGATTCAAGCTGGGCGTTGTTGTCGTCGTTATCCGCAACGAGGGCGTTGAATCCCGCCTGCTCAACAGACTCGACGATGGCTCGGAGGCCAATGACGGTGGGGAAGTGGACAACCGTCAGCCTCGACGTGGCCAGGCTGATTTTGGCGGACTGGACACCCGCCAGTTTGGTTAACCTCTGCTCCAGCCCGGTTGCGGCGGTGGCGTCCAGGTTGCCGTAAAGCTTGAACTGTGAGGTGGCTGCCGCCCGGGAGGCATCCGAAGCATCGAGGACGGTCGATAGGATATTGGCGTCGAAGCCCCGGTCCTCAATGATCTCGGCGATCTTCTCCGCGCTCAGGACGCTGGGCTCGTGTGTGATGACGGCGCGCTCGGCGAGCAGGCTGATGTTGAAGCGAACGACACCCTCCACGTCCTTGAACCCGCCCTCGATGGCCGACGTGCAGGCTCCGCAGGTCATGCCCTCGATTGCCACCGTTGTGACCGCCGTGGCAGGCTGTTTGCTACTGGCACCCCCTCTTTGTTCCGATTCTTTCTCCTCGCTTTCCACGATCGTGGCACCAAACCCTCTGTCCTCAATCATCTCGGCGATCTGGTCGGCGCTAAGGACCGAAGCGTCGTGGTCGATCACGGCCCTCTCAGAGAGCAGAGATATGCTAAAGTTCTTGACACCTGCCACATCCTTGAAGGCGCCCTCCACGGCCGATGTGCAGGCGCCGCAAGTCATGCCCTCGATAGCAACCGTCGTCACCATGATCGGGGGCCCGTCGGCGTTGTCGTCGAATTTTGTCCGGCTCGGCAGAGGAGATGGTAGGTCGGTCGCGAGAACCTCGGCGTCGAAGCCGCGATCCTCGATGATTTCCTGTATCATTTCGGCCGAGATCTTTTGGGGGTCGTGCATGACCACCGCCCGTTCCATCACCAAGCTCACCGAGACGTTTCCAACGCCATCGACGCCCTTGAATCCGGATTCGACCGCAGAGGTACAAGCGCCGCAGCTGTTCAGGAACTTGTAAGCAGCCGTCGTGCGGTCGCAGCCCGCGCGGGCGTGGTATCAGGGAGAGGAAGGGCTTTTTCTCACGTCATACCGCCGACCTTGAGCGTGGTCGTCGCAATGTGGAATGTGGGTGTTGCCAGCGACGCCGACGCGCCCTTTCCGGGGACTTTGATGTTTGATGGAGCCATCGGAGCGCTGAGGCGGCTGGGAACTCGATCGCTGGGCGTTGATGTCGGCACGAGGCGGAAACAGTCGTCTTTTAGGGCTCCCTGAGCCGCAGAGCAGACACACAAAGGAGTCCGGATGTCCGGCCCTCAGATGGTGCCGTCTCTGAAAGTGGTTGTTCTCACAGCCGCGCGACAATGTCGGCCATGGACCAGGGCTGACTACAGCAATAGGACAGGGGGATAAAAATAAAAAGGCTTGCGGCGCTTGCGTGGACAAAGCTCGGAGCTAGCGCAGAGAGACGGAAACAAAGCACGCAAAGATCAGAGAAGCCCAGCTTCTCAGCTCTCTCTATTATGTTCGGGGGGTCGACACCCTTTGGGGGATGTGCTAATCCATGCGACGCTGCGGCCAAAAGGCAAAAATAAGAAAATGGGGAAAGGTGGTCGTCGGGATTTACGGGCCAGGCCAGGAGGAGTGAGGGCACCACTACATGGGCTGGCTGCGCGCTCAGCCGACGCTTCACCCTTTTCCCGACCATCCATGACTTTTCGAGATGGGGACCTTTCGCACCCACAGCGCTCCATCCAATGAGTCCACCCACACACACCCCTTGTCGCTGTGCCCGGACCTCCCGTTTCGGGAGGAGACTGTGTCGGCAAATGTTGCAACACGGTGCCTGTCGCTCAGACGAATCAATTCGAGCGCTGACAATGACAGCAGGGTTTCTAGAATAGCCTGGGAATATGAGCTGTCACCGTCGGCTGATGGTCCCGACAAAGGCAGAGATTGAATCATATTGAAGATGACAAACGCCAAAGAGGAATTCTGGAGGATCGGCAGTGCAAATTGAGCGAGGGTGCGAGGTTAACGAACCCTGGGCAGCGACAGCCAGCGAAATCAACAGGGTGGCGCACCATATTTCGGGCCCAGGACAAACTATTGCCGTTGATGGCCTTTGTCTGCTTGGCCTGATGCCGACGGTCTTGTCCGATAGCCTTGTCGCGCCACCTCGCCCTCCGACCTTTTGCATTGGTCGGGGAAACCCAGCGTTGAGAATCGGGGCAGCGAGCGATGCAACCTCTCGTCGTCAGTCTGGGCAGGATGTGCCGAATACAAGTCCTCACGGCCCTCCATCTCCGCTCACCTGCGCCCACCAAGATAACAGACACTTGGCAATATCAATTCCTGGGAGGAGCTGTATACGTAAACGCATCAAGGGTTGACAGACCTTCGGAGCCTCCCACCCACGCCCACCACAAAAAAAATACGGCTTCTACCACTCCTATTGTTATTTCTGTTTTTATTCATCCTTTTCCCTCTCCTTTTATGTTTGGTTCCGTGCCTATTCCTGCTTCTATTCCTCCAAGGAACTGCCATTTCTTTTGTGGTGGCGTGCCAGGCTCACCAACTTATCTATATTATAGCGCCCTCGCAAAGCCCACGTTGACGCTTTCAAACTATCTTCGACTTCGACACGCAGGGAGTCTAGAACGATGTCTACGGCATAGGACTCTCAGGAACAGGTACAGTATTTAACACATTTTCCCTTTCGGGCCACGGTGGAGTCTGCCGTGTCAAGATCATGCTCGCCAAGATTGCAGTCTAGGAGACGCGGTCTAAGACGCAGCCGGATTCCGCGGACGTTGTGCTGATGAAGGCATACGCTGAGGCGGTGCATGACGGCGGATCCATTTCGCACTAGAATCACGGGGACCAAGAGGGAGTGGACAACTTGGCCCCATGTGCACGGGCAAGTGAGTTGAGCGACTCGGGGCTGAGCGGAGAGAGACAGTTCGTGAGCATGAGTCCCGTACCTTTGCAGAAGTATTGGATCCTGCTGAGGAACAAGCGGGCTGTCCCGCCCCAAAATCACTCCGGATTCGGTGAGTAGGTGTCATGGCGTGCATCTAGCTGCAGCCATGCTTGAACGAACGGGAGGGTCTGGTGGCCGCTCGGAAGGTGGCACGCCCACCACAAAAAAAATAGCAGTCTTACAGGGTTCAGGTGTTGAAGCGTTAATCCCACGGGCTTTTCCTATCCTTATTTTTCTTCCTGCCATTATTCATGTTATGATTCCTGTCATTATTCCTGTTGTTATTCCTTCAGTCGCCTTTCTGAGCTTGGGTGGAACTGCCATCTTTTTTGTGATGTGCGTGTCCCCTTGGGTCCCATTGATTCTCTTCCTTCCTGTACAGTGCGACTGTTTCCAGGTGTGTCTGTAGTGAGAATGTTTCAAGGCTGGATCGTGCCCGCTCCCAGCATCGACGGCGCTGCCCTATCGCATTCGAGATTTGTTGCCGCCAGGCGTCAGGGGACGCAGGACGGAAAGTCCCCTGCTGGTCAGATGTCAAAGCGAATGAATGGATGTGGGAACAGCCGGATTCACACGACCCCTGATAATGGAGGCAAAATCAAAACCTCAAACAAACATGACACAGCCACGAGCGGCACCTGAGATTCTTTCGCTGGTCCGTCCCCATACCGCCCGTACTTCATGTTGGTCTGGAAGAACATGCCATGTTTCTCTTGGCGTCTCTCACCCAGCTCCTTCGTGATTCCATGGCTCCCTGGCCCAACGAGTGGTTAGATTCGCGGATCTCAAGGCTTGTTTTCACGACGCGTTGCGACGCCACTCGGCTGGCCCTGCTTTGGGACAGGCGAAATAACTGGAGAGGGGTTACAGGCGAGCGACGTGCCAAAACCCCGAGCTTATCAGTGTGTGTTCGCGGCGGAGGGGGTGGCGGTCGGTTGCTTCCGTGGGTTTACGGTCTCGGCTCCTCCTTCATTCCTGTCACCTCGCCCCGTTTGTAGAATTGCTTGGGTTGGATGCTATCCTTCGTGCTATGGAGGACATCCATATGTCATTTTCACAGCAGAGGAATTTTAGCACCTCGAAATCCATGCCCTATTCCACTTCCACTGCAATGGGTGATATTTCTAGGCGGGCACTTAAGAGAGTGCAAAAAAAAGGCTGAGAAAATGCAGCAATGGCTGCCTGAATGTATTTTATCTTTTCCTTTCTTCAGACTCAAACCATTGCAGAAGCCATTGATGACGTCGATTCGGCTTCTTATGCAAAAACCCCGCAGGGCAGGCGCCCACCCCACTGTAGCCGCACCTAACCGCATGCGGTTGGCAGCCTGTCTCGACCTCATCGACGAACAGCCTCGTCCTCCAACACCGCCGGCCTGAAACACGCGAGAGGAGTAGACCTACAACATGGAGCAAGTCAAGGCGCTCAACGCGTTGGAGGTGCGTCCAGTCCGGGGCGCTGAGGAGGTAGCCAGAGCCATGTCAAACGTTAGCTAACCTCCCGCACCCTCGCAGCCCTTCCTGGCCCTATCCAAGTCGGCGACCTCGCCCCGGGCGGCGGCCGACCTGGTGATGCGCGCGACGTCGGCGCCCAACACCTTCATCTTCGCCGAGCTGCTCGAGCGCCCGCAGATCCAGGCCCTCGCCTCGTCCCCGGAGCACTCACCCGCCCTACAGCTCCTCCGCATCTTCAGCCACGGCACCTGGACCGCCTACTCGTCCACCCCGGGCCTGCCCGTGCTCAGCGACGCCCAGGCCCGGAAGCTGCGCCAGCTCTCGCTCCTCACACTGGCGCGCGACCGCGCCTCGCTCGCCTACGACGTGCTCCTGCGCGAGCTGGGGCTGTCGTCGGCGCGCGCGCTCGAGAACACGGTCGTGTCGGCCGTCTACGCCGGCCTGGTGCAGGCCAAGCTGGACCCGGCCGCGCGCTGCGTGCGCGTCAGCTCCGTCGCCCCGCTCCGCGACCTGGCCCCCGGGGCCGTTCCCGGGATGGTGGCCGCCCTGCGCGCCTGGTCCGACCGCTGCGTCGAGGGCTTGGCCGCGCTCGAGGCCGAGGCCGCCGCCGTGCGCGCCGCCGCCGCCGAGAGGCGCGCCGACCGCGCTGCCTGGGAGGACCGCTTCACGCGGCTCGTCGAGGACGAGAAGATGCAGGCGGACCACTCGGGGGGCGGCAGCGGGGGCCCCGGCGGCCTGGCCGGGCCGGGGAAGAAGCTCATGGGCGGGCCTGGTCGCCGCCTCGGCGGCTTCGGGAAGCGCGGAAGCACCCTGATGGAGAGCAGCGCCGCCGCCGACCCTGGAGACGAGGCCATGGACGTTGACGATGACGATGTGGAGGCCAAGAGGGCGAGTCGGCGGAAGTTATGAGAGGTTCACGTTCTGAGAGTCTCGTCGTTTTGACACCCGTCTCGCGGGAGCGGATCCTCACCTCTACGATCGGTAACAGAGTCGGGGACAAGGGGAGACGATACAAGCTGATATGGCGGAGAAACCAGACTCCAGCTGTGCCCGTCCCAAAATCACCATCCATATATCACAGGCACTTAAACTGAGCTAGGCGCTGCCTCAAAAGAAAATAGCAGCTCAACGCTCGCTTGAGATTAGTACTGACCATGTGATGCCGGCCTGCATGCCTCAAGTCCCGCACACACGCGTCCCACGATGGCCTAAAAGAGACAAGGGGAACCAGTGGTGCGATATTGTACAGTAAGTGGTATCCTAAACCAACCAAATAGTCCTTTCCGTACTCGTGAATATCGTAACGGGAATTAGAAGGAGAAAAGAACATTGCGATTGGTCTAAAGAAGGAAAACAAAAATACCAGGGTGAAAGCTCCAAGAATCAAGCCTTGACAAGCCAGTTAGCGCCGATGCTCCAATTCGCCGTGCCCAACAATCCATGAAATCCGGCCACCATCATTGAATGTAACATGATCTACAGTCTGCGGCCTGGAACTAGGATGAAAAGCACGAGCAGGGCAGCATCGATCAGTGCCGTGACGGCCAGGACCATCATTGACCGTTTTGCCAGAAGCTTGCGGATGTACGGCTCCCGAATCCGCGAGAAGTTGAATGGCGTGTATTCGCTGAAACCGAGAAGGGCGAGGATTGGGTCTAGCGAATATTGGTACGCTGCTAAGCAGTAGACACCGATGGTGAACGGCAGGATGAGCTGTGCCAAGACTGTCAGCAAATCTTCCACGGACACAAGTGCTCGTCACAGCAGAGCGAGTGTGCTGAGAGTGCTGGGATATGCTTACCCATAGCCTGGTTTGTCTGGAGGCGTCGAGAAATATGAGAACAAAGGCAGTCCAGAAGGCTCCAAACATCGACACCATGCCTATAATAAGGCGCATGATGAGCGTCGGGGGGATGAGATTGCCGAGCGCCTTCATTCTCAAGAAACCTGGGAACGCATCCCGCTCCATCGCCTGGAAGACGTAGTCCTTAGCCACGTCGAAGACTTCTGGGTCGTCGCGCCCAAAGTCCTCGATAGCCGTGGTGACGTCCTGTGTGATGGACCCGGGGAGCACAATCTCCCTCTCGGCCCCCGGAAGTAGGAAGGTGTACAGAATCTTTTCGGCCGAGGCGCGGATGTCTTCCCTGGCGACTGTGTGTTCAGGCGAGTTGGAATCGGTTGGGTTGCGGAGAGAGCCAGCACTATTCGGAGGGCGGCGGGAGCCGCTGCTTTGCGGGGAATCGTGGATGCCGCCTGGTGCGCCCTCCTCTCTAAGGAAGGCCGACATCTGAGCATCCTGATCCTTCTCCTTGCCGTGCGGAAATCGTGACGGGCCCGCGTCGTGGTCCATGGATCCCAGGCCCTCCAGCATCGCTGAGGACCGCTTCGATGCCTTCTCTGCGTCCGGCGTCCCAATAAGCACCGAACGTCGGAGCTCGCGGACGTAGTGGCGACATAGTGTCATGTGCTGGGCGACATCGAGCCTGAAGTACTGAGTTAGCATCATCGCTATTCCAACCCTTGCCAGAGGCGACAGAGACACCCGTACCAGAAGTCTAGGTAGTCGACGGATCGCTGCTGGTCTCTCATATATATGTAGAATGAGAAGAGGTCGACTGGAGGAAGCGTTCGTCGGCTGAGAACCTCGAAAAGAGTCGGCAGTCGGTTCCGATTCAATTCGGGCTGCGGCGATGGCGTGGTCGACATGTCGGTCATTTCGGCGGTTTCGACGGGCTGGTAGATTTGCGATTTTCCGAATGCCTTCTCGACGCGAGGTCGATAGGCTCTCGGAGCCAGTTTGACCTGTTGGGGTGCGGACGTGGAGAGAACAGTTGGGAAAGCGAAGAGTAAACGACGAGTTCCAACAAAGAGCTGATGACGGGGTGATTGTCAAGGTTGACTGTTCGTGCTCCCAATTTAGCCCCTGGCTAATCAGATCGCAGAGCTGACGGCGCGCAAGTGTCACGACGCGGGGGAAATTAAGGAAATTATCGACGCCGAGCCTATCGAGGCGTTGACGAGAACACGATCGGGACGGCGCCAGACCGATCGATGCGCCAATGGAGAGGCTGCGAGGTGTTTGTTGCTTGACACGGGTGTGGGTCGCAAATCCTCACATCCTGATGCGAAAGGGATGCAAGGAGGAGGCTGGCAGGCCGAGAGAGCAGTGGCAGAAAAGCCATCGGCGACAGGGGCAGCCGCTGGCTCGTGCGCACCAGTTACAGCCGAGGATCAGCCACTGAGAGCAGCAGGCCCATTGTCCATTAGATGGCCCGTGCACAAGAGTTGCAGCCCCAAAAATAGTCACGTGCAGACTTCAGGCCCTTGTGACTAAGCTTGCATCTCATTGGTTCCACGTCCCCTCCACGATTGCTCCTGCCCTAGGTGGACAATTTTGTGTGTGGGAATTCTGCAAGGCCGACTGAGAAACGACCAATTTTCCTCCAGCCCAGCAAAAGACCAACATCACGCCGCCGCAACCAGTAGGTCGCCTTCCCGCTCCCCGAACGAGACGAACACGACGAGATCGATTCGGAATAAACGGCTCATACTCCTAACACCCAATCTTTTTCACCCTTCAGAAATGTCGTCCAAGGTCGGAAAGAAGCCTGCGGGCAAGCAGCGCTCTGCCATTGCCGATGTTGTCGCCCGCGAGTACACTATCCACCTGCACAAGAGAGTATGTCGATGACCTCTGCGCCGGAATTCGAACCTGCCGCCTGTTTTGTCTCGTGTCGGCTTTTTGTTGGGCTATTGGCGTATTGTGCCCAGACAGCGCTGACAGCAACCCCACAACAGCTACATGGCGTCACCTTCAAGGACCGCGCCCCCAAGGCCATTAAGGAGATCAAGAAGTTCGCTACCCTGGCCATGGTACGAATCCCCTCGAATACCTGCTCCCACCGAAGAGGCGCGATTGCTGCGGCTCGCCTTGCCTGTTTGGAGAGATCGGCGATGGCCAACCGCGCGACGGGTGCTCACTGCCGGTGAACTATGTGCTAACCTTCCTCCAGGGCACCACCGATGTCCGCGTCGATCCCCAGCTCAACAAGAAGGTCTGGGAGGGCGGTGTGAAGGGCTGCCCCTTCAGGATCCGCGTCCGCATCTCGCGGAGGCGAAACGACGAGGAGGGCGCCAAGGAGAAGCTTTACAGCTACGTCCAGGCCGTCAATGTCAAGGACCCCAAGGGCCTGCACACGGTCGTTGTCGAGGAGTAAAAGTGGCGTTTACCAAGGAGAGGACGGACGGCACAACGGGTTTCTGGCGGCATCTGGGCTTTACGGAGTTTTTGATTGGCATTAGCTTCCTCAACCATCCCAAAATAAAAAAAAGGACACAAGCGAGGCGGCTCGACCAACCCTTTGCGCGCCCCGACCCCGCAGGCGCTGGACTGGCATACCGCGGATGGTTGTCATGGAGTACTGGAAGAGGCATCTGCATTTCACAAGGCCTCGGGTTACGTTATGGTTGGCGGTTTATAAATGACGGTCTTAAACGGCCATTTTTCTCATTTACCTGCTTGTCGCCCAAGGTCGGCGTACCTTGACGGCGCACCTGTGCCATGCTGGCCGGGTTACCTTGTTGACTCGAAGCAGAGCAGATCCAAAATACCTGGCTGTCTGAGCCCAGTCCGCGAGGTCGTAGTGCGCCCAGTGTCCCGTACAATGTCCAACGATTGCCGCCGAGTCTGAGGAAAGAATCAAAGTTCCCCGAGAACGCTCGTTACTCCCTGAGGAAATGCCACGCCGCTATATTGCATTGCTCCCAGAACCCCCCGAAAATCAATCAGGGAACAAAAAACCTAATGGTGGATGTGACCTTCCTTTGCTTCATTCGTCAATATCCTGATGACGGCCCAAGACCTTGCGCTTGAACTCTTCGAAGTCCTTATCCCACAGCTCGGCGGCCTCACCGTTCAGCGGTGATGCGCTGTTCCAGAGAGGGGCGTGGTCAGCAACGTCTCGGGGAGAACAGCCCGAAGGCGACATAGGCCACGATATCGGCAGCGGCAGGGGGAAATCGACTGACTTGTTCGGCTCGCCCAGCAAGCTCTGCAGGCTCAGCAGCACCGTCTGGATGTTGTAGGCGGCCGTCCACTTGTCCTTAAGGATGTCGAGGCAGATGCGGCCCGAGAAGTCGACGTTGGGGTGGTATATGGGCGTCTTGAACAGGACCGTGGGCGGGGCGTACGGGTAGTTGGCGGGGAAGGCGAAGGAGAGCTTCAGGGTCAGGCCCGTGTAGGGCGTGTCGTCGGGCCCCTCGATGGTGGCGGCCCACGACATGAGGTTGCCGTCGGCCGAGGGAAAGGCGGAGACGCCGGGCGCGGGCGAGGTCATGAGCTGCATCAGCTCCGTTTGCAACCTGGAAGAGAGCAAGGGGCCATGCGCCGCATGTTAGTCAAGCCACACCCGGGAGGGGCAGGAGGAGATGGGATGGGGAGGGGTCTGTCTCGAGGAGGACCCTGGCTTCCACTGACCTCTTGGTGACGCTCTGGGAGTCCGGGCCCTTCTTCGCGACGCCAGCCTTGGCGGCGGCCGGCGCGGTCCCCGGCGCCGAGTTCTGGCTGTCCTCTATGCTGTAGTCCATGGCGGGCGGTGAGAGCTGTGCCGAGTGTGACAAGGGGTGTGGGCCGGCCGGGTGATGCGCGACGTCGAGAGATGACGCTCTGTGTCCTGTTTGGCCCCCCGGGGGTGACTTGTGCTTTGTCGGACCGTTGCTTGGGGTGATGCTTGTTCCGCTAAGCCTGCAATAACGGGATGCGGGAGTAGCCCTGATTAATATAAGCTGATCACGAGATAACCCGAATTGGATTTATCCAAGACCTGTCAGCGGCCTGTGAATGCGTACCTGAATTAAGGAGTTTGTGGCAGAAGGGTTTCTAGGTTCGAGGTCCGGATCTGGTTTTTAATGCCGAAGAGAAAAAGCAAGAGGCAGTTGGGGGCTCAATGGATGCTGTAGGGGAATGCTGTGTGCGCGGCGGTTGCGGTCGAAAGAAAAAAACGGCACACCGACGGATGGGCCAGGCGAGCCCGAGGCCGTGGGGTGGAAACCCGTGGCTTTGTTTACCAGCCAACGTATCCGTCATCCAGCAACCGCGATAAACCACCCACCCCTGTCCCCTCTGGGAGGGTCCCGCCCCGGCAGGAAAGCGGGGGTACCTAACGGGCGGGCTTGAGCCGACAGTTTGCGCAAATGCGACGACATGCAGAGCCTCTAGGCCAATCGAGACGCGAGCGGCCGCGCCTCTCTGGAACAAAACAAGTGGTTTAGCCAGGAGCACGAGGGGAATTTCATACTGCCGATTCGCACTGATTCTACCATGACCGGCACGCCGAAGAGAGCGAATAATGGCGCCATCATGTCTGCAACAATCAAGGAAAGCTTGTGCAGATATAATTATTTCTCCGTCGCTCCCCGGGTCGTTTACAAGGCGAAGATGATATGCGGCAGCCATCCAGGCCACTCTACCCCCTCTGTTAGTTGGCAACCACAAGACTTGGCACGGCAAAGGAGTCTCGACTACAGGCGGACGATTCCACTCAACTACACGGTATTGACGCTAGAGGTACCGGGCCCACCTTCTAAAACTAGCCCTGTTAAAATCGGTATAGGCCAGCCGGAGTGCTTGTGGTCGCCATGCTGGGGATGTGTTTTTGTTTCCATCCATGGACTTCCCAGACGGGAAGTGGATCCCGCCTACCCAAATATCTCAAGCTGCAGCATTTCTGCCTTGGGCTGGTGCCTGGAACTTTCCCTCGAAAATCAAAGACCAGGGACTTTTCTAAACGATCTTATCACGAAGCAACAAGACCAGACCATTGATAATCGTGCAAGACAATCCTGACCGTGCACCTGTGCTGAACTGTCGACACCGCATATTTGCCGGATATCTGCTACCTCAGACCCAGCGAAATATTTGGTGCCATCGCTTTGGCGGTTGGTGCTGCTTGAAAGCAGGATGATCTCTCATTCCCAACTCGATCCTTTACCCAACGACCTTCCTTTCCGGTTTGTCTCAAAGACAATCGGCCGGGGAGCCTATGCCTCGTGAGTTTTGTGCTGCTCGGAGCATCTCGGACATAGAGCCAGCTATTTCCGAATGCCTTCATGGCGAGCTCTGCTGACCTCACCGCCACGACAGTATCAAAAAGGCCGTCCCTCTGGACAGGGACACTCCCGTGTTCGCGGTGAAGTTGATCCACAAGGGCTATGCAATGAAACATGGCCGCATATCGGCAAAGCAGATCGGAATGGAGGTGGCGCTGCACTCGCACATTGGCCAGCACCCCAACATCATCGAGTGGTTCGCTACCGGTGAAGACGCGACCTGGAAGTGGATTGGCATGGAGTTCGCCGAGGGCGGCGACCTTTTCGACAAGATCGAGGCCGACGTCGGCGTGCCCGAGGAGATCGCCCATCTGTACTTCCTGCAGCTCATCGGCGGCGTCAGCTTCATGCACTCCAAGGGCGTTGCCCACCGTGACCTGAAGCCCGAGAACATCCTGATGTCGGCGTCTGGCGATCTGAAGCTGGCCGACTTTGGAATGGCCACCCTGTTCGAGCACAAGGGCCAGAAAAAGCAGAGTACAACTATGTGCGGCAGCCCGCCGTACGTCGCCCCGGAGGTCCTGGATGTGTCCAAGAACGACAGACGGAACCCGCAGCAGGTGTTCAAGTACTCGGCCGACATCGTCGACATCTGGTCCTGCGGCGTGATCCTGTTCGTGCTGCTCGTCGGCAACACGCCATGGGACGAGCCCACGTCGACCAGCTGGGAGTTTGGCGAGTACATCAGGACCAACGGCCGCAGCACCGACGCGCTCTGGGAGAGGATACCGTCGGCCGCGCTGTCGTTGCTGCGCGGCATGATGAACGTCGACCCGAGCAAGCGCTTCTCGTTTGCGCAGATAAGGCAACATCCGTGGTTCACGCAGCACAATAGTCTCCTGACCGCCGACGGCTGCGTCTCGGACCCGATCCACCTCGCGACCCAGATGATGAAGAACCTGCACATCGACCTGTCCCAGGCACCCACCCTCTCGCAGAGACAGGCGCTCGCCGATGCTCAAGCGATGGACGCCGATGGAGCCGATCCCTGGGCCGCCAAGTTCTCGGCCACGCAACCAGAGGCGCCCATAACCGATGCCCTATTTGACTGGGAGCGGCCGACGCTCCGGACCATAGGCGCCATGGACATGCCGTCGACACAGCCGGTTCGAGGGCGTGGCAGTAGCACGACTAGTTTTTCGCAGGCTACCCGCGGCCGGGCCGAGGTTTTGGACATATTGTCCGAGGAGCCTTCGATGAGCCAGTTCGCGTCGACCCCTGGCGTGCCCATCAGCCTCACGCAGCGCGCCAGGCAGTTCCGCGACATTGTGCCGGCCTACTCGCTCACGCGCTTCTATTCGCACATCCCGCCCGGGCTTCTGGTTCAGAAGCTCAGCGACGCCCTGCATCAGCTCAACGTCCCTCTCCCCGCCCAGCCCGCGCCCACCGACACCAACCGGATCGCGCCAGTCAAGTTCAAGGCCCTCGATGGACGCGGCCAGAGCCTTCACGGAGACATCATGATCGACAAGATCATCATCGAGGGAGACCACGAACTGCTCGAGGTCCGCTTCGTCAAGACAAAGGGCGACCCTCTCGAGTGGAGACGAATGTTCAAGAAGATTGCGCTCCTGTGCAAGGATGCGATATTCAACAGCGAAGCCTAGAAGGCTCGCGATTGTATACCTTCTTCTTTCGAGCACACCTCATCCCCCATGGACGAGGACCAATGCCCACCATCGGCTCAGAAAGACTGAAGCGACACGACGGCTGTGTCGGCCGCGGCTCAATGCACTATTGGTAGCGACAGCGCATCATCCATGGGCCATGTATGGAGCTACTTTGGCGATTGTTATTTCTAGATATGCGTAGAGATTTATACCGCAACGAGAATGGTCACGGCAGCCCATGAATGTTTCTTGCCTAGAGTGTTTAAACCCCTGAGATGTGAGGTCATCGCAGGACCAGGGGGATGGAGATCCCTGTCGGATCGCGCTGCACGGTAAATTTTGGCGGGGCAATGCCCCTCGAGTCACGGATGATGCGAACGGACAGCCAATTTTGCTTGATGTATTTTGCCGCAAAGGGCTGCCAGACAGAGTGACTCTATCTGTGATACTAGCTGCCCCCAGTCGCCCCTCCTCCGCTCCCCTCCCTTCATCCCACCTCCGGCCTATTTTTTTTTTTTTTTTTTTTGACTGGCGCATGCATGCGGCAACTAGCAAATCTCAGGTTAAGCCTTGCACGTGCCACAACGGCTCCTGCCCGCCTTCCCCAGCGACAGCCTCTGCGCACAATACGCCACGGATCCCTCGTTCCGGCCTCTGCGACAACCCGCGCGGCGTCGGACTTCGTCGCAAACATGGGCAAGAAGGACGACAAGAAGGCGAGCTTCCAGCTCAAGACGCCCAAGGGCACTCGGGACTGTATGTTTTGGGCTCGGGACGGGCGTCGCATGCGCTTGTCATGGATCAATGACTGCCGCCATGTTGGTTCCGCGCCGACACGCCCCAATGGCCTTCTTTGTTGCTAACATGGTCGCCTGCGCCCAGGGGACAGGAAAGATATGATCCTCAGGTTAGTCGCCATGGAATCGTAACTTCCAGACGCGCAATGTGCATAATGCGCCTTCACCATATCACAATATTCCTGTTCACTGATACGATAGGCGCCCCCGCCTCTGCCTCGCTGTAGGGATCGTATCTTCCAAGCCATCACCGAGGTCTTTAAGCGTCACGGCGGAACGAATCTCGACACGCCAGTTTTCGAGCTGAAGGAGATCCTGAGCGGAAAGTAAGCAACGCAACACCCCCGAGCGGCCGCCATTTTCTGGACCGGACGAGGAGGGAAACCCCGGGCGGGACGCTTGGTCGCTGACGCGAGTGGTGCTGTGCAGGTACGGAGAGGATAGCAAGCTCATATACGACCTGGCGGACCAGGGCGGCGAGCTGTGCTCATTACGCTACGACCTGACGGTGCCGCTGGCGCGGTATCTGGCCATGAACACGGACATCAAGCAACTCAAGCGCTTCCAGATCGCAAAGGTCTACCGGAGGGACCAGCCGGCCGTCGCCAAGGGCAGGATGCGCGAGTTCTACCAGTGTGACTTTGACGTGGCCGGCATCTACGACCCCATGATCCCCGACGCCGAGATCCTGCGCATCATCGTCGAGGTCTTCACCGCGCTCGAGTTCGACAACTTCACCATCAAGGTCAACCACCGCAAGGTCCTGGACGGCCTCTTCCAGGTCGCCGGCGTCCCGCAGGAGAAGATCCGGTCCATCAGCTCGGCCGTGGACAAGCTGGACAAGGTAGGAAGCTCTCCGGATCAGTGGCCCGCCAACTGTTTATGGCTTTTTTTCTGTCATTGGCCGTTTCTGACGCAAGCGTGGGACCGCAGATGCCATGGTCCGAGGTGAAGAAGGAGATGCTGGAGAAGGGCCTCTCGGACGAGGTTGCCGACAACATCGGCGAGTACGTGAAGCACAAGGGCGGCAGGGACATCATCACCCTGCTGCAGCAGGACAAGAAGCTGTCAGAAAACGAGGTCGGCAAGAAGGGCGTCGAGGACATGAGCCTGCTATTCACCTACCTCGAGGCCTTTGGCGTCACGGACAGGGTCTCGTTTGACCTCTCGCTGGCGCGCGGGCTAGACTACTACACGGGCGTCATCTACGAGGTCGTGACAGAGGGCTCCGCCCCAGCGGTGGCCCCCGTCGTCGTGCCCGTCGTCGAGCCGGCAGCAGCAGTGGCGGTGGCGAGCGAGCCCACCGATGCGGCGGCGGCAGCGGCAGCGCCGGCCCCCGCACCGACAGCGCCGGCAAAGAAGCGGGCGCCCAAGAAGAAGGCGGGCGAGGACGACGACCGGTCCGACGACCCGACGGTGGGTGTGGGCAGCATCGCGGCGGGCGGGCGCTACGACGACCTGGTGGGCATGTTCAGCGGCAAGGGCGACAAGGGCCAGATCCCGTGCGTGGGCATCTCGTTCGGCGTCGACCGCATCTTCAGCATCATGAGCGCGCGCCAGAGGCGCCAGGCGACCGAGCAAGGGGCCGCGGCCGCGGGCGTGCGGCAGAACGAGGTGGACGTCTACGTCATGGCCTTTGGCGGCGGCAAGGACTTCTCGGGCCTGCTGCCCGAGCGCATCTCGGTGGCGCGCCAGCTCTGGGACGCGGGCGTCAAGGCCGAGTTCTCGGCAAAGGTCAAGCCCAAGCTGCAGAACCAGTTCAAGGTGGCCGAGGACGGCGGCGTGCCCCTGGCCGTCATCCTGGGCGAGGACGAGCTGGCGCAGGGCAAGGTCAAGCTCAAGGTCATGGGCCTGCCCAAGGACCACCCCGAAAAGGACGGCATGCTCGTGTCGAGAGACGAGCTGGTGGCCGAGGTGAAGAAGCTGCTGCAGTCGTGAAGACCGGGGCTTTTTCGTTTTGTTCTCTGGGCTTTTTTTTTTGCTCTTGGTATGGCTCTTGCATCCCCACCTCATTAGGGGCTAGGGGAGGTTAAATAGGGGATAGAAGGGCCTGTTTAGGTGCCTTTGATAGGCATATAGGGGCGATAAACAAAAGGCTGGGAATAAATAGATAGAGCGAGCTTGGTGATTTCCTGTGGGCCTTTATTGCTTTTTCTTTTTTATCTCCTCGCCCGTGTTGTTAGTGATCATGTGTGAAGTGGTGGATGCATCTTTTGCGAAAGAATGACAAACTAGGTTGCTGCTCCCAAAGCTGCATGTGCATGGTGAAAGAAAAAGGCCATCTGGAGATGGAAACACATCACCAACTTTGCCTAGGCCAGTAAATCATCGACGAGAACCCTCTGCAACCTCCACGCCCTCTTATAGCCCCCGATTATGCAGGAATGCGCAGGACGCATCCTCGGCGTGCCGGGCGACTAGGATAAGCCGTGAGATGAAATGATTGGTTTCTTGTGTAGAGCCAGGGAGATGGGGGTACCTGGGTGGGTACCGGCAACCTTTCTCGTGGTGCGTATCCAAGGAGACGATACATGGAGCCGGAAGCAAGAACACAAGGACATAAAAGGACGGGAGTTTGCTAATAATACACAAAACTTATAGCAAATGTTGGCAAGGCAGTGGAGGTCTTGGGTCTCGCGCCACCAGGCTGCTGTTTTGTTCTCTCTCTCTAGATGCCGTGGTGCCCATGTAGTTAAGGCACCACTGCGACCTATTAGCCGATCGGTTACCTAGTCCCCCAGGTAGGTATATAAATTATGCACGCCTCATGGCGCTCACGACATGGACGCGCGACGCGCGGCAACGCCGACCCTTGGGTGCCGAAGCCGCATGGACATCAACGCCACAGGCGAGTGGCAACGTCCAGGGAGTGAGACAAAAAGGGATAGAGGCTGATTGGGGGAGATGCTATATCGCAGCGTCGCACAGGACAATGAGCCACGTTCCAAAGGCTGTGCGCAGGACAGGTAGATCTATGTTGTACTTCTAAACGGATACACACGCCTCTAGCGTTGTTCTACGTGCAGAGTGGCGACTGCGTGCAGGGGTGTGGTTTCACACGCAAGACTGGACCGTCCAGGGGAGAAGTGATAGTCTAGATGCATAATATATTTCAACATTGGCTTTTGGTACTATAAACAAACAAGTTAGATGGGGCGTGGGATCTCGAAATACCCACAGCTATATGCAACAGGAACAAAACGCCGTCGCCATGCCGCTAAGCGTGGTATAAAACGTCGAAAACAACAACAAGCAAGAAAAAATCGTAAAAGTCATCATCCGTGCTATATACGTATGAATTAAAACAAAAGAAACAAGAGAAAGGAAATAATAGCACCCGTCGTGGACTGTAGACCAAGGGGTATGGCGTCATGTATAGTAACAAGTCTGGAGAACATGAGTGCATAGGGGTAGCACAGGTGGGGTTGGAGACATACACAGGGGTGGGCAGGTGGTTGTTATGTATAGCGAGGGAGGGCAAAGAGCGTGGGAGAAACAACAGGACATCCTAGATAAAAGTACCCCAAAAAATGAAGTAGTTGCACAGTGGGTGTTTATTACCACAGATCACGCTGTGGCCCAAACGTATGCTGGCCCATGGACAGGGCCAGCGGTGATCGCGAGACCACAGGAGGCAGCTGCTGCAGCTGCTGTTGTTGCGGCATGATGGCGCAATCCCACTCGTCGTGGGAGCCGCCCACTTCCCAGCCGCCGCCGTCGCAGCATGGGCGATCGTAGTTGCAGTTCGCGGCATGAGGGTACTGCTGATGCTTGCGGGGGTTGTGGTGATGATAGTGGTGGTGGTGATGGTGGTAATGATGATGCTGCTCTTGAACCTGGTGGTGGTACTGGTATTGCTGCTGCAGGGGCGGGGATAGGGCCTGGCCCTTGGGCGGGAGACGGAAGCGCTCTAGGTCGGCCTCCATCTCGCGCAGGTGTAGTGTCCCCGGCCCGGCAAAGTCGTCGATCAGGCTCGCGATTTTCCTGAACCCCGTCGTGTGGCCGCCACAGAGGCGGGCGCGGTGGCCACACATGATAAAGAGGTAGCTGTGGATGAGCTCGTGTAGGAAGGTTGAGATGAGGAGGCGGCGGCTATAGCGGGCGTCGCGTAGGATGGGCGAAGACAAGACGATGAGAGTCTCGTAGCCAATCAGGCGCCGCGAACGCCGCATGGCCGTTGTGCCAATGATCTTGGCTGCGTACTTGTCGCCCGTGGACCAGTGTGACCAGTCCCAGTCGACGCGGCTGGTTAGGCGGCCACCGAAGAAGATCTCGTTTGTGGCTGAGAACAGGCTTCCAAGGGCGGCGTCGTCGAGCTCGAAGTCGGCCTCGGCCGCGCGTGGGTGCACAAGGCTCCGGAGGATCCGCTCGTGAGCCGAGTCTGGGTGCCGGCGGAGGAAGTCGGCCTTTTGCTCCACCACGATCCGTGCGGCCTCCTCGTCCGTCAGGAGTTCCAGGTCGTTCTCATCCTTGGTGCAACAGCACGAACATTCCGGGAGGGGGTCGGTGGAGATGGAGATGCCGGACGAGGTCCTCTCCATGAGCGGTGCGTAGGACCCCGGGCTCTGAAGCTGATGCTTATGGGCTTGCGGTTTCGGGTGTAGGAGTGGTAGTGGCGGGCTCGATGGCTTCGCGTGCTCTGCCCGGACGAAGTAGACGGAGGGTTGGCCCGACGGAGGCCCGACTAACGGGGGTGACGGACTAGCGCTCGCAAGATCCCATTCGTGAACCCCGACGAAGTCGCCTCGGTTGTCATCTCGTCTGTCGTCCCTCCAGTCGCCACCGTACCGCGGCTGACCAAACCGGTCCTCCCCACAGAAGCCAACATCGCGGGGGTCGTAGGATGAGAAGTGGTCAGGTGATGGGTACGGGGGAATCCCTCCACGGCCCACCCACTCAGCCATTGAGCATGCTCAGGAACAGATCGAGGGGAAGGCGACCGCAAGCTAGCCCCTGAAAAGAGCAGCGGAGACTGACAAGGCAGACGATGAGCCCAGGGGCTCTGTTTTGTGCGCGAGGGCAGGGTGAGCCAGATAATCCAACGACAGCGCCACGGAGGCGAGAAATAGGACGAGGGAGAAAAAGAAGATAGGAGTGGTGGGGAAGTAAAAAAAAAAAAGAGATGGTGTGGTGCTAGGGGGCTAGCGGCGTACGTACAAGTGCAGGGTGGTGTGAGACTGTGAGAGGGGGGGGTGGGCGTATGTGCTGGTGTATGGATGTGTGCCGTCCGCTGAGCGTCGGCGCGATGTTGGTTGGGTTGACGTGCGGCGGCGACTTTTTTTGTTTTTGGATTTTTGCCTTTTCTAGCAATGGATTATTAGGTAGGTATTTCGCTCGTGGTGTGGCGACGGCGGCAGCGGGTGTACGAAATGGACGGTGCAAAAAAAGGCAGCTGAGAGAAGAGGGGAAACAAAGCTGGGCGCGGCAGCGCACAAAGTGACACCGCTGCCACTTGTACTGGTTGGTCTGCAGCCTCGCTTTGGGACGAAAAGGAACCTGCAACACCGGGCAAGGGTACAGTAAATCAAATCACAAGGGACATGCTGGGAGAGGGAGGGCGATCACTGGCGGGAGAGAGAAGAAGGGAGAGCAGGTAGCAGATGCAGGGCGCGGGCCCAGGAAAAGACAGGTTGGGTGGGCGGTTAGGAGGTTAGGGTGTTGTGGGTGTTAGGTACCGCAGCTGGACGGACAGGCCGGGCAGGAAAGGAGGCCATGGATGGGCCGGCCATTTGTCGAACCGACGCACGCTCTCCCGCTGCGGTCCCGCTATCGCCACGGCAGCAAAGCACGGCGCCGCCAGCGTCGTGTCCAAACATGTCCAGCCGAGCACGGGAGCCCAATGGGAGGGAGGGCGCTGTGGGGAGAAGTCGCAGGGGGGCGAAAGCCAAACACTGCCAGCAACAACCTAGCTTCGCTGTCGCTGCCAGGTAAATTGGACGACCGACACATAATAAAAACAAAAGGAAAGAAAAAGGCACGAAAAGGGCTGATGGGTGCATGGAGCCCAGGCCAGATTCTGCGTTTGCAGCTAGGCCTTTCCATCTGCTTCCCCTGCGTCGGCCGCAGATTGGGCGGTGCTCAGGTGGTCTTGATTGTTGAGCCCTGGGCGTTGGAGCGGTGTGCGTCGCGTTGTGAGTGTGCTCAATCAACTCCATCCTGCCTGCGCTGCGTCGGGGGTGGCCCGTGGTCCGAGATGATTTGACGGGTTGGGCGCGCATCCCGCCTTCCAAAAACCACTTTTGGTTGACGGTGGGCGGGCAGGTGCGATGGGGAGGGTGGCGCGGATGAGAAAAAAAAAAGAGAGGCGAGGAGAACGGAAAGAGCACCTATGCTTTGGCGAATCTCCAATGGACCTTCCGTTTCGCATTCTTTTCCAAGGACCTGTGAATCTCTTCTCGATGCCCTCATTCTCGCTTGCCACTCGTGCATCGAATCAACCCCCGAGGACCGCACAACTGGATAGGAGTTAGGTTCTGCAGATCCTTCCTAGTTTTCCCACCTGCGTCACCGAGCTGGGGGTTTTGCCTGCTTCCGACCCATGGTTATCATCAATGCAGCCGCTAGGATTGTTCGATCTCGATGCCCTCATAGAGCCCGCGCTCGCCCTGGGCCCTGCTCAACGCGACGTCTAAATGAGGACCCCCGTCGCCGTCGTCCCCGGGAGGCGCCGCTCTTTTGCAGAACAGTTGAGCATCGCGGTCCCCTCCTGCCAACAAGCCCGGCAGCCATCTCGGCGCTGTCGGCCTTTGACTGAACAGCGGCCCGGTGCCCTCGAGCAGCAGCAGCATCTGGTGACAACACACCGGTCCACGCGGCCGTGCACCCGACTTTGCGACGGGTTTCGCTCTGGATGGCTAGCCCTTCTCTGCTGCCCTGCTTGCTGCATCTCATATCACAGTACAGGAGGCGTCAACAAATAATCACCACTTAGCACTCGGCCCGCAGGAAAATAAAAATAAAAAGGAGATAAAAAAGGAGAAGGGGATTGCTGCTCGCAAACGGGCCCGTTGGGACCGAAGTAGTCAGCGTTCGCAGGCTTTCCGATGCGCGCCTGCCCCCTGCCCTGGTCCGTGTTGGGCGGTGGTTGGTGAGGCACGAGGGGCTTGGGTGCTGGATGGATCCTGGAACTCATGGGCATTTCCCCCGGTTTCCCTTTTCCTGCTCGTCTGGACTGGGAAATTCCCCGCGCTGAACGGACCCGCGACGCAAAGGACCAGGGAACCCCGCCGGGCCAGGCGAGCCTCTCTTTTGCTTCTCCACGTAGCTGGGGAGCTTGGCGACGTCATTGGCCAAGAAGGCTGCGTCCAGCGTTGCAACTGGCTGCCTCGTTTTCCAGCGCCACAGGTGATGGCTGCCATGGCCCCCCCTCTCGGCATCACTTCTCGATCCGTGGACGGCTTATCCTTGGAGTTCCAGTGCATGCCCGGTGCCCGCTCGAGTGCCGCCCGCCCACCGGCCTGCGAATAGCACCGAGCACCGCATTTGTGAGGCAGGTGCATTATCGCCACCCCTTGGGCATGCGATTGATGGTGCGAGCACGGCATTGCATTGAGTCCTGGCAGCATTCACACAACGCGTGCATGCAGCTTGCTGCCAATACCGCCTACGTAGGATATTGACCCGCCAATCGAAGCTGGCAGACGCAGCAGGCAAAGTTGCATCGGCCGCCGTGCTCGCGAATAAGGACTTATATTGGGCGCGCCCACCACACCACACTCCATCTCCACGCGCGCACCAGTCATCCCTCCACTCGCTCGCTGATCAACCGCGTCCATGCAAGCCCAATGAACCCTTGGGCAGCTTCACTTTCGGAAATCCCCTCAACAAACACGAACGGGTCCAATGGTACAACCCATCACGGACGGGAATGGTGCGACCAGGAGGTGCAACCAGAATATCTGGTGGGTAAGGTGGGATCATCCACCGCGTTTGTTTGATATTAATATTCTGCATGCATAACGTCCTCGGGTCTTCTCGCCTCGGCTCTCAGATACGGCTCAACGGCTGCATCTATCTTGCAAGGACAAGGTCAGGCCCTCTAATCTAGCTGCACAGAGAGCCACGGAGGAGATGAGGTATGCACGGTGATTCTGATTCTCGCTGATCAATCCAGACCACCTGCCTATCTGACGTTGAGCCGTCCCAACCGCGACGCGCCGTGTGGCGCGCAGCCGCTGCCGTCATTTTTATCCTTTTCTTTGCTTTTCCTTCACATTCTCACACTCCCGAGTTGTTTTCGCTCTACCGCTACCGCTTTCTTGTTGGCTCACACACTAGCCCCGAGACCAAGACCTTGGACGAATCTGGCGTCTTCGGCTTGCCTTTGCAGCGCCCTTTGGACCCGCTCGCTGTAGTCCCTCTCCGCTTTCTGCTTCTCCAGCTCCTCAGCAGACCGGACTTCCTCCTCAAACTCGTCCGTCGTGAATCCCGCCTTGGCCGAGAATCCGACGAGGCCCAGCTTCTCGCCCGTCCAGAAGACGAGGTCGTTCCCGTTGATCGCACCGCTACCTCCACGCCCTTGATGCGTTGGGAGCAGTTTCCTCGCCAGGTCGTCTGACCCAGGCATCGAGCTGAAGAGGGAGATTCCCTGTCGCTGACCCCCGCCGGCCGTGTTGTTGGCACGGGTGCTCTCATAGTCGCCTATCCTGCAGCGCCTCACCTCGGTGAACCCGTCACGTTCGAACCACTTGAGCAGGCCAGACCCGTTGGAGACGACAAGTCTGGTCCCGTGGCTGGCCACGGACAATAGCTTCGATTGCGACGACGTCTGCCGGTTCTTCAGCATCCAGTCCTCCGATTTGGCGCTGCCGCCGCCGCCTCCTGGAAGCGTCTTCTCGGATCCAAGGCTGTAGAGCTCCAGGGAGCCTTTGGTGTTGTACTCGCCGCACGCGACCAGGGTGTTGCCGCTGTTGGCCCTCGTCATCTTAAGCTGACCAAGGGACAGTAGCCCCTTGCGCCTCCGCTCACTATCGCTGGCCGAGAAGGGATATGGCAAAGACGTCATGGCGCAGAGGCGCGCGCCCGAGAAGATGGAGCCGCTAATGGAGGGGAATCTGCGGCGGTCGTAGTGCAGAATGTTGGAGAAGCGCCCGGCCACGTAGATGTCATCACCTACCGACGCTGCGGCGCCCGACTGGCCTAGGTGAAGTATGCTCAGGGGCCCTGGTTGGGCGAGCGAGGCGTAAGGAGGCAGCGGCTCGTCATCGAACAGCGCTCGTACGCTCCGCCTGTAGTAATCGCCCGCCCCCAGCCTATCAAACTCGTCGATGCCCCCATCCGCCCCGCCGTTGAGGGCTGCCGTGGCCGCAGAGCCTCTTGCCCGGTAGTCGTAAAGGTGTATGCCCAACGTGGTTCCAACCGTCAGCGGCAGGCCCGGATTGGTGCCGGACAGGGTGGTTATGGACCACGGGAACGACTCGCAACCGACAACCGCGAGCCTTTCCAGGTCGATTTCCAGCAGGTCTAGCTTGTGACATGGTTGGTCAGTGTCACGATGTATGAGTGACGGGGATGTACTTACGGCACTGCACAGCCACAAACGCCCGTTTCCGGTAGCTGTCAATAGCAACACACTCGGTGACGCCCGAGTCCACCCTCTTGGAGCGCCTGCTGTTATCGCCCCCAGGCCCGTCCACATAAAGAATTTCCGCCTGGCTCTTGCCGCAGATGGCGCCCCGCCGGCCTCTGCTCCCCTTGACATCCCACAAACACACGGATCCGTCGTCGAGCGGAGACACCGCGAAGAGGGCGCCTTCCGACCCCCTGAGTTGGGGGTCTGCTTCCGATGGATCGTCCGGGCTGAAGAGAGCGAGGCCCCTGGCCTCGATGGGTTCCGACACCAGGTCGCCGTCCTTGATGCGTGGCAGCTGGAACCAGCTGACCGTGATGTGGCCGTGCCGCTGGATGTACTCGTCGTACCACGAGACGGTCTCGCCCGGGTAGGTCAGGTCCCAGTTCGCCATGACGCGCGCCCTCTCGATCATCCTGGCGCGGTGCTCGAGGCCGGCAGACGGCGCCCGCCCCCGAGCAGGGGGTCGCAGAGGCGCCGCCGCCGACGTCGCGAGCCCCGAGGCATCGCCGCCGGCGCGGGGCTGGAGCTCAAAGGGGGAGGAGCGCCCCGCGCTGAGGAGGGCCGCCCGGCGATTGAAGGCCTCCAGGAAGCTCGACTCCCGGAAACATATCGAACGCCAGAAGACGTTATCCCGAAACAGCGAGCAGAACCTGCGGGAGACCGCTTGCAGACGGGTTATGTCTGTGGGTTGAAGGACTGGAGGTTTGGAGCAGGTGGCGTTTGTCAGTTGATCCGTAGTGCAGGAATTTCTGAGAACAGAAGTGTGGTATATGGGACGGAGGATGCTTTGCAGGTAATCAGCTGACCTGCAGGTCAAAAGGCTAAATATCATACATGATAGAATATGGAGGAGGATCTCCTCGGGCAATCCGGGGAGACTTGGCCTGGCCATGGCCGGTGTTCTGGGCCGATCTCGGTCCGCAGAAGCCACGCCGAGGCCGGATGGAGGGAGGGGCAGCTGCTCTGCAGGCATTGATTGAAGTCTATGAGCTGCCGAAAGGTTGTTCGATGGCGGGGCTGGATGTCGACCAGCTAGACGAAGAATCAAAATCTAGCGAGAGGCTTCCCAGTGAGCATTTAAGTAAACATATAATGAAATGGCAGTTATAAGTAGGTTATATCGTGGAGGGTGTCATCAATGGGGTGGCTGGCGGAGAAATCAAGATGCTGCTGTGTCGACCCCTAGCGTCGAGTAATGGGTAAGGACAACGGCGGGAAGGCTTGGGAGTCAAAGCTATGGGGGCGCACCCACCACAAAAAAGATGGCAGTTCGTTTGAGGGAATGGGAATAGGAATAGGAATAGAAATAAGAGCAAAAATAAGAATAAAAATAGGAACAGAAATAGGAATGATAACAGGAAAAAAAAGAATAGGAAAGCTTACGGTACTAACAAATCTACTGAATCTTTGGAACCTCCTCCCTGTAAGACTGCCGTCTTTTTTGTGGTGGGCATGGGGGCAGTGCGGGCAAGCTCGTCAGTTAAAAAGCAGCCTTGTGTTGGTCGGGTTCGGCAGGTGCAGGCGGTGGGCTGCAGGTTACCGTCTGTCGGGGTCTAGGACTTTTTCTCGATAGGGAGTGAGGGAGGATCTAGGACCGAACAGCCCCGCTGGAGCAAAGAGGCAGGTTCAAGAGGCTGCGGAGCAAGTCTAAAGGCACCGTAGGTTAGGTGGTTTGAACTGAGTGTTGGTTGGAGGTTGTCCAAGTTGGCAAGCGGCGAGGTAGCCATAATCCCATGGTACCTCTCTCTCTCGCTCTCCCAAGCGCGGCGTTCTCGGCGGCCGGGCTGTGTCTTGGCTGGGCTCGGCCGACCATTATTGAAAATGTCTGCCTAGTTTGGCCTGGGGTTATTTGGACTGTGTAGAAGGCCCTAGAACACCACCGATGGATGGATCAGGCGCAGCACCACAGATAACACGCTGGCGATCGAGTCGCACAGTGGCGGATCGAAGGACGGGACCCGCGGTTCTGCCTGCCCGCGTGGCCGTCTGGAAGCTCTGGTGGAGTAACCCCAGATGGAGAACCCTAGCGCGGTTGCCCCATTCTTCGATTGGATTAGCTTTGGGGGGAGGAGCACGAACAAACAAGTGAGAAATACCGTGAATAAACACGACAATTAGCAGAGGTCATCAGCAGGGAAGACGATCTATTATCAAGAACCTTGTGACGCAAGATTGTTTGGCTATTCACTACCCGTCCAATTGGTGTAGAGCTCAAGCTCCAACGATTGAGAAGCACGGAAGGTGCATGTTTGTTGTTTGTTTGGCCAGCGACCCTGGAATGATTAGGTCATCCCGCGATCCACTCCGCCCCTGAATGGGGCCAAACCCCTTCCGCCTTGCTGGGACCCGGCAGGTCTGGACTGGTCCAACTGCTACCCCAGACCAGACGACCTCAGCCTCATCCAACGTCGGGTGAACGACAAGGGACGCTTGAGGCTTGATGAAATAATTTGTTATATGTTTTATCGGTCTCAAAGCTGCCTGGCAGACTTGCTATCCAGCTTGTCATTATAAAATTGTGCTCCCTTTACCGTTTCTACAGTTTGTTATTGCCAAATTCCAATCTGATGCTGGTAGGACTGGTCGACGCCTAGCTCTAGGTCAAGGATGGCGAGTGTTATCCAGACACGGTATTATATGCTGCTACCTGCAATGCCAACAGGGAGGAGGAGTGTCCTGGAAACTCGTTTCCCAAGTGCAATTGGCCATGTTCAAGTCAAAGATGGTACCTCTTCTTGCCCCTTGGGAAGCTGGCATGTTTGTGATTGGGTTCCCCCGGGTGTCTTATTCCTATGTCTACAGTCTGCTTTCACGAGTGTCGTCTTGGTGGCTGTGATGCAACATGTACTTCCAAAAGGTAGTAGAAGAGTTGGTTGCGCGAGTGGAGTGTGGCGTGCATATCGTTCAGCTGCCGCAACTCTCTCCAGCCGCCGACATCACAGGTTGGTCAGGAGGGGAGAGTTGGAAGCTGTCCACAAGACTGTCACGGTAGCCGTGCTAAGATATGGACATGCAAAAATCCTGCTCGAGGTGGTCTCCCCGAGACTGTAGGCGTGGGAGCCAGCCATATCAGCCAAGTCCTGACAGCCCTCACATCCACCTCACCCTCTCCTCACCCTCTGCTCGCCGGCCTCTTAGCTACATGTTGGAGGGCTCGCCCGAGCACAACACTGGGTTTGTTTATCCTCTGCTCCCCACACCTCTCCTCTCCCATCCCACCCCATCACCCACCAACCTCCTTCCACAAAGGTCGCTCCTCCAAGATCCAGGTCGCTTCAATCATCCAACCCGGCCTATGGCTGGACTGATATGACGAAGCACCTCGTCTGCAGGAATATCAACTTGACTTGGATCGGACGCGAAGTCACACCTAGGAGTTGACTGGGCCGAAATCCCAACTCGACTTCAATCATTTGGCATCGAGGTAGCGCTGCACTGGTGGCGCGACCGACTGATTCACGCGTTCTCACTGCCAGGAAGGAACAAAAGTAGCACAGGTAATGGAAGGCGCGGCCGACCAGGCCTCTCTGCCTCGCCAGAGGCCTCACAAGGAGCATGTAGATGCTTCCTGCGCAACCCAGCCAGCCGAGGCTGGAAGACAGGGTTCGGCTGGACGGATTGCATCTCCATCTTCCTCCTCTCGCAGTCCCATCTGGCCTCCCCCGAGCGGCACCGAGACGCGCGCCGGCAGCCTGGGACCAAGGACGCCCACACCCAATCGCCGTGGGTGCCGCTTTCCCAGCCTGGACGAGGCGCATCGCAACATCGCGTCCCGCAGCGCGCAGAAGCCAGCCACTGGCGGGCACCAGCCCAAGCATCCCGACTCTGGCGCTGCAACCCCGCGCGACGCCTCGAGCAGCAGCATCAGCACATCGCCCACCAACAATGATTCCACCCTCGCCAGCTGGACCCGAGCCCGCTCCCGCAAGGACTCTGCCGCCATCCACGACCTCTCCTCCACAGAGCTCACCATCGGCGTCAATGCCATCGCGCTCCAGGATCTGAGCCCGACCGAGTCGCGTCTCAGCTCCGTCAAAGGATTCGCCCTTGCCGAGGCCAAGCCCGCCCCCGGTCAGGACTCCGAGAAGGATCACGGCAGTGAGCAGCAACATCAGCAGCCTCTGCCAGCCACTCCCGCCCCCAGACTCGCGCCTACAAGCAGCGTCGACAACGCCCTGGCTTCAATGCCTGCGGACCCCTCAACCAGCACCGTCGATCGCATCTACGAGCAGTACCACCACTCACCATCGGGGCAGGACGTTTTCCACGCCCAGCCGCGGGGTGGCGGGCTCGAGGCGCCCGAGAGCAGCGCATACCAGTTCGGTTCTGCGAGCAGCAAGTTGAGCCCTGCTAATCTCAGCGAGCTTCGGTCCGGCGCCGGCGCGCGTTGCGGCTTCCGGCGGGATGACGGAGGGAACTACGCCGATTCGGATCGCGAGCCTTCTTCGAGCCAGGGCGGCGGCCTCCAGTCAGAGCACCCAGACCTCGGCGTTGGCCATGGCCTGTTCACGAACCAAGCGACCACGCGAAGCCCTATCTGGCCTGGACTCCTCTCTGCCGGCGAGGCCCCTCCGTTCTCCCTCCCTAGGATCCCGACCATCGAGTACTCGGAGCCCTCGGACGGCCACGGCTACTTCCACGGGCAGGCCTTGTCGTTCGGACCCTCTATCTCGACCCTCTCCGATTCTCAGGGTCTTCTCAACGGAGACCTACATAGCGATGGACTTGTTCCTCACCCCCTTGCGCTGCCGGCGCATGAGGTGGCCGAGGACAGTAGCCCTATGCGAAGGAACCGCTTCAGCACCGGTGCGACCTCCATGGGTGCCACCACCGAGTCCAACGCGGATCCGTTCGAGTACGACAGGTACGACGTTTTTCCCGTGTCGAAAAAGGAGCGAGAGGTCAGTGCAGTTCTGCGGCGCCTGAGCACTGCGAGCAGGACTAGCAAGTCGGCCAGCCCCGAGAAGTCGCCACAAAAGAGCTTCACTCTACCGTCTCCCATCCCCGAACAGGATACCCCTGGCGAGGTGGGCCACATTCGCTCCGTCAAGGGCCCGGCCACACGGTTTCACTTCCTTGACCAGGGCGCTATCAAGTCGTCTTGGCAAGTTCACCAGGGCAGTGGCGAAGCTGTCAAAGTGCCCGTCAGGCCCTCACCGCCTCTACCTGTTGCGAACGAGAAGAGCCGACAGCCCGGCGTCCTTACAGAAATGAATCTGAATGGCAGAGAGGGCGAGAAGACACCGAGCCACTATGGTGCTTCTGTAGCCCCCAGTGACAATGACGACTGGGAAACAGTGGCGACTGCCAAGGGCGCCTACAGCAGCCCTTACTGCGTACCCCCAGCGATGCCGAGGAATGTTCTCCAGATGACAGGAAGTAGCCTTGCCGACGTCTCAGATGACGAGATCAGCATGTACCATGCCACGTTCGACGAGTATGGCTCTACCGAACGGATTGTTCGCCATCCCTCTCAGGGCTCCTACCGGGGGGAGCAGCCGCCGCTGAAGCTCAGACACATCAAAGATACCAAGATGCCTGTATTTGTGCCTCAGCAGCGCGTCCATCGGGTCAACGGCCTCGCCCAAAACTCGATCCGCCTCCTCCAGGGCTCTTGCTCGAGAGAAAAGACTGGTCCCAGAGAGAGGTCTCAGCCCCGCCACTTCAAGACCCCCTTTGGCATCATTGGCGGATCTCACAAGCATTCGCATAAGCCCTCCTTCAATGTGGCCGAGTCATCTCGCTTTGAGTTCAGAGACTCTGGATGCAGCAGCACCTACGGCAGCCAGGCATTACCTGCCAGAAACCTGGGCCAGAAAGACGGCCACCATGCCTCGTCGGACGCCGACACCAGGGCCTATGAAGCTAGGACTGCTAAAGACTACCTTTATGAGAGCTCGGTGTACCGTGCACATGCGGACAACGAGGACTCGTTTGCGTCGGCCGACATATCGGGCACGTCCCACAGCTTCAACTTCCCGCTCATCTCACTGCCCGAGGCCGCGAGGATACAGGCGCTCCGGAGAGAGAGTGGGATCGACGACCAGACCGTGACGGGGAGGGAGAGAACGCGAAAGGAAAGCTTTGCTTCCTCGAGAAAAACGAAGGGCACCCTTGACTCGATCAGGCTCCCACGGATGCCAGAGAATGCCCACCGTCGTGTCCCGACACCGCTGTTTGGTGCTAGGAAGCCTAGGAACAAAGGTTCCAGATCTGGTGGTAAGAACCCTTGAATACTGCCAGTGCCGAGTTTGAAGAGCCAGTATTCGCTAATACAATGCGCGGCAGAGCTTTACGACCCATACAACGACGCTGTCAACACGTCCCCCCTGAGCTCCAAGATGGACTCGCCGCCTGACCACGGCAGCCAGGGCTCCAACGGCTACGGCACGAGCACGGCAACCTTTGGGTCGTCTCCTCTGAAGAACAAGCTGAGTGGGATCTGGCCGTCGCGACGATCGCAGATCCCGCGGCTCTACCCGTGGGACGAGCGCCGGATGCAGCAGCCGCCGCCCGAGAGCGACCCATCGCTGAGGGCGCTGGCGAACAGGGCGAAGCTCCCGGGATCCATGGCGCTCACATACATGTCCAGCGAGGGGCGGGCCAAGCAGCGTCGATGGTTCCTGGCCATGCTGCTCGTCAGCGCAGTCTTCCCGTTCCTCGCCGTCCTCGTCTACTTTGGCAGGCTCGACGGGCTCCTGTCGTACTACACCAATAGAGAGGCCACGGAGCTGACGCAGACCCAGAGGAAGATGGTGCTGGCTGTCATGCTGCTCGGGTTCTTCATCTGGACGACCATCGTCGTCGTAGTAGTCAAGAAGCTTAGCGGCGCATTCTAGACTGTCCAACTCTAACCCAGCCTTGCCGGCCTTGTTCGTATAAAAGCTTCACTTCCTGTTCTACATCATCGGGGGGCTCTACTATGCTGGCTCTAACTTGCTTGACGAGAGCCCAATGGGCGTCAATACTGGCTGCGGGAGACCCCAGGGTGCATCCCACACGTGGGAGTGGATCTCCTCGTCATACCCTTTTTTTTGTCCAATTTTTTTCCCTCTTTGTCAATCTAATCGCAGAGCTGGCATAGAACTCGCCGACTCTTCCAAGAGGACCCAAGAGCGATCGGAGGCCATGTCCGCTGCTTTTGTGGATGACATCCATGTCGTTCTGGAGCCTATGGTGGCACGCCCCCCTGGATTTCGTCAGCCTTGCGCTCTTTGCCGCCGGGGCTCAGCTGTCGAGATTATTGGGCAATGTGGGATCGTCCCTTATGACGAGATGATGAAGGAGTCTTTTTTTTTTTTTCCCTTGTGGCCTTTCTTTTCTCCCGTCTTGTTCTTTTCTTTTCTTGTCTTGTCCTTTTCTAGTGTTTCTATCTGGGTTCTACTTCTAGGTGATCGGAAAGGAAGCTACTGCCAACAGCAGAAATACTATCCCCTCATCGCGCGGGCTTCTTTGGAGAGTTGGGCCGATGACGTTGCTACTGTGCCGCTGCCTCGCCGGGTTGGTCGTGGGGGAAAAGGTCGGCCAGGCTGGGGTACATGTTGTTGTCAAGTGTTTACTCATCTCCTGCTGATTATTCCGCGACGGAGACGTCTATACCGCAGCGGCAGGCGATACACGGTTGGCAAGAGTGTTGGACATGTCCGAAACAACTGGTAGAAAAAAAAAAAGAAACACGATCTGATTTGGTTACAGAGTATACATATATGCCCCTGAGGCCGCTGGAGCTGTTGGTAGTAGCCATGCAAAACATTAAATCGCCTTCGGCCGCCCTCCACCTAACGGCTCTGTCCAACACAACCCGCCACCTTTTGGATGCCCCTCCCCTCCCCTTCCTCGCCCAAACAGAAATCCGGCCTTGTTTTTCCAACCGCCACCTACGCCCCCCACGATGAACTGCGCTCTGCATCACTCATAACACATGTACCGTCCCCTAATCACCGCTGCTCCCACTGTAAAACCCGTCAAAGGTGTCGCCACAAGGTGCGTCCCATTCTTCATCTTCGTCGTCGTCCCCGGCTTCTTCAAGACCCCGATAGCCCTCTGGCTGAAACGCCCCTTCCCCATCTGGGCCCGCGTGCATGCCGAAGCCGATGGACCGATAAAGAGTGCACAAGGCTGCCCGAGACGGGACCAAGGAGCCGATGGATACGGCGACGCCGAGGTATTCGGACGGCAGGTCGGCCTAGGATCTGCCCTTCCGCTTCTTTCGACGGTTCTTCTTTTTCCCGGCGTCGTTGCTACTTGCGCCGTTCTGACCGCCGGGACTCGTGGCTTGATCCGCCGTAGAATGCGCCCCTTCGTCGTCTGTCTCCTCGTCCACATCCGAGACCGACTTGTGAAGCGACGAAGGGCCCCGACCGCCTAGGAGATTGGGTTCCGAGGCGCTGCCGCCATTGAGGCCACCCACACCACCATGCCCAGCACCAGCACTATCTTCCTCGTCGTCGTTGGAGCTCGTCGTCTCGAGGACGACCTTGCGGAAGCCGCGGGACTCGAAGACGTTCTCCGTGATGCTGCCGCTACGCACAGTCGACCGCTTGAGGAGTGGCGTGGTGGACCTACTACCACGGCCGTCCGATATTGGGCTGCCCCCGGATCCGTCCGATGAGGGAGTCTTTGGGTTCGGCGTCGCCTTGGTGTCGCTAGACGTGTTCAGCTTGGGCGTATGGACTACATGGTTGCGCTGCGCCTCGGTAAAGCCTGGCGGCGACGCGCCTAGAACCCGCTGCTGCGCCTCGGTAGCCGACAAGGCGCCGTAGCTCTGGCGCAGTGCCTGCACACCGTCCTTGCTGGAAACCCGGTGGAGGTTGCGGCTGTTGGTGGGCGCGGCATGGAGGAGCGACGTCGTCTCGTTATCACCACCCTCGTGGTCGTCGTTGGGCTGGTGAACCTCGATTTCAGGGGTCGCGCGGGTCGCCTCGCTCTGAAACGAGCGCTGCGGGCCTACGGCGCCGTGGCCGGGCTTGATGGTGACCGACGTGAGCCTCGTGTTCTTCGGGTTGTTGGCAGGGTTGGAGGGGCCCAAGTGCCGCAGGTGTTCCCTAATATCGTCGATGTTGGCACGGACAGGCACTGCCGACTGAACCATCTTGCCGTCAACCCCAGCCGAGCTGCGCCGCATCAGGAATGTGGCCTTGGGACTAGCCGAGAGCTGCGTGGCGTCGGCCTTGGTGGCGCTCGCGATATCTACAGGCGTGAGGTGTGGAGACGCGAGGCCGTTGGCATTCTCCTCGCCCTTGTTGTTTTCGGCGGACTTGGGGTTCACATTCGACGACTGTCTGCGGAAAACCTGGGCGTTGGGCGCGGGGTGGAGACGTCTGATGGCCTTGTGGACATCGATGTAGACGTCCGACTCGTCGATGATTTCCCTGTAGACGCAGTGTCTGGTTAATCTCAGTGCAATACTGGCCGGGTACTGGTGGCAGGGCAGACTCACTCTCCAATGAGCTCCTCGATGACGTCCTCCAGAGTCACGACACCCAGAGCCCCGTAGGGGTTACCGGGCGAGTCAGATACCAGGACCATGTGCGATTTCCCCTCCTGAAAGTAATTCACGATGTCGAGGCAACTAGTCTCCGGTCGTGTTTCGGGCAGCGTCGCCAGGGGGAAGTCCTTGACCAGCATGCAGTCTTCAGGGTCGTACGTGATGAGGATCTTGACGAGCAGCATGCCGAGGAAGTTTGTGGGATTTCCAGCCTCGTGGATCGGGATGCGCGAGTAGCCGGCCGAGAGAATGCGGTCCATAGTGGGCTCGTCAAGCACAGTATCCTCGGACATGACGAAAACGTCGTTCATGGGCGTCATAACAGCGGCGACTGGCTTCTCCTTGAGGTCCAGCACGGCGCTGATGATGGTGACCTCATCACTGTTGAGACGCTCGCTGGCAACTCCGAGGGAGCGGTGGAGGGTGACGAGCGTCTTGAGGCCGCTCTTCTTGTAGACAGTGCCGTGGTCCTCGCCCAGGATCCAGTCGAGCAGCTTCGCCGTGGGCCACGAGAGGGGCGCCGTCAGCCACATGAGCGCGAGGACGGGCTTGGACATGTAGCCGCCGATCTGTAGGCCGTATCGAACGCAGACGGACTGGGGGACGACCTCGCCGAAGATGACTGCGGGTGTGGACGACGTGATGTTAGCAGGCTGCTGCTCTAGGATCATGCCTGTATACGGCCGGAATATACGCACCGATCAGAGCGGTGCTACCAACGACGGCAGCGACGCCGCCTCCGAGACATCTGTCCAGAACGACAGGCAGCGACTCATTGACAATGACGTTGGACAGTAGAAGGGTGACAAGGACCCAGTGCTTGCCGGATTCCAGGAGCTTGTAGACGCGTCGGGCATTGTTATGCTGGGGCTCGTCCTTGTCCGAGGAGATGACCTGTAGGTAGATGCTATCCTGTCCCATCAAGCTGGGGTGGTGGGTGCGCGTGGGCGAGAGTCAGCTAGGTATCTATCGAGATAGGGATACGGCCAGGCCAAGGCCGAACCAAGACGCGTGGGCGCACTCACGCAATGGTAAGGCCGGCAAAGGCACCTCCGAGGAGAACCAGGATGGCCGAGGCGACATAGAGGACCCAGACGGGAGTGCCGAGGTCGTCGTGGTCGTGGCCACCGCCGTGCTGAAAGGTGGCGGCCAAGGGAGCGGCAGCCACGGCCGAGACGCTCACGCCGAGCAGCCTGGCCAGGCCGAGGACAGCCGGGCGGACGGCACCGACGGCTTTGTGGCTAGGGTATCTCGAGTGTGTGGGCGCCCGTATTGTCGGTCGGATCGGCATCGCTTGGGATGGTGGGGGTGGTGGTTGGTGATGATGAAAGACGGACAATGTCGATTTCGCAATCGCAAGCGCGGTGCGGCGACGGCGCTAATAATCTGGGGTGTTGGCGGGAAACGGACCCGCCTGGTCCCCTTCTTGGCCACCTTGAGGCCCGCCGCAATCTCAATCGAATCCCACCGACAAAAAAAGCATAGACTCTGCAACCCGACTTGCCGAAGCTAATGCTGTCGAAGCAATCGGCAGGGTGGCATTGATTCGATCCGGGGTATCAGAAAGTCTAATCGTGCCTTGCAAGATTCAGGGCGTGCCGTGGCAGGAGCCTCAAGTGGAAGTTGGCTTTGGGCGCTGGTTCGTCGGCGCTGTGCCAACCTTCTTCCAAGACGGCCGCCTCTTGCTCGGCAGCTCTGGGCGCTGGGGAAGGAGGTGCGGTGCAAGCTCTGCTTGACTACCCGGTCGCTTGCCTGTGAGACGCCAACTCTGCGTGTTGCAGAGCCCATTTATTTCGTCTCTCAGAGGTAGCATCTTATCGTCTAACCGCCCTTGGCGCCTGCCCCAGAAGCACGCATCATCTCCCATGCATCGAATGGAGCTGCCTGGTCCATGCACCAATCATGTTTCCAGTCGCAGCGCACCAAGCTCGACGCACGAGTCGCCATGACGCAATGGGTTATCGAGCTGCGCGTACAGCGGTTCGATTCGCAAGGACCGACCGCTTTGTCAGCACTTGTAAGACCCGTCTGATATCCGCGGCTACCGCTTGCCGTGCATTTACATCTTTCGGTGCCCGTCACGCGCTCACAAAGCATCCAGCGTCTGTGAACGTTGAGACTAGACGAGGCAGCCAATAGGAGCCAGGGAAGATGCAACAAGACCGGCATCGTACAGGTCGGCAACGCTTGGTCCCGCTCCAATACAGAAGGATACGGACAGCACCGATACTCCTCCCCCGCGCCCCTTCTCAGCCTTGCCAAACCTCTTGTCATACTGTGCGCACATAGAAAACCAGGTTTGATAGCCATCTCTGGAGGGGTTCCAGAACGCACAACCTCCAAGCATAGTCTCCCTATTGTTTAATTATAGAAGATATTTGCTTCATTTTCGGGTATCATGAGTGTTGGTTCGACTTTTGGTTGCTGCGAGCTGAGGGATGGGGGATGTCCTACGAGGAGTAGGGTATGGATGGGCACAGCTGGGATGAGGAGGGCGCAATGGGGGAGCTTATGATGATCAAGTCGAGGGAGCGCGGCCTCCCATTGGAGTTTACCCACCCGGAGACGTGGCTAGAGTATGCAGACAGGGAGTATTAGCTTGCTCAGGGGGCACCGGCCCAGTTGCGGCGGTTCAGGCTGGAGAGTGATCTGTTGGGGCTTTGCTCAGTCGACAGCATGGGAAAGTCTCTGACGAACACAAGGGGGAATCATGGAGCTGGGAGCAGGGATGCGTTTTTCTTAGACCTCGACATCCCCTAGCGTTGTACCAATCAAGGATGACAGCTACTTCATACGTATCGACTTAGCCCCTTCACCGTCTACGAAGCCCCGGCATGGAGTGCTTCCCAAGTGCTCCGTTGAAGCCTTGGGGATCAACGAGAGCCGCAACTACTCTATCGCTGGAGGGGCCATTCGTACGGGAGGGTTTAACTCGCGCGAGTATTCAGCTCATGTAGCCCATCTTTGGCCGATTTCCGGAAGACCACTTTGCCGGCCGACCGCACTAGTACCGTGCACAATGCAAGCGGGCGCTCAGGGCACCGACTGGGTGCGCGACAGGAAAAGAGATAATTATACTAGCTCGCTACCTTTCAAAAAGTCGCGTAAGAGAACTGTCAATATTTCCGGTCCATCTCCGGTCACCTTCTGCACGTGGCCATCGACGCGCCGTCACCTCCGGCATCCGGTACGTCTGGTAAGATGGGCTTGACTGCGCCCGGTGGCAGGGTTCCGCGGGGGCGTTGACACCCCAGGTCACCCGGTCGTTGCCGGCTGTCGCGCCGGGGGGGGGGGACGGGGGGGGAACC